ATGGAAAGCGTCCGAGACTGTCCAAGAGGAGATGGAGAAATGAAATCAGGTTATACAGGTCTTACGTCAATTTCTGTATGATTATTGCAGGATCGTGAGAGATGGTGTAGTGGCTTGGGGTAGCCTTTAGCCTGCAGTGGATTGATCGTGATTAATTATGGTTGTAAATAATCTCATGTAGGGATAGTCCACTAATCACTGAGAAAGTTTACGGTCAGTGGTTAAATCAATCAATGTTGGGTGGGGAGGTTCTCAAAGTGTTAGGTCTGTTAATATGCATCCATCTCCCAGTGATTCGATGGATTTTCACTATCCTGGCCATGATTCGATGAAAAAAATATTATTTTACGTAATATTTCCCACTCATACAAAAGAGTGGAACATAGCATCTTAAAGTTGCCTTCAGAGCAAGTGGTTAGCCTCTTTTGGGCGTACATACTGACCTTTTCATTATACATAATGGGTTTTTGTTTGTTTGTTAAGGTTGCTCAAGGTGATTGCCGTAAATACTTTTTAATTTCCATTTGGTAATTGTAAAACTGGAAACGATAAAATTATACCCTCAATGGTTTTATCTTTGTTCACCAAGCTTTAGGAAGTGCTGGAGTTGGCATATTTATGATTAGTCAGCAGGTAATTACAGTGAGGGAAAAAAGTATTTGATCCCCTGCTGATTTTGTACGTTAGCCCACTAACAGAGAAATGATCAGTCTATAATTTTAATGGTAGGTTTATTTGAACAGTGAGAGACAGAATAACAACAACAAAATACAGAAAAACGCATGTCAAAAATGTTATAAATTGATTTGCATTTTAATGAGGGAAATAAGTATTTGACCCCTCTGCAAAACATGACTTAGTACTTGGTGGCAAAAACCCTTGTTGGTATCACAGAGGTCAGACATTTCTTGTAGTTGGCCACCAGGTTTGCACACATCTCAGGAGGGATTTTGTCCCACTCCTCTTTGCAGATCTTCTCCAAGTCATTAAGGTTTCGAGGCTGACGTTTGGCAACTCGAACCTTCAGCTCCCTCCACAGATTGTCTATGGGATTAAGGTCTGGAGACTGGCTAGGCCACTCCAGGACCTTAATGTGCTTCTTCTTGAGCCACTCCTTTGTTGCCTTGGCCGTGTGTTTTGGGTCATTGTCATGCTGGAATACCCATCTCCGACCCATTTTCAATGCCCTGACTGAGGGAAGGAGGTTCTCACCCAAGATTTTACCGTACATGGCCCCGTCCACCGTCCCTTTGATGCGGTGAAGTTGTCCTGTCCCCTTAGCAGAAAAACACCCCCAAAGCATAATGTTTCCACCTCCATGTTTGACGGTGGGGATGGTGTTCTTGGGGTCATAGGCAGCATTCCTCCTCCTCCAAACACGGCGAGTTGAGTTGATGCCAAAGAGCTCCATTTTGGTCTCATCTGACCACAACACTTTCACCCAGTTCTCCTCTGAATCATTCAGATGTTCATTGGCAAACTTCAGACGGGCATGTATATGTGCATCGCAACGTCTCAGATGAGTGATGCCGAACGTTGTTGTTTGATACGGCTGCTGCTTTTATTAATAGCTAATGTACATTTGCATTATAATAAACTAAACATGTGCAATGCATCCAATCAGTTGAAATTTAGTTTTAAGCTCACGATATCTGCATGGAATCATGCGTATCAGTGAATTTTCAATTTATGAAAATTACACGTAGATTATAAACTAGGGTTCTGGATTTAAAACACACAAGACAAAACATGGGAAACGATACAAACAAGATGGTGAAAACAAGACAAGAGAGAACATATTATTGAATCGAATACTGTAGTAATTTGAATTATAGCATTGGAATTGCTGAGGGATGAATCATTACACACATGGCTGTGGCTGCCTGAGTCACAATTCAATTGAAAATGTTACTATTTTATAGTGGATAATGTGGAATTGATTTTGGCTGCACATGTAATGAGTCAATTCGTGAATCGATTATTATTTTTTTACGTGGTTTTTCAGTTTCATTTATTAGGTGTAGCCCTGTGAGCCATGGGGCTCTTGACTCGGGTGCAACCGCAACAAACAAAACCATGAACAAAGAACATCTTAAAGTGACTACGCGCAACAGAAAAATCCAGGAAAAAACAGCAAAGTCTTCCAGAAAAAAACACCGTATATCAACGCTGTGTGCAAAAATCCCAGTGGGATGCAAGTCAAACAATAACAACCATAAGACATATTCTTAGTTTTTTCGGTAAAGTCACGTTGAAGAGAAACAACAAAATAACAACGTGACTTTACCGAAAAAACTAAGAATATGAATTACTGCAGTCACGAAAGCTTTAAATCAAAAGCATAAGACAATTTAGGTTAAAGTTATCAGGCTAACTCTGTACTTCAACAAACAAACATGGCTAAAACATACGTTTTCGAAATCACCAAAATAAAGCTATAAACACAATGTAACAGTGATCATAGGAACTGTGATTCAAATTTAGCAATAAACTATATACATCAGATGTACGACCAAACTTTGCAGCCATAGCTGGCAGCATGAGTCACTCCATAACAGCAGGAGTATCAGCAGAAGTATAAAAAAAATTCAATGCACCTTTAAAGATCAGCACACTATAATCAAAACTCAAGATCATACTTTGCAGCAGTCATCCAGAGCGATGCATTTGATTTCAGGCCACTCTGCATAGCAGTGGCAGCTAGGGGTGAACAGCTCCTCGAGAGCAGTTTTGAGTGAAGCTCTCACAGGTAGTGATCCAAGTTGCAGTTTATTGGCGATAGCGTTCCAGACCCTGGGGCATCAACAGCAAAGGCCCTTCCTCCAGTATTTGTAGGGCAATAAGGAATGTGAAGCTGGTAAATGAGCAGGACCTTAGGTCACATTTGTTCTTTGAAACAGAGAGGAGATCCAGTAGGTAGTCTGCTGATTTTTTTGTAAGTACATCGTGAATAAATAAGATCTGATGCACAAGCCGCCGATTATTAAGAGATGTTAAGTTTGACCCAATGTAGAGATCGCAGTGGTGGGTCCTATATGGGCAGTTCAATGCAAATCTTAAGGCCGAGTGATAAATTGAGTCAAGCTTCTTCAGTACAGTACCGGGGGCTGGTAATGTGGACCATAATACCCAGCACTTTGGAGTCAGTGTCGGTGAATTACACAGATGTGTGAGCCGTCCCAACCCACTGGGTTGTGAGCAGGTCAGGAGATAACAGCACAGCAAACACATTTTTATTGTGCACATATTTCAGTATTTTCTTGTCGTGGATTTTTTCCAGTTACAGTCGTTTACTAACATTGAAAATGCAACGATTGGGATATCTCATCTTCTTAAAATCGGGTCAAGAAACTTGATTCAGTTAAGCTCCCTTTGAATTGCAGATTTGATCAGTTGGGATCGAATTTTTGATTGAACCGCTCCACATGTTGATTTAAAAAAAACCTGCATAGAGGACCATGTTTTAACACTGTTTTACAAACAAATGAGTAGTTATTTGTATTTCACCTCAACTCGATGACGTGCTGTGCTAGATGTATTTGTTAACTATCTTGGTTTCGCCTGCAATGAGTTTCACCCCTGCCCCCCCCCCCTCTCTGGCTATGTTATAGTGCATTAGTATAAATTCCTTGTTTAAAAATAAGTTCATTATTTTCACTGGCTGTGAATTCTAATAGATGCTCAACTTTTGAATCTCTCATTCCTCAGCCAAATTTGCCAGTCATCGACCCATCTCTGCATTAGAGTCACCCTTACGATGTTATAATGCACTATACTATCACATTAGAGTGTGTAGTAGCTCATATCTTTAGTCTTGTGCTAAATTTGTGATGTTTTTAAAAATGTAAAGAGTGCCACATTGTGTTCTTAATTATTTTAAATGATTAGTTTGTACAACTGAAACTATGCTTACCCTTTACAGTATTAAATATGAGCACTGCATAAATTTGAATTATACTGCCTGCATATGCTTTGGGTTAAAATTCATCTCAACGATTCACCTCTTCTCAAGCGAAAATCACTCGTAGTCTTGTCATACAAAGGGTGGGTGGGCTCATACATACAGAATTTACCATTCAAGCAATATTCGTCGAGAAAAAACATATGTAAAATGTAAGCGTTATTTCCAAATCTGTTTTATAACTGTTTAAAAAAAATCACGTTCATATCTACCATTAGTATCACTGGTGCAACTTGCGTGCGTTTACTTGAATTGAACAGTCCGGGTGGGTCATATGTTCCTGTGAATACAACATGTCTGTCCATGACAACCGGTGATTGGTGTTGGCACTGTGACCACAGATAAGCCTTGGGCAAGGAGAAAGTTCTTTTTTTAGTTTTTTTCGCACTCCCAACTGATAATGCTGTGGCTGTGAAAGCCACTGGCCCCCAGCACATGGGAACTGTCGTCACGTTACAGTAGCGTTGAGTCAATATCTAGAGAACAAGGGCATGACAGGGAGCAAGTAAAACATAGGTGGTGGCCAGTTGGAGGGATGGGATGCAAAGGTATGCATGGACCCATCTGGGTATTTTTTCTATAGTTTTTTTGTTGTTTATTTTCAATTTTTTATATATATGCTGCCTGGGATGTTTTATAACATTTACATGTCATGTATATTTTAAAGGTATGTTTAGTACATCGAAGTTTATGACATTGAATAAACTCTTTTAAGTATTTTTTTACGTCACGTAACATTTTTAAGCACATTTTAATTAACTAATGTAACAGTCAAACGAAGTTAAAAGCATGGTCTGCTTAGTTAAAAAAAAATCCTACCTGAAAAATATTTATTTTAATGCTTAAAATACAATGCATGCATGCATATTTTTATCGCTCTCTCCAGATCACCCTCGCTCATTAGCTTGGAGAGATTCAAAACCGATTCCATTTCCGTATTGCAGTTCACAGCATCTCCTTAGTCTACAATGCCAAATGTGAGGAGTCCCTTGTACGGGGCACGGCTGCCTTATAATCTGATGTGCCGTGCGCTCCGAAGGTCCTGTCGCTGGGAGCAGACGTCCTGCCGGAATATAAGCTGCAGGCGCCGCGCATCCACAAGTGGACCATCCTGCACTACAGCCCTTTCAAGGCGGTGTGGGACTGGCTCATCCTTCTGCTCGTCATATACACGGCCATATTCACGCCCTACACGGCTGCCTTCCTGCTGAGCGATCAGCAGGTGGAGAATGAGCGACAAAAGTGCGGCTACTCCTGCAACCCGCTCAACATCGTCGACCTCATGGTGGACATCATGTTCATGGTGGACATCTTCATAAACTTTCGCACCACCTACATCAACAAGAATGAAGAGGTGGTGAGCCATCCGGGCAAGATTGCCATTCATTACTTCAAAGGCTGGTTCCTCATCGACATGGTGGCAGCCATTCCCTTTGACCTGCTCATATTTGGCTCCGGCTCTGGCTCTGGAGAGGTGCGTACGAAGTTGTGTTCTTTTTTATTCATCAGTAGAAAACCCTTTGTGTAATGATACTTTGAGGAAATCTAAACTGACCCAGGCGATGCTGTTGTTATCATAAGTACTCTATGTCCAATGCTTTGTGCTTTTGAATTCCCTAAAGTTATTTATATTCTGTGGTATGATAAGGATGTTCATGTCACATCTACACTTCCCTTGACGTCACAAAGGTCATGACCAAATTATGTGTTACATTCTGTGAGTGAGCACACTATATGGAACAGGCAATTTGTCAAAACATCCCAGCTGTGTGAGACTCTAATTTGACAATTATGACCATTATGTGTTCTTCTTCCACAAGATAAAATGCATATCTTATTATTGTTTTTAACAGTAAGATGTATTTATATGAATATTAACTTTCACTGGAATGTTAAGGTGGAAACAAATATGCATTAATAATAGTTCGATTGATAATACCATATATTTCTATATGACATCATTGATGGTTATTTCATAACAATATCATATTATATTTCGGCTCGTTTTATTCAAATAAGTCATGGGTGTTACAGCTTAAAATATTTGGAAACATTTAACAATGAAACGTTTGTTTTGTTGTCTATGTGCTCCCCTGATGATGCAATATAGCTCTGGATTGGTGGACTGGGTGACTAGATTAAGGAATTCATCAAAACTTCAATGACAAAACGTTGATTTCATGCTCTCTGAACGCGATTATTTTCGTTGAGTTTCGATTTAAAGCTTTCGTGACTGCAGGGATTCATATTCTTGATTCTTTCGGTAAAGTCACATAGAAGGGAAATAATAAAATAATGCAAATAAAAAATACCATTCTCACGACGTTTCGATTGCAACACAAGCAATCATCATCAGGTGTGAAAACCACAACAAGAAAATTTAAAAAAATTCACACCTGATGACGATTGCTTGTGTTGCAATCGAAACGTCGTGAGAATTTTATTGTTTTATTTGTATTATTTTATTATTTCCCTTCTACGTGATTTTACCGAAAGAACCAAGAATATTTTCGTTGAGTTCAGTGAAATCTATTCTCGGCCCATTTATTGATTTATTTGCCTTTCAGTTTAATACCCTAATGGTGGTTATGACGATACCATATATGTAAAATAATCATATCAAGCTACATGCACTCGACTTGTACTGTTGAGTTCTGTGCGCATATTATGAATAGTTTGTGTTGTATTATTACCGTAATAATGTTTTGAACAACTCCTTCATCGATTCACGCAACTTTTTTGTTTTACTTTTGAGTTAAATAACTAGAACATGGATCTGACTTTTACTTGTGTTTGTAAATATGATTAATATTATGCACCTTCGTGTTGACATGAATTTTATTATCAGTACCACTACTGGGGGTTTAGACTCAAAGTAAAAATCAGTTAATAATTCAGTTGAATTCAGCTAAGATGCTTTCAGTGATTCATATATATAATTTTCCATCAAAATGTCAGGCCATACGTGGCTGTATGAAAGGAAGTCGGTTCCGCTTACATGTTATCATTTAGTGAATGTCACTCGTTTTTATAACTGACCCATATCCCCTTAACACATTGCAAAAGTAAAAACCTAGGAGTGCTAAAACATGACATCACAACATACTTCCAGCACATTCAGCCACGTTCCACCAAAGCGGCTCATCTCATATTGGCACGCACGAGACGTAGTACCAAACAAGCACCAGAGCAGACATTTACAAAAAAAACACAAGGACAAAGATCCCCCATATAACCTTAACAGACTGTAGGGGCAAGTGCTATTATCTCGCACCTATGAAGGCCGGCACGGTACACGAGGGGGTGGGTGGCCAGCACCACGCCCGACCGCCTTAGTCTCTCCAGTGGCAATGTTTACTCACACCGCACCAGATACTCATGTTGAGGCTGAGTCGACCTAGGAGAGGCCCAGGACCGGTTCAGATAATCGTCACTGGTGTTGGCCGTGAGCGGGAATCGAACCCGGGTCGCCGGGTTAGTAGCGCAGCACGTTAACCGCTACACTACCGCTCCCCACACACACATACACACACACATACACACACATGTCACACACATACACACACATACACACACACATACACACACATACACACACATACACACACATGCCACACACATACACACACATTTCACACACATACACACACATACACACACATACACACACACATACACACACATACACACACATGTCACACACATACACACACATGTCACACACATACATACACACACACATACACACACATACACACACACACATGCCACACACATACACACACATGCCACACACATGGCAGGATCAAAAGGACACAACGGTTGCGAATTATTACATTTATTTTATTTAGTACTTCATTACTTGCTAGTTTTTAATTATTCAGCAACCTTGAATTGAAATTACTCTTTCACGCATCCTGTTCATGGTGCGTGTGACCTTGTCAGCTTTGCTGAAAGATATGACGCATGCTATGATTGATTACGTTCAATTATATGGCTTCTCATTTTGCTCAGGCAGTTTTACATGCCTTAAGCAGTTGTGAGATATACATTTCTGTTCAATACGATGATTAGGGTATACTTTTCTAACGATTTGCTGGAAGGGAAAAATCTTCAATCATGAGCTGTGTTTTTTTTAAATAACATTCAGCAGTAGATAAGTGAAGTACCTTTAAACGTAATTGACCACACTTTTAATTTGAAGCTTCTTCATTTTTGAAATTCATAAGATCTTTAAGCATTTCGCATTTTTTGGGTCAATATATAGTACTGCAATTGCCAATTGCAAACAGGAATACATTTAACAATAACATGCAGAAGTGTGTTTGTCTCAAGAAATAATGTTGTTCAAGCCGGTAATCAATTATTGTGACCAATATGACATTGTAAGCCTTTGTTAAAAAAAAAACACCACAACAAATTCATGATTAAACTAAAGCAGTGTTTGCAGTTATCACATGAACTCAAAATACTCTAAGCAGAGGAGCCTCACGTATTTAATCCACCCTGCCGTAATTTATTATACTCTGGATTGCACATGGAGAGTCTTCTGTTCTGCTGCTGCGACTGGGAAATGCAGATCTGCTGTCATAACCCCACTTTGTTTGCATGCACCTGAAAGCACAGCCAATAAAATAGTGTGCTCATGCTTGTGAACGTCAACAAGAGCATTGCCCAGCGGTAGCGCGTTCGCCACTTGCTGCAAAGTTTCGGCTCATGGTTCGAATCCAGCGGCCGCCCTGATTATTATTGCTGTGCGTAATCACCATCATAATACTACTACGCGTTGTCTGCTTCACAGTGAACGTTAAAGATCCCGCTGACATCTTCACAAGAGCAGGCCACCGTGTGTACCGATTTCACAGTTGATATTTGCAACATAAAAAAAAACACCCGCAAACTCCTCAATTGGGATTAAACATCATAATCATAGGCCCCCTACTGGCAGACTAATGTTGCAGGTCACTATTGCAAATGGGACTATCCTGATCTTTTGAGTTCTCACCTGCTTCAACAAAACATGAACTTAATGAGTTTCTGAAGCTCCTGAAGAAGCTCCCAGCACATGGATCGAAACCAAATCTGGAGCGAGACATTTTGACAAATGTGTAGCCGGATGGTACAGCACTGATTGTCACATCGCAATACCATTGGAGATGGTGACGGCTTGGCGAGGCCTTCATCTAGCAGTGGATAGATCATGGCTGTTGATGATGAATCACAAAATTGTTTAGTGGGGTGCAGGATGGGTAACAAGAATTTGACTTTTAGAAATATATATGCTGGATAGCTTTTCAAATTCATGTGCCTTAGAAAGTATGTTTGGCTGGTGCCTCTAACACGTAGTTTGACGTTGAAACACTACCTGGAGTGTAGACAAGTAATCATGCTTCACTTGATTAATGATTAATGAGTAATTTATGTCTGCGGTAGCGTTCCTGATTAGCACACAGACTGCCTGCATCCACCTCTCAATCAATGGCATTGCATTAGTACAAGCACAAAATAACCCTGCAAGACTAATTCAAGGTTACCGAATTCATCAACCCTTAACTGGCATGACAGTTAAGTAGAACCAAAGAATAGAACCAAAGAGGATGGATCCTTGTAGTCACGAAAGCTTTAAATCTAGAAGGGGTTACACTTATTTGTGTATTGTATTTTCCCATTGAAGTACAATATTTTGCTCTGGAAATATTATCGTCATCATTTATTATTCATGTTACAAGTAAGCAAACAGAAATCCATCGTACATGTTGAATGAGACTGTACTGTACAGTACTTTAAACATGAGCTACGTTGTGTTAATGGACTTATTCATGGTCTTTATTTACTTATTTCAAGATATCACAAAATAACTGATATATATGAGACCAGTAAGTTATTACCAGCTCAGTGATCTCTTTTGAATTATTCATTTGTGTAATTCACTTCATGCTGAACAGCACAGCATATGATATATTGGATTTGCCATCCGTGTTCTGAGTGTCAGAAGGTCATACAGTATTAATATTTTTCAACAAACCAAATATAAGGTCTTTGGCATTTGCAGGGGTTATCTAGAAATGGATACACCAGCCGGTGATGCACACATCTTTTTCCATTAACCGTGTGCAGAAGCCTTCCCTCGGCAAAACACCGAAAATACACGTTTCAAAACTGCCATGATTGCTGGCTAGTGTCGTCACTTCACTTAGACACGTGTTCCGCTTTTACCGCACCCTCCGTGATACATACTTACACCTCTATTAAATGCTGATGAGTTACACCTTCCCTTGCTGATTTTCACATTTTCAGAATCAATGGGACATTTTAAACCAAATAAGAGCAGATTGAAACGTTTTGGCTCGGTACCAGAATGGCTTTTTTGATGAGTTTTCTTAAATAACTTTTTTTTGCCTGCGCAATTGGGCATTTGTGGACTCCTTTATGGTGCTCAAGCTGATCTGTATAGTTAACGTGACATGGATTTTAGGCTGTAATGCTACGCGCAGATAAGTCTGATTTTAATTTCGTGGGGATTTGATGGCAGTAAATTGCGCGTGAGGAACTGTAAAAGCCGAAGAGCAGCGGCTTAAAGAGAAGCATTATGTTAACTAAGCTCAGTGTCGAATACCATGAACTGTTAATCAGTTGATTCACAAAATAACGTAACAATTATGATCTTTACAACAAGAAAAAAATATCCTGTTTGTGTATATTTTTTATAAATATGTGTACGGGCGTACATGTGTGCTCGATTGCGAGGCATTCGCCCTCCAACAACAATGGAAGCCGAAGGAGCGATGCTCACAACAATGTGCAGAGCACCCAGTGGATAAAATATAGCAAGCTGGTGCAGTGGAGAGCACAGATGGTGCATCTGCCGTTCAACTCAATCAGTTCACCCATAACATCCATTATAGTGGTGTTTTTGGGTTAGATCGCGTAAATATATAAATGTGTCGTTAAAACCCGCCACCACCCGACACAGCCAACTGGTAAGGGTTGTCACGTAAACAGAACGTGGCCAATTCGTCACTAGTACAGCACACCGGTGTGTTGTTGGAGAGCCAAGCCACAACATCTACAATCTGAGTACGACGTTTCACCAGTTATTACAACTAGCTTCATCAGCCAGATTTGTGGAGGAGTCTAACTGTTTTGTTCCTTATATAGAGGCGTAGATGTGGTGACCACGCTTCGGCATGTGCATTACGCGAGCCCTTTGATCTTGTCCTTCCTGTCTATTGTGTGTATTAAAATAGCCATACCAACGGTAATCCCTATTGAAGTATGGTGTCCTTTATAGGAATGCATTTAAACAATGTATTATTTGATCATTCGCTTCCACGCAGCGCTAAGGCGGTAGCTATCCGAACTGTTAAAGTTATTTGTATTTCTTTCAATTTCGATAGATTATCTAATTAGTCTTGGCCAGTAGTAGCTAGTTTTGCACGTAACTTCAACATCAAAATCAATTTAGTGTCCTTGTTGGCACGCGTGTTCTGCTACCGCTGACAGTTGTATTTGGGAGTATTTAATATTTCTCTGATGTTCTTTTAGTCTCTTGCTGATCATTCGTCCTGTTTGCCCAACATAACATGTACCACACGTGCAGTTAATCCTGTACACACCTTCTGTTGATAGCTTCGGTAATACATCTTTTGTACCAGATATTACTAGTTGGCTGTGTCGGGTGGTGGCGGGTTTTAACGACACATTTATACATTTACGCGATCGAACCCAAAATACCTATTTTATGGATTATATTGGTCGCGAAAGCCTACGTGTTAAACTAACCCATAACACATGGGGTCTGTTCCATGTACACCTATAGCCTGGCGCAAGCACTGTGGTGACAAACACCGCTACTTAGTGGCAAATGACTCATGCCATTGTTGTCGTCGTTGTCGTTGTTGTTTGTGCTTGCACATAACGCAGACAACAACGCTCATCGGGCTGCTGAAGACGGCGCGGCTGCTGCGTCTGGTGCGCGTCGCGCGCAAACTCGACCGCTATTCCGAGTATGGAGCGGCCGTCCTCGTGCTGCTCATGTGCACGTTCGCGCTCATCGCACACTGGTTGGCCTGCATCTGGTATGCCATCGGCAACATGGAACGCCCCGTGGACAGGTAACGTTACCCGCATACAATACCCCTCTTGCCGCACCGTCCGGCTTTGGCTGCTGAGATGGAAGGACCTCCGGGTGGTTTTTTGTTTGTTTGTTCTCATTCAGACAAGTCTCTTTCTTGAATAATAAGGAACACAAAGAAACAATGGACACGTGCACTCATTGTGGCCTGAGCAGAGATGTATAATTCAAACGATCGGTGACTACCCAAGTTTGTGTACCTTGAATGTGCTACTGTCACAGCTTTTTTTGTGTCTGTACTTCATGCATGTGTTCATATATAGTCAATATTTGTTTGTACACAGTAAAAAGTTATTATATTAATGACTGTAGAGTTTGCGTCTCAGTTGGCGATTGTTCATTCTTCCAAAACTGACGAGGTAAGTAATCTTAAATGGTCTTTTTCCAGCTTTCTCTTAATCTTGAAGGTTGATCTATTGTTTGCCAAGGAAATGGAAATGTGCAAATGTAGCAGTGCTGGGATTCGGGTTTCCACCTCACAGAGGTACAACACAATCCAGGACATAATTAGAGGTGCGGGGGAAGGATAACAAACTAAACACAAAAAGCAGTTCTAAAGAAACGAGTTTTCAATCGAGATATTTTTTTAAGTGCATAGCTCCAGTGACTTCTTAATATCAGAAGGTTACTCGTCCAACTACTTAAAAAAAATGTTTCTTACTGATACCACCAAGGTGAAGGCTACAATTTTTCCTTTTTTCCACTTAGGGCTACTCCATCTCGCAGGCCTGTCCTGTTTACCTTGTGAGTGTGAAATGATACAGGTTATGTTACTTTCCATGAGCGTGAAATACGTGGATTGTACCTCTTTGCTTCGCAGTTTAGCTAAGGATCGCATCGGGTGGCTGGATCAACTAGGTGGCCAGATTGGAAAGCCCTACAACGATACAGACACATCCTCAGGCCCCTCCATCAAGGACAAGTACGTCACAGCCCTTTACTTCACCTTCAGTAGCCTGACAAGTGTGGGCTTTGGCAACGTGTCGCCCAACACCAACTACGAAAAGATCTTCTCCATCTGCGTCATGCTCATTGGATGTAAGTTGAACGCTTTCTCCCCCCCCCCTCCCGCCTCTGTGAGTGCTCATTATTGATGAAGCTGTGAGATGCATCCCTGCAATTGTTGCTCACATCACTGCTGGTGGAGGGACCTCCACAAGAGAAGACTCGAGAGAGCCTCTCTAGAATGGTATTCGTCCTACTGTTGCACACTGGCCAGACATATTGGTGAGAGGTGGGAATACTCAACATCATCATAGGCTATCCCTTGCAATCGAGGATGATTATCTTCCCTAGACAAGTTGCATTATCTGTGGGTCCGAAGATGGCTGAAGAGACCAATCTGGGATTGACAGATTCTGCCGCAACTCGGGCACAGGTGTTCAGAAAGAGCGGGGGGTGCAACTGGATTAGTAAGTTGGGCTGCAGTGTGAATACTCACACTTTACTCCACCACATGTGACCTTGCGATCGACTAACTGCGGTGCACAGTACTCATTTATACTGCTGGGCGGACACCAGATCGTGCTGGGAGATCAAATCAGCGACCTCTGGACGACATTTTGCTGGTAGTTATAACCAGCATCATCAGGCAGTTAACAGAAATCGTCACACCCAACAGTTAAATGTTGTGGATTGCTCTCCAAAATGCCAGTGTGTTGAAGCAGCAGTAAACTGGCACGTTTGTTCGCGTGACAACTTTATTAATTGCCCGTTGGAAGAGAGTGTATAACGCGCATTTTACTCACGCCCTTTGACCCAAAATTAAATCATAAATTGCTTATAAAATACCCGGTAAAAACATATTTTGGGAACTTTTTGACGAAGTGACTAGCTCTTAACTGTGAAAGAACAAAACACTTTTGAAACAAAAATAAATATGGTACCAGCAGCAACATGGCCTTTTAAGTGCAGGGTACACATTCGTTTCTTATTCCATCCTGCCAAGCTCCTGGCTTAGCTCCACCGGATCTCATGATGATTCGCTGGAAGGGCGAGTGTGTTGCCAGACCCCCACTAATGGCAGTGGTGTGTGTGTGTGTGCGCGTCTTTGTACGTGTTTCCATAACGCACAGCCCTCATGTACGCCAGCATCTTCGGTAACGTATCGGCCATCATACAGCGACTGTACTCGGGCACGGCGCGCTACCACACGCAGATGCTGCGCGTCAAAGAGTTCATCCGCTTCCACCAGATCCCCAACCCACTGCGGCAGCGCCTGGAGGAGTACTTCCAGCACGCCTGGTCCTACACCAATGGAATCGACATGAACATGGTATGGCTACGGCCGCCGGGCGGGGGGGAGGGGGCGATCGCTCAGCCAGAGCTCGCTCCCGTGACACCGCAGGTGGTCGCAGTGTGCTCCCGTGTCGCAGCTGCCAACCGTGCGGGAGTGCGTGATAGACAGAGCGAGGGTGAGACGGGACACACGCAATGTCCGCCTTCAGAAGCACGATGCTTTGTGATGAGCGTACAAACAGCATGTTCGACAGCGCCATTGCCAACCTGTTGTTTTGGGATCATGGAATTTTGCCAATGAACTTTCCAACGGTTCTCCCTCTTCAACGCCACTTACGAGTGAGTGCGTTGTGGAACACTATCGCAGACATGGGATGGTAGCGTCTATCAAATGAAGTTTCATTTGATGTCACCCGACCGGTTAGCCATTGTGAGTTTTTTTTAGTTATGCATTTGTCACGAAAACACATTTCGTCATACCTGTTTTTTTTGTTTCTTCTTGCTCGGCATGTGTCCAACCATACACGTTTTTCATACTAGCCGTAGGTTAAATCATGTAATGTATGCTCACTGCACTGGCATATATCTGATAGCATAAAACGTGCATTCTGTCATTGATGCACAGTGGATGGCGTGAAGCAATACGAGTCTTTGTGCCAAGGCCAAAATGTCTGCGTGTCTATCCTCCGGTCCAGGCACATTAGCCTACCATTCCTCTTGCTCTGCTTTGCCATGTCACGGGGGCTGCAAGTGACCTTGTGCTTAACCCGGCCATCGTTTTTCCTCCACCTCCCTGCTCATTCATGGACGTGCTTTTGCAATATCTACAGGAGGTAATAAATGCAAACCAAATAAATATCTATAACTCTTTCCATGCAAGAGGGTCCACAACTTAGCTTTTTCATGGACCTGTGCAATTCAGTCGGTACCTTGTCATTGGCCTAATGTTTATTTTTAAGGCTTTTTTTGCCACGGAGTATTTTCCATGCTCACATTGACGAATGTCTGCTGGAAAGAGTTATGACTACAAAGGAGGGGCCCTGCTTGTTTCCTTACCTGATTGAGAAACCTTCCTTGTCGTGATGCCTGATGCCTGCTATGCCTGTGTAATCCAAAGCATGCATGCATGCACAGACACATCCCTACCTGTAATCTATATTTCCGTCCTTAAAGAGAAAGGGGCCTTTCGCCAACCATGCAGTAGACTTTCTCTAGGATCTTTCAGCTTCATGGCAGCAGAACCAATTTGCTGCTGAACCACTCAGCTGAGACACCTTCGATGACTTGCTATGCGTAAGACATGGCAATCACAGAGGGCACAGTTTACTTGGGTTGTTGGCAGTCAACAATGAGTGCAGTCTTTGGCAGCAATCAAGTGAACATTCTGACATTGATGCCAGGTGGATATAGTAATACTGCAGGAAATACCAATTTCCATAAATCACATGGTAATATAAATGTTGCAGTTGACATAGTGAAGCTCAATTAACGTTTAAAGAGTCAGGGGCAAGCTTCACTTGCCACACCTGTGACTACTGGATATCTGTGACAAATTAGCTTCATAGCTCATCGGATTTCCTCCAGGATAAAGGAAGATTCTGATTCATATTTTAAAACATGTCTATGGTTGTTGCAGTAGAGCTTTAAATCCACCTGCCTCATTGCCTTTGGTGCCGTATGCTGCTGAGTTTGCGTTACTGCCTCAGCCTATAAACAAGTTGACAAGACATTACAATTAGGAAGTAGATTGAAGTTACACATTGTTTAGCATTACTTTTTATTGCATGGTTTTTTTTAATTTGACAAAGTTATAACTGCTCATGAATACATTTAAATGATGTAACTATTACTGTACATCTCGCTGTAGGTATAACCTTTTGGTGTGTTGTGTGTATACATGACCAACATTCCTAAACGGTGCAGATGTATGGTTAATTGGTTTTAACAGCAATGAAATATCCTTTGAGCCACGTCGTTATTAATGATTTTCCATGGGGAAAGCCATGCAAGATGATTTTTTTTGAAGAAAGAATGCCAGTGATTTATTTCAGTGAACGAATCGCCAAGTGTTGCTCACAAACGTGGATAAACAACTTTACGTAGTAGAAATTTTTAAACAAGCAATGCCAAAAGTAAGACAGTTATGTTTAGCACTTTGGAAAAATTGCCTTTTGAACACACAATTTCCAGGGACCAAAGTGCAAGTCTCCGACGGTTCTGTGCCAGATTTTGATGCTGTTCATGAAAAAGCCTTGACGTGCGGTGGAACAAGCTACAGGCACTGGCGGCACCATCTTGTCAAGCACAAAACTGCCAATCTCAGTCACACCACCACAGTGCAAGGCAATGACATTTCTGTCTCAGAGGAACTGGCACGAATGCTGTCGCACAAATTATCTCGCATGTGGGGAGAGAGGAAAACCCCGTACACCACTCTGTATGACAACTGTACGCAGTAGACACGTTTATTTTTTATATGTTGAACTTCTTTGGAGATTTTCATTTTCACGCCAACTCTTTTGTGATTTTTACTCTCGAGTCCTGTGTCAAAGAGTTATGCAAAAGTGAAGCTCTGCACACGGTTTCGAGAGGCGCTTACAAAGCCTGAAGTCGGCTGCACATGACATTTTGTATGCGGTGCATTGTGCTGTCGTGCGTCGTTATTGGCTGCGGTGGAGCAAATCATGCACTGTGGTTTCCGCATCTGAATGATGGAGACATCATCGCCTTTGTTGTCGTTACCTGTGAAGGTGGTGGGTGCCTATAGCATGCTGGATGCCATTATTTTAGTGTATGACATGAAAATAAGTTTTGTATAATGAATAGTGCAATGTTAAGAGATTTATATGGCTTTTATTTACTTAATTACAAAAGCATTTATAATGTTGGTTGCGTTGGAGCTTGCTGTGCTTTTATGTTTGGAATGCGTTGTGGTGACATTCGCTAACTTGCATAAAATATTTTTAATAAGTACATGTATGTGCTGTATATATATGAATCATCCTTGCTTGAATCATATTATCATGCTTAGTGTTGCACTTATTATACTGCACAAACCTAAGTGCAGGACCTCATTAGGTATCTGCATCTGACTTTGCCGCAATTTACGTTTGTTTGGGGCATTCGTTTATACCCTTTCAACCTCCGTTTTCTCACTTTAGTCCAAAATCCCTTCTCGTTACGCAGGTGCTAAAAGGCTTCCCCGAGTGTCTACAGGCTGACATTTGTTTGCACCTCAATCGAACGCTGCTGGAGAGCTGCAAGGCCTTTAATGGGGCCAGCAAGGGTTGCCTCCGCGCCCTGGCCATGAAGTTCAAGACGACGCATGCTCCACCCGGAGACACGCTGGTCCACAGCGGGGACGTCATCACAGCCATGTACTTCCTTTCGCGAGGATCCATCGAGATCCTTCGCGAGGACATTGTGGTGGCTATTTTGGGTAGGGAGATTTAAGCTGCGTAGGTTTTCCGCGGTTGTTGCTGTATGTCTCTCCCACAATGTGTTTTTGCATTGCCCGGCGCGTTGTTGAGCATGGTGCTCTGCCTTTTCGCTCCACTTGCCGAGAGATTTCTCAGGAACTTAGTTCCTGAAGAATTCAGATTGCGAAGAAGCTCCCCAACACTGGTACAACTACATAGCGCGAACACGTCGGAGAGCTAAGGAGATGTGTGTTAAGTCAGAATCAGAATCTTTATTTAGACTGGAGGAATCCCATGAGCTATGAAGCTCTTTTCACAGATGTCCAGTATGTAGTTGGACAGAAAATAGTGTCCTTACAATGTTACGGTTATCCTTAAGAAACCAGAATTTCCGTTGGTCGTCTTTGTTCACCAAGATTGGATTCGTATTCTTGGTTCTTTTGGTAAAGTGACGTCGAAGGGAAATAATAAAATAACAAAAATACAAAAATAAAATTCTCACGACGTTTCGATTGCAACACAAGAAATCATCATCAGGTGTGAAACCCACAGCAAAATTTTTTTTAAAAAAAAGTGGCGGTTTTTTTGAAAAAAAAGATTGGATTTGTTTTAGTTCAATTGCCTAATGTCCATGCTGTGGCTGAGCAAGCTCTGTACCGCCACCTGCTGGATGATTGCTGGGTACTGCAATTGCTGTAATAAGCGCGTCAATATTGCGATTGTTCTCCATCCCACGTTACGTTTCCAAAACCGCATTGCCATCGCCAGATTTGGCATGATGCACATTTACAATCATCACAATCATTTTCGCAGCGGCTTTTGGCTAGCCATCGAGCAAAGACGACCACTGCATCGTGCGCTTTCGGATGCGCTTCGGCCGTCTGGACCGCTCTTCCGATATCAGGACGCCATTGGAGCTATGCGCTTTTAAATTTTGATTTTGAAAGTAATTTATTGAGAACTGCATTTTGTGTTTAGTTTGTTGTCCTTCCCCCGCACCTACGATTAGCACCATTGGCTACGTACAGTGCGAAAGAAGCTCAACTTACATTATTCTTGCATAAAGAGGTATGAAATTAATTCGTAAAGCCAAGGACATCAACTCCTCGGTACATTCTTCGAGTTCATACGATGCACCGTTTGCGTCTGTATGTTGATGCAAAAGTTGTAGGTGCGTCTTACAATCCGGTCAGTGTGTGTGTGTGAAAACATTTGTTTAACTTTATTGATACCGAGCACAATTTCGGAGTGCCGTCTTACTTTCCGGAGCGTCTTGTTATACGGTATTCATTTTTGTTATCACAAAGACCCCCCGAGAGTGGGGGGGGTGGGGGGGGGTCTTTTTTCCACCAAAGTTCTCCTTTCACTCCTGATAACTGCGAGCGATTTGTATTTCTTCATTAGGTAAAAATGACATTTTCGGGGAACCCGTCAACCAGTACTCGCGTCCCGGGAAATCCAGTGCAGACGTGCGGGCGTTGACCTACTGTGACCTGCACAAGATTGTGCGCGAGGACATGCTGGAGGTCCTGGACATGTACCCGGAATTCTCCGAACACTTCTGGCCCAGCCTGGAGATTACCTTCAACCTGCGAGACATAAGCTCAAAAGTAAAATATGAATTCACTTTACGCATGCAGAACATGCAATTTACATTTTTTTTTAAAATCACAGCATGCTTAAGTATATATGTATTCGTATGTAACTATGCAGTACATTGCATTTAGTTTTCCTGTTTTATTTTAATGGGTGTGTCTTTTATCCTCTCTAATTTGTGAAGTATCAACTGTGTAGATAAAATGACTAGTAAACGAATTGTTTTAAGTTCTACGTTTTTGCTTGGTTAATTAATTTACTGTACCTTTTAAAGACAATGGATGCATCTAATGTTCATATCTCTGGCTTTACAGACTGAAATTATCCCCAGATCCCCTTGGAGTTATGAGTCAGATGGAGCTTATGGAAAACTTAGAAAACGGAAATTGTCATTCAGGCGTCGAACAGAAAAAGGTACAAAATCTCTCATTAAAAAAATCTACACTCATATTTCCATTCACGTACTTGGCCACATACGCTATGGAACTAATTTCAGGTATCTTGAAATTTAAACCCTTTATATGGGGCGATCTGTAACGAACAAAAAGATCCTCCATATAGCCTTTAACAAACTGTCAGGGCAAGTTTTGTTAGCGGTCACCTATGAGGGGATGGGAAGACAGCACCACGGCCGGCCACCTTTGTCTCGCACCAGGTACTCATTTAAGGCTGAATCGACCTAAGGGAGGCCCAGAACTGGCTCATATATTAGTCACTGATATTGTTCGTGCGCGCGAATTCAACTTGGGTCGCCCAGCTTCACAGCACAGTTCCCAAACCACTACTCTAGCGCACTCCTCGACCGATCTCTAGACACGCAGACGCGCGTTACTCATTCGCAGATGAGAGGGTTGAGGACGACGGCGACGCCAAGGCGAGCGACACGTGGCCAGCGCGAAGGCCTCGCAGGCGAGGTGGGCGCCGAGGGCCGGGCCGGCAGGAGAGTGCCACCACCTTCTCGGCTTCCAGCGAAGGAGAAGGAGATGACGACGACGGCGGCGGCGGCGGCGGCGGCACCGCGAAGCAAAAGGACAATGGGGCCGAGGCTGTGAAGGCAGTGTCGCGAATCGTGGAGCTGTCCCCGGAGTGCGCCGGTTGCGACATCACACCGGCCGACCTCAGCTTCAGCTCACCGCTTACGGCCGCCGTGAGGCCACGGGACCGAGGAGGCCTCATCTCCGGTGAGAAAATTCCATTCCTTTTACTCTGAATAGGGGCGCCATGATGGCAAGATGTTAACTAACTTGCCGAGTATGCAGGAGGTTGTGGGTTCGATCACGACCCTGACACCTGTATGTTTGGAGTTTGCATGTCTCTCTCCCCGTGGTTGTATGAATTTTTTCTCCGGGTCCTCCGGTTTTTTTTCCTCCACATTTATAAACATGTGTTTAGAGTATTTGGCTGCTATAAATTTCCATGTGATGATAAGCCACTTTGTTGAGCTATTATTTGTGGCCAGGTAGCTTCTGAAAAATAGCTTTATAGCTCAGTAGGCCTTACCTGGTAAAATAAAAAATAGTTTAGTTTAGTTCTAAATATATCTTCCTTTTGGGAGTTTCTGACTGTGAGTGCTCAGAGCATTTTCTTGTTTTGCGTAATCTTACCTATATAAGTAATTTTATGTCTGTGTGTGTGCCTGTCTGTCTGCGCGGGTACCCTGAGACGTTTTTAACTGACAATGTGGGGTTTACGTAACGAAAAAGTACACGGATAACACGCCGTATGCCCCGGGATGAAAAGCGCTATTCGTATTTCACATCTGTCAACTTTAAAGTAGTTAAATAAACAATGTGTTCCCTATTCTTGGTTCTTTCGGTAAAGTCACGTAGAAGAGAAACAATAAAATAATAGAACTATAATACAATAAAATTCTCACGACGTTTCGACTGGTGTGAAAACCACAGCAAGAAAATTTGAAAAAAGTGGCGGGGTTTTTTTTATAACGTTAAAAAAACGCCACTTTTTTCAAATGTTCTTGCTGTGGTTTTCACACCTGATGATGATTGCTTGTGTTGCAGTCGAAACGTCGTGAGAATTGTATTGTTTTATATTTTTATTCTTTTATTGTTTCCCTTCTACGTGACTTTACCGAAAGAACCAAGAATATGAATCCCTGCAGTCACGAAAGCTTTAAATAAAAATGTATTCCCTTTTATAAGCACAGGGTGGCGCCAGAGCACGCATCTGCGCATGCGCGGGAAAGCCGGCTCCGTGGTGGTGGTTGCCCTAGCAACGCACACACGCGATCGGTGGGGGGGGGGAGGAATTCTCATTCGCGTTAAAAATGCAAAAAAAAATACACAACGCTGAGGTAATTTCTTCACAGTGTGATGTCCTCTTCTCCCCAAGGTGAGCACTTACTACTATAGGGTCGGTAGATGCTGCTATTATCGTCCTTAGATAATATTATTGTAGAGCGGGCAGGGGGATGGTGGGGGGGCGGTTGCAGCCCAGCCCTAGCCTGCCAAGGTGCCACCTCGGCCGGCTGGGCAATCTAGGCGAGGCCGGTGGCTCTGCATGGGACTAGGCCTCACCACTACACTCTATAATAGTACTAACTTCACAGAGTCGATATGTACTATTATAGTCGGTAGATACTACTGTCAAGTCGGGAGATACTACTGCAGAGGCGGGAGATGCTACTGTAGAGTCTGTAGTTACAACTATAGTCGGTAGATACTACTATAGAGTAAATAGATACTAGTATAGATTCAGTAGATACTACTGTAGAGTCAGTAGTTACTACTATAGTCTGTAGATACTGCTATAATCAGCAGATACAGCTATAAAGTCTGCAGATACGACTTTTGAGTCAGGAGATACTACTATAGTCATTAGACACTACTGTAGAGTCAGTATATACTACTATAGAGTTGCTTGATACTACTATAGAGTCGGCAAATACTACTATTGAGTCAGTAGATACTACTGCAGTCAATAGGTACCACTATGATCAGGAAATACTGCTATAGTCAGTAGAAACTACTACGGTCAGTAGCTACTACTGTATAGTTAGTAGATACTGCTACTGTCAGTAGATACTACGACGGTTAGTAAATACTACTACAGTCAGTAGATACTACCATAGAGTCAGTAGATACTACCATAGAGTCAGTAGATACTACTGTAGCATTAGTAGTTACTACTATAGTCAGTGGATACTACTATCGTCAGTAGTTACTACTATAGAGTCGGTAGATGCTACTGCAGTCACTAGATACCACTACGGTCAGTAAATACTGCTAGTCAGTAGGTACTACGATACAGTCAGCAGATACTACTATAGAGCCAATATATACTGTAGAGTTAGTAGATACTACTATGGTCAGTAAATACTTCAACAGTCAATAGTTACAACTATAGATTCAGTAGATACTACTATAATAATTAGATACTACTGTAGAGTCAATATTTACTGCTATAGAGTTGGTTGATACTACTATAGAGTCGGCAGATACTGCTATTGAGTCAGTAGATGCTATTGCAGTCAGTAGATACCACTATGGTCAGTAAATACTGCTACAGTCAGATACTACTATACAGTCAGTATATACTACTGTAGAGTTAGTAGATACTACTACTATCAGTAGTTCTACAGTCAGTGGTTACTACTAAAGAGGCGGTAGATAATACCATAGGGTCGGTAGATACTACTATAGTCAGGAGAAAATACTAGTCATTAGATACCACTATAGTCAGTATATACTGCTGCAGAGTCGGTAGATACAACTATAGAGTCAGTAGATACTGCTATAGTCAGCATATACTGATATAGAGTCTGCAGATACTGCTATAGAGTCTGCAGATACTACTATAGAGTCAGCAGATGCTACTATGGAGTTAGTAGTTACTACTATAGTCAGTATATACTTCTGTAGAGTTAGCAGTTACTACTATACAGTTAGTAGTTATTACTATAGAGTCGGTAGATACTACTGTAGGGTCAGTAGATACTACTACGGTCAGTAGTTACTACTGGGCTCAGTAGATACTACTATAGAGTCACAAGATACTACTCACTAGATTGTGTATGTAGGGTGTGTAGGTATATATGCCCACGTGGGGGTAAAACTATTTTTTGAGGGGACGGGGGGGTCGACAATTTTCGGAAAACTTTTAGATCAACTATTGCCCCCCATTTTCTATATATTTTTTTTACTTCTCAAGCCTCTTATTTTTTTGACGGAGAAATGGACAGAGAAACGACACGCCGGGCTTTCACAATAGCTTAGTATTTGTGTAAGTATATGTTATGTTTTTAAGAGAAGTTTTAAAATAGATTTTTCCCCCGGGCAACGCCGGGTACTTCCCACTAGTACCACATATAAGCAGCATTTCTTTAAACAGGAAAACTTGGACCAGTCGCGGCTTGGTACACAAATGTTGGTGGGTTGCCGGATGTTTTTAGTAAGAGCACGCCATCCAAATGCTAAATATTGTACACAAAATAATTATGCATAATTGTGGAGCATCGTGGGTAATGACATGTAAACACGGACGTACATTGTGTGTTTATTTTTTGGGATTCTCATTTCTTCCTCCGTGCAGGAGCATTATCGGGAGTGTCGGCAATGCTGGGCAGCATGTGGGGCGAAGGCAAGCACGAGTACCAAGAGGTGCCCAAGCGCTCCGTGTCCGAGCAGGACGTCCTGCGGGAAGGCGGAGGCCGCACTGAGGTTCCGCACGAGAGACTTGACAGGCGACTCGACCTGATGCAGCAACAGCTCAGCAGGTACGAACGGCGCAGCCGCATTTATTTGTAAGCGTACTCTCGCGCTATTCGCCGCCACTGAGCGGGAGCCTGCGAGTGGTTGGTTCGAAATTCGAACTTAAGACGTAATGGCAAGGTGAACGAAATTGTGGAGAGGACATGGATATGTGTAATTGGAAGTACATGGAGAAATTCAAAGGGAGTTCTGGGTAAGGGGACCTTTGAGGGGAGAACAGATGGTTTAAAAGGAGAGAGTAAGGACTGTAAAAGGTTAGAGTTGCGCGTGGATTGGTTCGAGAGCATGTTCGTATCTTGGTCCTCGCTAAGCGTGCATCGTGTTAATTAAAAAAAGTTATTGTTTTCACGGTTACACATCGTGCTCCCGGTCTCATTACACATCGCTTAAGTTAGCGGTGACGTGGCCAAGCGGTAGCACGTTTGCCCCTTGTTGCAGAGTTTCGCAGTTTAAACTATAGCAAGGCATTGGAATGATTGAGATAAGATATACGGTGATTTGAGATGCTGGGGCATTTAAGTAACCAATTAATGTTAATCTTTATGCTCATGAAGCCATTTAATATGCTTTATTAATGTACGTAATGTGAATATTTAATATGCATATTAAGTTCTAAGCATGTAACGATTCAGGGCCATGATTTAAATTAAGTATAAGTCATGTCTCGTTTCTGCCATCTTGTTTATAGTCTCTCATTTTTATGTTTAATCCTAAATATATTAAAAAATGTTTTATGTCATTTACATAATCACTTGGTACAAGCTTGATGCAATGCACATTTTGAGCATAGGAATCAATGAATCATTAAACACTTTGCGTTTTATATAGTTTGCGCTATCTCTCAGGCATAAATATATCTACTGCAGTACCTTGCCAAATGATCGGTTGCTAAAATATTCACGGCCTTTGAAGGCAGCGTCCTATCCAGGCACTGCTTAGAATACTTAATTTCAACTTCAAATACAACTTTTTTTTTTTATCAAGAGCGTTGTGGCAAACAAAAGTAAATTTCGATTTAAAGCTTTCGTGACTGCAATGATTCATCTTCTTTGGTTCTTTCGGTAAAGTCACGTAGAATGAGAATAAAATAATAAATTGATAAAATAGTGTTATTTTATTTTATCAATTTATTATTTTATTCTCATTCTACGTGACTTTACCGAAAGAACCAAAGAAGATGAAACAAAAGTAACTTTGTGCTGGGTGGGTGGCCACAGGCTGGAGTCACGCATGGCCTCAGATGTCGGGGTCATCCTACAGCTGCTACAGAGACAAGCAGTGCTGGTGCCACCGGCGTACAGCGCCATGTCGCTTGCGAATCACGCTGCCGATTCTGAAGCCTGTGACCGTGCCGGCCCGTCAGGGCACACGGCCGTCTCCACCCACTCGGAAGTAACCACTGCCTCCAGCAGCCAGGTAACCTTTGACACATGATTGTAATTACTATTTTTTTCTGGTTTTTTCATTCTTATTGTGATTGTTTACCCAGGAAAGCCTAGGTTTTTCAGGATGTTTTGTGTCATCCCAATGGAGTAATTTGCAGGTCATTTTTCAACATTTTGAGTGTTCGGCCGACACCAGTTACATTGTATATGTTTTGAGTTCAGGAAAGAAACCGCAGAACAGAGAGGAAACCCATGCAGAACAAAGGTAGAACATACAAACTCCATGCAAGAAAGGCGCCTGAGTCAGCAATCGAACGCAGGCCCTTCTTGCTGTGAGGCACAAGTGTTACCAAGTGTTACCATTGTGCCACCTGCTACCCAGCCAGCTGTTCCAAATCAACACCTTACAGCTTTGTGCAAATACTGTGTTTTTTAATGGGTATAAAATGGGTACAGTGTAAATGTATGGCATACATGGGTACGGCCAATCAGCAGGTTTGTGTGGTGGGTTAAAGTGTGGGTACTCCTACCTCTTCCAAGACGCGTCTGGTTAGTGTGAAAAGAGGGCTTCTCTAGAGCTCACTCTCGGGTGGAGGGCCATGTGCGAGCAGTCGCATGAGCAAGAAATTGCAGGACTGCCCCTTTTCCACCTTTACTATGGTCAACAACATGTTATAAGTGCTGATTTTTTTTTTAAAAGAATGTGAATGACAGCCATATTGTATCTTTCATATTTCATATTTTGTCGAATTGCTTTTCCTTTTTTAATGCCACAATTCATGAAGTTGCATTTCTCCTTCAGAGCCGCATGCATTCTGACTATGACATGTGCAAGCACAAGTCGAAGGATTCCATCGCCTCCAATACACTGGATTCCAGGGCGCCGGTAGATGCCCTCTCCGATGCCCTTTGTGACGACACTGTGGCCTTGACCTTCTTGGACCCTGAGCAGCAGCCGCTCATTGTGGGCCTGGAGGAGGACGAACAAGACGACGTAGAGTGTGGGAACGAACCAGCTCGGGAGGCAGCGTCGACCGCGGCTATGACGGTGGCAGCACACACAAGCGCCACTCGTCACCCATCCTTGCCAGACCCTGGTCCCGCCAGCCCCTCAGAGATCCCCTTGCTGCTGCGGCACCACATGTCAGACCCGGGTCTTCCAGGGAGCTAAGCATCTCTGGGAATGGGTTTTTTTTTTGGTTTGGTCTTTTTTTTTTTTATCTGCTTTTAGTTTCATCCCGACTTCCCCGATGACTCGGTTCTCCAGAAGAAAAAAAAAGGTCTGGATTGAGCCGTAATTCCCCAGTTACCACACGCTCAGGGTTAACGCAATCGGAGGCTGCTTCCATTTTGTACGACTTGCAGGATTCACAGCAAGAATGCGCAGAGTTTTATGTGGTCGCAAGCCGAGGGTACTCAACGCTGAATGTGAATTGCGACTGTATGAGTTTTGTAAAAAGGGTAACACACAATCCTGCCATGCAAAAACATTCGAAGACAAACGCAGCAAAGATGACTGCAACTTTTACACCGGCTCACCGAAGATGCTGGATTCACAGACACCTGAGGATCTGCCATCGCGGATCATCTGCCCTTTGCTGGCGAGCAGCACTAGTGATGTATCCTCAGTGAGTTAAAGAGACATTCGTGAAAAAAAAAACCAAGTGTCAACATTTACTTGTAGGTCAAAAGTGAAAGCACATGGCAACTGGAGAAAGCCGTTGGTGTGGTGTGAAACATATCAATGTACGTATTCACCGTTTCTCTATTGGCGTAAGTTTCAGTGCTGACCATGTATTACACAGGCAGGATATTGAGAGCACCTTTGGGAACTGTCAAGAGATGATGGCGGCCGATGATCTGTTCTGTCAAACAATTTTGATGTTGACAGTGAAATGTCAATGGTGTATGAATGTGGGCAAGAGAAGCTTCCCGATGTCGCATCAGTATTATTGACACGGCTACTTTGGCATCCCATAAGGTGTTTTATAGCTGAGCCAGTAGAAGATCAGACTTGCCATAAGTTAACAAAATAAATAAAAACGTATCCTGGCTCCAACTATGGTCGTGCATGTTGAGGTTTTAATTTTGTTAATTTTTGTAAATTACTGACACTAGATTAATCTCGTTGCTGTGGCATTAAACATACTATGAATGCATTATACTAAAATAATCTACCATGCATAACCACAAATTAATCTCGCGTGTAAATATATAACATACAGTACATGCACACCTTTATGAATGTACATAACTTCACTGTACATTAAAAACATAAATACGTTGTGACATGTGACAGTCAAATGTATGCAATGCTTATGATAGGTTTTAATATTCAAGGTTTATTTTACCAAGTTTTTGATATTCTTTACACTGGCGGTTTTTGACGTTCAACAGTGCAATTTACTCCTCCATCAAGCTGTTAGATGCCTTCATATGTTAGTGTACTTGAATGCCGCTTGCTTTAATCCATTATATGCAATAACAAATTAAAAGCCGGTAGGCTGAACACTTCACTTTGCTTTGCTGTTATACATTTTACCCATATTGCATAGCTTGATATTTGCCTACTTTGCAAATTAGCAAGCAAATAATTTGTTGATATGCAGACTCGCCAAAGCTTGCCCAATCAAACGTCAGTTGAAATACTGAATCATCTCATTAAGCAATCGCAGCTGCAAATTTACATGATTTGTGAATGCAACATTAACAATGTATCAACATCCCTCGTCGTTTTTTTTGTTTTAACCGCCGCGTGTTTTGGCATGATATCCTACGTTCCGCGGCATCATTCTGCAAGCTTCTTTAGGAACTAAAATTGGACCGCTCATTTTATCCCTCGGTATGCCCAAATCGGCTACAGCTAAGAGGGCATGCAGCGAAACATCGGACATCATTCCTGAACATGCGACACAACCTGAAAACACATCTGAGAGATAGATACATATATACCAGCACAAACGTGAAATCGTACACAGTAGTATAGCACAAAATTAACTTTTCTCTAAAATAGTATGTACACTGATACACGTACTAAGATGCATTTAGTGTAATTTTTTTTTTGTTTTATCCTGAATTTGTGCAAATGTCACTGTAATGTGCTGTATATTTAAAGGTTATTGTAGTGAATGCACTATTTTCATGCAATATAAGACATGGGACTGAATTTTGTTAGACTTTTTTTAAGCCTAAAAATGCACAAAAATTGCACGCTTTTTTTCCTCCCCAACTTCGTATATTTCTTACAGAAATGTAGCACAAATCTTTACCAGCAAGCCATTGCACACTGTGGTGATGTATTGAAATAAAGCAGGACGTAGATATTTCCTTCATGTATAAACAAGCCATGGCATGTACTGTATTCATATTTTTTTAAATTAAACTAAATTTATTTTGTTATAATCTGCCACAACAATTGAGGACTTTAAATTGAGGTGAACCATATTTTTCCATCCAAGATGCAAATGTCACGAGGGGACAAATACATGTCCTAAGAATGTTAATGTAGCAATACTTTCGTTTCCATGCTGCCTGCTTAAATGTTCACGTTTCCACAAGTCCAGTGTAACGACGTTGCTTTGTTGTTAACGAGTAAAATCTTAAGTTTCATGGGGGGCAATTGTTCCTATATTGGTAATTTTTCTTAGCTTTGAAAATGCAACACAATGCAAGGGCGTTTGCTTCATAATGGTTTTACCACATGCAGTTCATTTCAGCGACGTATTCACCTCCTCCAGAAACCACCCTCCTTCCCTTAGAGAGCGTACACAACATACATGTTTTGTACCACGTTTGACCTAAACCAACAATGGTCCATCGGAAGCAGGAGCCATCTGAAATAATTTGAGAGCTTGTGTAAAAAAATGTAAAATTCAACATTTACTCAATTTGAGTGCCAACGTTAAGCACAGCGACACAACGTAAAATATATTTTAAAAAATAATCCTACCTTTATTGTTGTCAAACGCCATTGCATGAAAAATAACCAAATGTAGCACACGTGTGTGTATCTTTAGTGACTGGCGCATATGAAGATAACATTGTTCATACAGTATAAGCTGCATAGTCCAGTGGGTAAAATAATGGACTTGTTTAACCCACGACAAACTAAAATATAAACCAATAAAAAATGCATGCTGCACTGCACATTACCGTTACGCATGAAAAAGGTGTTAATTACAGTACATAGACCTAGATATTTTGCATTTCTTTGAAAATATTTAATCATTTGTAGTATATTTATCTGCACTTTAAAAGTTATGCATTGTTTTTCTCCTGTACTGTAAGTGGTCAGTGCATTAGGTCACCAAACGTTTAGGTTTTTAGACTACATTTTGAGATTAGAATAATTTTCCAAATATTTTTTAACGGACAAGATGTATGAACAAGTACATTTTCTTCTGACGTCTATTGGTGGGGTAGGGGGGGTACCTCTGCAGTTTGTTCCCAACGTACTCAATGGGTGTGAATATTATTTTCCTTGTGTTTAAGGGTTGACAAATTAAAACATACTAGAATAATGAATTTGATCATTTTCAAAACTGTAACTGAATAAAATCTATGCAGATGAAAATTATTTTCCCCATCGTGTTTGATGTTTGCTTCCGACTCTAAACGTGCAATGTGGTTGTGTCCTCAAATACAGGTACCCTTGCGGAGCCAAACCCCATTTTATTAAATAACCTTTGGATCCAAAGTGGAATCTTACCTATAAAAAAACGAATGTGTTCTGCGGATTGCATGTGGAATGCAAACTCAACACCAGTAAACCCAACAAACGACACCAGTGGAAATTGCAAAACCAAAGCACAATGAACTTTGTAAGACATTCCTGAGGTTCTGGCCAGTGCTCCAGTACCCCGGGCGATCGTTGACAACGGTTTAGCAATAACTGGATAACTTAATTGACATGTCCACATGTCTCGGTGATTGGCACTGCAGTATCGTACGTCATATTACCAGCTCGCTGGAGGAACAGAGGTGTAGAGATGTGAAAAGGTCAGATAGGTGAACGTCTTCCAGAAAATGACCAATACACCATGCACAAACACTAGTGTGGGTAAATGATCACAGCGGATATCCAATGTACAGGAATCCCCGCTGCACGTTGCCACATGACTATGCGTTGTTTCGCATGTTGCCGATTAATCAGGGAAGACATTCCCTTACAAGTGTAATGTTTCATGTACGCGTTGTTTTAAAAAATTGTTTAAAATCAATTTTTTGCACAACTTTTCAACTCGGAATGCATGTGTTGAAAACGAACTTATGCAATCTAACGCAATGCAGTAACGTACTTTAACGCGCATGGCCAAAACAGCTGGACTCAACAGTGTGGAGTCGTCGGACGTGGCACAGTTGCTTGAGGACCTGTCACATGAGGATCTAATGTAGCTGGACCAACAAAGAGCTGAAGAAGAGGGCAATGAAACTACGCTACCATGAATTTACTTTTTTTAAGCCTGTCCTCGGAATTTGTTTGGAAGCAGCAGAGATGATGATCCAAACACAGAACACAGCTCTAGAGTTAACAGGCAATGGACCAGTGGTATTCACTGCTTCAAGGCGCTGTACATTGCAGAATACACATTTTGTTCTTGGACAGCGAGACAAGAGCCAGCTTTCTCGTGATCATTCCTGTGGCTCCAGCTTCATCATCAGATGGGGGCAGGTGATCCTGCCTCTTCATCTGCATAAATCCACTACCGCACCTCTGATTAGCACGTTTGGCTACGTATGGTGCAAAAGAAGTTCAACATACATACATGAGGCCTCAATCAACAAGTTATTCAACCATGTCTGGTGTTTGTATTTATTAAAATGTGAACCTATAACCACATGCATTTTTGTACATTTCAAGACACTCTTTTCTTCCAGAAATGTTTGCTAGGGGCGCAACACCTGATTTTATTATAGTTCGCTTTAAGTAATTTCAAGTTAAGTAGCATTTCTCATGAATGCATCCCTTATGTATAGCGGGGGATTACTGGACTTCATATGCATGAACATATTTCAAGATAACGTAAAGTGAAATATATATTCAAAAATAATGATACTGGACATTTCTCGAGTTTAATTAATTTACTTTTAAATGCAAGTTACCCTTTGCCCAGTCACTTACTGTTGAACTTTTATGATCGCACTAAGATGCATACATTCTTTACGCATATAAATGTTATACATTTAAAAACACAAAGGTGTAAATAACAATTCGGCAAAATGCGTGTTATGTTTATTAAAAAGTTCGTCTTGTGGCAATTACAACTGGCAGCAAATGAGAAATCCTCTCTGGTGCGGTTGAGAAATGCGTGTTAAGCCCCATCTCCAGTGACAGTGTCTGAGTAGTTGAATGTCACCAGTTTGTTGTCAGCGCCACCACTCAGCAGCATCTGAGGAACACGAGGTAAGCATGATCAGAGGGCTGCCGCCACACATGGAGAGATAAATGCAGTTGCAAACAAAACAACGGACATTCATCAAATTAAATTGTATTGTAAAATGTGATTTGGTTTGTGCTAGACGTACATTATTTTCAGCCCATTCCACACACAATATCTTCTCTTCGTGTGCTGCCATGTCGTATAGGGGAGCCTTGGGGCTGAAAAACAATGCAGTATTGCCGATTATAACACTTGTCCACACGGCACGTATTTCATGACACCTTTGACAAGGTGTTTTCTATGAGAGAATCTAAAAGTTAATGTAAAATCAACAAGGTGTGTTAATAAACTCATAACAGCAGCGCTGGTACAAAAATGGTTGTGCACACGTTTTCAAAATGTAATTTGTCCATGAACAATCCAGAAAAGGGGGGGGAAAAAGTGGATTGGCCACATTCTCAGAGATGAAAGCTGGATGACTGAACTTGTGGAAGGGTATTTTAAAAGAGGCCCAGAGGCAGAAACATAAAAAAATATTTCTTGATAACTTTAAGTAAAGGGGTCATGACAGTGATATGAAGAAAGCTCGATATCAAACAGGATGGAGAGCATTGTGTTAAATGACCTACCACTTGTCAGAGGAATGATGAAGAGAAAACGTGTCCGTGCTGCACCACTCATCACCGCTGGGTGTGACATACCTCCTAGTGTCCCACAGCTTGACCATCTTGTCAATAGCGCCCGAGATGAGCTGCTTGTCATTGTGAGGAGACCACTTGACACTCGTCACCCAGCCCGTGTGAGAGGTGAGCGACAGCTGTACCAAGGAACCACCTGGAAAACGAGACGAAGAGAAGTATTCATCTTCTTGGTTCTTTCGCTAAAGTCACGTAGAATGGGAATAAAATAAGACAATCAAATTCTCACGACGTTTCGGCCACAACACAAGTGGCCTTCTTCAGGTGAAGAGACAGGTCTGTCCGGAAGACAGAGCTTGAATGAACGCTATCATGCATGGAACGCGTCTATTAAGCCGTGTGGGCGGAGTTAAAATATGAATTTGCATGTTACCAGCATCACCTCCGGAGAGGAGGAGGGAGGGGGCTGGGAACACAGGCAGAGAGGAAACAAGAAAAGGGGCAAGTGCAACAGCCAAGGTGCGCTGTTGTGTCCTGAGTTGCCTTATGACTATGCTGTAAACTGGACGACTACATAATACAATATTATACCTTACAATCTAAACTACATGGTATAACATCACATCATAGACAAATTCCACCTTTGAATTATACAATGCGTTACTTTACACTACCCTATAATTTAGATTATAAACTATTAGACTTGTGATATTACACTATGTCTTATTCTATGAACCCAACTATATACCACACTGATGTATATTCATGATGCAATTACAATGCTATATATTGCCTTATGAGTTATGTTAAACATTACAATGTTATACTATTAGTCTTATTTTATTATTTTATTCCCATTCTACGTGACTTTACCGAAAGAACCAAGCAGATGAATCCTTACAGTCACGAAAGCTTTAAATCGAAGAGAAGTACCTAAAACACTGCGGCCTCCCTATCCACCTCTCTTCACTGCCTCGCAGACTAGGCGGTCGTCTCGCGCCTGTATAATGGATAAAATAGCATCCAGAAGTGTATAGAACAGTTTAACATAGTGAAAGCTAAGGTGATGCCCCAACTGTTGGTGGCGAGTCTTCAAATATCACAAAGGTATTTAGTGCAAGAGAGAAAAACAATTACATATATTTTATGTGTGCACATCATGTTGTTTTCTTATTCTGAGAGGTGCAACTCAACATTACAATGTTCAACAGTGGAAGCATTTTCTTTGGTTCTTTCGGTAAAGTCACGTAGAATGAGAATAAAATAATAAATTGATAAAATAAAATAACACAATAATATTCTCACGACGTTTCGGCCACAACACAAGCGGCCTTCATCAGGTGAAGGGACGAGACTGTCTGGTAGGACAGCGCTGGAGTGTGGAAGCATTGCTGAACATACGTGACTTCACCATTGAAATGTATTTTATTTTCTACCTACGTAACTTTACGGAAAGAACCAAAGAGTATGGATCCCTGCAGTCACGAAAACTTCAAATCTAAATGGAAGCAGCCTCCAAGTGGATGAGCACGACTCCACTCAAAGACAAGAATATACCGTGCCCAAAGCAATTACCTTTACTGCGTGGGTCCCAGATGCGAATGTGTCGGTCGGTGCTCCCAGACGCTATACGTTTACACAGAGGAGAGTAGGAGATGCTGTTTACCACTTTGTTTCCACCCTGCAAATAGTAAAAAAAACACAATACACCGTGTGTAAGTTCTCACCAACAAAATTTTTTGCACAAATTTCTATCACGCCCACTAATTCATTTTCAAGTCAAAATGAACTTCGAATGAAATGCTTGGCCAACTCACTAGCGAAGCTTTCTGCTCTCCAGTCTCGGCGTCCCAGAGTCTGATTGTGTGATCCCAGGAGGCACTGCAGATCTCCAAATCTTCCGACCACAAAACAGAGGACACGGCTTCGTTGTGACCCGATATCGTCATAATGGGTGTCTGCAAGGGGACACAAAAGGACACAGAAATGGAATGATTTGACTTGCGGTATTGAAATGCGACTGTGAAACGTTTGTATTACTCTAGAAGAGTAACTAGAGCGATCTAGCAGACACAGTAGTTAAACAAACCCGGGTGAGCCCCAGCTTTTCCAACTTCTGCTTCTTTTTTGGTCTTGCACTACTTCCTTCTTCGACCACATCCTCTTGGTCGTTTGGAACTTATAGAACACAAAGGAAAGAATGCAATGTATCTCATTATTCGACAAGTAAAGTAGAAGCTGGATATAAGCACACCATTGAAATGCTTCGTTCTGATATAAGCAAACACAACCTTACACTGATGGAAATAAAAAGGGAAAACTTGTATAAATATATATTACAAACACAGAACCGTCTTCCATGACCTACGGCCAACATGGAAGAGGGATTACCTAGTGGAGGACCTTCCGCCAACGATGGCGTGAGGAGTTGCATGGCTGCACCTTTATTTAGACTTGTATATACATGTTACACTTCATAAAAAAATATTTATAAAATGTCTTACCTGCAGACCAAATTTTAATCATCTTGTCCCAGGAACCACTGCAAAACTGGGAAAATAAAATACATCAATATGACTTCATTTAAAAGTACAACTTCAGTTAAGACATTTAATATATCCAACTCGAGTTGGGCTATGTGATTATTAGCATAATCGATCCCTGAATATTGGTTCCATTATCCAATTCGTCTGGTAAAAGGTTTCAATTCTGTTCCCACACATGATACTGGATAGATGAGGGGTGGAACTTGAAGATGTAGTTGGCATCATCATGCTGGGCATGGCCACCAATTTTGAAGGAGCCAAAGCAATTGACCACAAAAAAGTTGTCGACTTTAAGTTTCACTTGGTAAATCCAAATTTTAATTTAAAGCTTTCGTGACTGCAGGGATTCATATTCTTGGTTCTTTCGGTAAAGTCACGTAGAAGGGAAACAATAAAATAATAAAAATATAAAACAATTAAATTCTCACGACGTTTCGACTGCAACACAGGCAATCATCAGGTGTGAAAACCACAGCAAGAAAAATTTTCACAGCTGTGGTTTTCACACCTGATGATGATTGCTTGTGTTGCAGTCGAAACGTCGTGGGAATTTTATTGTTTTTATTTTTATTATTTTATTGTTTCCCTTCTACTTGACTTTGGTAAATCCACTTAAACGTCCCCGCTCTAAATCTAACACGTGATGTACAGAACGTATTTTATTGCATTAACCATTTCGCATTCTTAGCAGAAGATTACACGTTGATGCCTCCTGAGCGACAAGAGGTAGGTGTGCATGCGTCTCGGCTGGCCCGGTGATTATTAGCGTGGCGGCACCTTGGTGTACGTGTTGTTCACAGCGACGGCCTCCACGCTGCCTGCGTGTCCTCGGCAACAGTGACGAGGCTTCGCCTTGTTCCGCCGCACATTCCACTCCCAGATGATGGCCGTCTGGTCCTGGGAGGCCGTCAGCAGCAGACAGGATTCCTCGCCTGCGAACGCAGCAAAAAATGGGACTTTGTTTTTATCTTAACAGGTGACGATGATAACTTCGTGTGTTATTGAAAGGACTTGATGTGCGCTCTTTTGTAAAGGCTACTCTGGGCAGATCAATGGTAAATAAACAATGGACGGGGGACAGCAGGAGAGCTCAGGGAAACTGCTTCACTTCAATATCCATCAGAGAAACACAAAGTAGCATGGAGAGATCCTTGCTTGGAAGCTATACTGAGATAGAAAGAAAAACATTGTACAGGGAACAAACACAAAACCAGAGACATAGCAGTAACATTTTAAAAGATAATTAGGGTTTGGGACACATCACGAGAAAGGTGATGGCCGATGGACGTGACTCAGGATGGAATAGCAGCCAAAGGAGAAATTTAATCCAAGACAACCACCGAGGAAATGGAGTGATGAGATCAGTTTACGTATGGGAGCACTGGACTCTGATTGATGATCATCACTTTATATCAATGAGTGAGGTATGAAAAGGAAAATACTGGCGTTGACAAGTCAACAATTACATTATGAGACCTCCTTTGCCAGAAACAAGATATAGGAATAGGTTTTACCCTTTTAACTGGCACAAAAACTGACACCTTTATTCAAGGCATCATGTTTGCAATAACCACAACACAAGCAGTCAAAATGCAAACAAAAAAGACAACTCTGATAATAATATAAAAGCTGTCTCGGGTGTGGACCAATCAAATCCAAGGACAGTGCATATTATTATCAGAGTTGTCTTTTTTGTTTGCATTTTGACTGCTTGTGTTGTGGTTTTTGCAAACATGATGCCTTGAATAAAGGTGTCAGTTTTTGTGCCAGTTAAAAGGGTAAAACCTATTCCTAAGTCAACAATTAGCTTACAATGGCACTGCAATAAGAGTCAATTTGTAGTTGTTTTTGCATAATTGCATACAGACCTTTATTAATCCATTCAACGTCCTTCACCACCTCCGTGTGACCACTTAACGTCGTCAATGGCTTTCCATCAGTAGTCCAGACACGCCCCGTCTTATCGTAAGACCCCGACAGAATCCTGCAACGAAGCACACATATATTGCTCACTTCTCCCCTTCACAACACTATAAATACAACCAGAACATGTTATGTTTGTTCAACTATTTTACAACCTTGTTTGCAAAAATTCCCATGTTCAGGTAAATTGCCACAAATATAACACTTAAGTGGGCTTAACAAACAGATTTAATACGACAACAACAAAATCTGTGCTTCATGCCAACCTTATGAAAAAATATAAAACTTACCAGTCATCACATACTTTAACAGCACTGACCCAGTCATCATGCAAAATGCATTCCTCAGGCTGTGGTGCTGTGAACTTTTCGACATATTCAACTTCCACCACAGTTTCCTGAAACACAGAATATATGAACATATCAGCTTTCCAAGTCAATTGGCTGTACTTCCTTGGGACACGTAATAATTCTTAGTCACCTTAAATGGACCACAAGTTTCAATACTCAAGCGGGGAGTTTACTGGGTGGCCACAACTCCAGAATGAGGGTTCGTTGCAACTGAAGATTCACAAAGCTTATATGGAATACCCTATACTAAAATTTCACATTTTTGCAAGTTATTCTTGTGTATGGCAATATATGTGTGTGCTAAATGCCAATGTCAGGTTCTAATAAGCACGAGAGGGCTGCAGAAGAGAGTTTGTGTAGTTGTGTTATTGCACCATTGAAGGAGCGCAGACTACAGTGCTTTTCTATATGTCCATTGTTTGGGTTGCATGGTCAGAATCGCACTGTGGCTTGTCTTTCATTTAACATTCATCAAGGAGGTGTGGGCATCGGTCTGTTCATCTTTTGATGTGGCTGGTGGTTACACCAGTGTCTTTGAAGAAAGACAAAAGCAGGCGATGCGATGTTTGGGTCTGGAATGCGCTGTAATAAATAGCATGTGGAAATATTTTCCTATTCTGACCATTAGCTTAATATGCAAGATCACTCATAAATGTTAAGCGAAAAGGATTTTTTTTTTCTTTCTTCCAAATGTTAAATGGAAGTGATTGGTGACCCACGGTCTCCCTTTGCTCACCGTGGAGATGCCCTCCTGCTCCATGTGCTTGCCAAGGGTCATCCGCAAAAACTGCCCGCCGATGAGGAAGTCAAACTCCACATGCTTGTGTTCTCCTGCACCACGCGTTCGGATAACGTCAGCGATTCGCGAAGGGCAAATTAACAGTGCTTTGTGTAATTCATCTGTAGGAAGTGTCATCGTTGTGTGTCATGGGTTTCCACCAGCACCCCCCCCCGACCCCTTAATCGGATGGCATTAAGAGTTTGTGCACAAGAGCGTGTTGAAATCGTGACTTGAAATTGGGTTTATATTTAACCAGATGAGAACTAAAAAAAAAACACAAACCAGAATCGTGTCGCATGCTAAGCGAAACCGGTTCAAAAATGGCAAAAAGGAATAAAACAAAACGCCACGCAAGTAAATTTAAACTACTGCACGCATAAATACACGCATATTAAACAAGACGACATTGCCTCAAACATACATTGGCTTCGTCAAGGTACTTTAGAGTAGCATTAAGTTTGAGACGTGTGCGCGGAATTAAGGTAAGGTATTCGGTAAACGGGCTCGGATGTACAGCAGGCACACAAAATGTCATATGGAATGGAGTCGTTTGTATCCGCCTTGCGATTGTTGTTGGGCTCTTCGACTCACCTGCCTGGGCCTCCAGCAGCTTGTTGATGAGGTTGCTGAGGTCAGTGACCTCAGCCTGGGCCACCACCGAGAAGGGGACTGCATCCACCTCATACCTGCACCGTGACCAAAGGGGGAGGGTTTTTAGGACACGAAAGCTATTCTAATCATTCACAACAAATAGTGGGGGCATTTTTCATATTCTTAGCTCTTTCGGTAAAGTCACGTTGAAGGGAATTGTTACTTAGCTCGCCTTATACGAGGTGGGCATCTATTGCACCTTTTGTGCCAGTAATAAAAACGAGTATATATTATCGGAGCGTGTTTGTTTGCACGTTTTGCCACAAGTAGGTCTGGTTAATGTCTTGCAAAATTTTATCTATGTGGCGTTTCAACATTGAACACCTCTTTAATTGCCAGAAAGGGTAAAAACGTACTTTAGATATTCTCTTTATAAAAGTGGACACAATTCAGATCGCACAAACTAATCATTAGCTTCGCTGTGGACAATTAAAATTACAAAACGGAGTTGTAAGAGGTCTCCTTTCCACACTTGTTCCTCCGCATTGAAAATCTAAGTTTGTATTTTGTTTACACATCTCACTCGGCCACGCACGGCCTTTCGGTGGAGTGCATTGTTTCACAACAGCATCGGTTCAACACAAAGCAAACTCTGGAACCCGTTTCTATAATTCAAGAAAATCGTTTTTCTTATCCACGTGTTATTCGCCTTGTCGTTCACATATTATTGGACTTGGAATGGATATTTTACAGCACATGGGGGGTGGGCAGTCATCACTCCTAACACAGCAAAACGACACCGGTACACTATGCAGTCCCTTTGATGACTATTCCTCCCTTAGATAATTAAAAACACGCCTGTGCCAACGATAGTCTGACTCGCTTATGGGGTGCAAGGGAGCACGTGGGAGTTGCTCCGTAACGCAATCGAGTTGTTGGTGTTTGAACGACAGATTTTAGTTGTTCGTACTCACTTTTTATTTTTCGTGACGAACCTCGCCTGCACCTGAGCCATTGCTCGCAAACAAACGAAGCGGCTCACGACGATCCGCTGCGGCCGGTACAACTCTGGCCGCCCGTAAATAAACGAGTGAGCGGTGGTGATTATGATGATAATGGCAATGAGTTTGGTGATTAGCGATACCACTCAACGCGCAGGCCGTGGCCGGCCACAATGTAGTTCACTCAACGATGGTACGCTAATAGATGTGTAAAACGTGTCAAGCAGCGATGATGATGATGACCCAAGTGATAGAGGAGGCGAGAGGGATGAGTGAGTCCGCCACACACGTGCTCGCCACGCTGCGAAGAGGGAGGCCGGCACTGAACAACCACCCCCACCACCACCACACCCCCATCCGCGTCATCACTGTGCGACCAGAGCAGCCACAAGCACGTGGACACTAGGGGGCAGCCACGTGTAGTAGTGTAACAAGAGTGAACACTAGGGGGCAGCCACGTGTAGTAGTGTAACAAGGGTGAACACTAGGGGGCAGCCACGTGTTGTAGTGTAACAAGGGTGGACACTAGGGGCAGCCACGTGTTGTAGTGTACAAGAGTGAACACTAGGGGGCAGCCACGTGTAGTAGTGTACAAGAGTGGACACTAGGGGGCAGCCACGTGTAGTAGTGTAACAAGGGTGGACACTAGGGGGCAGCCACGTGTAGTAGTGAAACAAGGGTGGACACTAGGGGGCAGCCACGTGTTGTAGTGTAACAAGAGTGGACACTAGGGGGCAGCCACGTGTTGTAGTGTAACAAGGGTGGACACTAGGGGGCAGCCACGTGTTGTAGTGTACAAGAGTGAACACTAGGAGGCAGCCACGTGTTGTAGTGTAACAAGGGTGGACACTAGGGGGCAGCCACGTGTTGTAGTGAAACAAGGGTGAACACTAGGGGCAGCCACGTGTTATAGTGTAACAAGGGTGAACACGGGGCAGCCACGTGTTGTAGTGTACAAGAGTGAACACTAGGGGGCAGCCACGTGTAGTAGTGTACAAGAGTGAACACTAGGAGGCAGCCACGTGTTGTAGTGTAACAAGGGTGAACACTAGGGGGCAGCCACGTGTTGTAGTGTACAAGAGTGAACACTAGGGGGCAGCCACGTGTAGTAGTGTAACAAGAGTGAACACTAGGGGGCAGCCACGTGTTGTAGTGTAACTTGGGTGAACACTAGGAGGCAGACACATGTAGTAGTGTAACAAGAGTGAACACGGGGCAGCCACGTGTTGTAGTGTAACAAGGGTGAACACTAGGGGGCAGCCACGTGTTGTAGTGTAACAAGAGTGAACACTAGGAGGCAGCCACGTGTTGTAGTGTACAAGGGTGAACACTAGGGGGCAGCCACGTGTTATAGTGTAACAAGGGTGAACACGGGGCAGTCACGTGTTGTAGTGTAACAAGAGTGAACACTAGGGGGCAGCCACGTGTTGTAGTGTAACAAGGGTGAACACTACGGGGGCAGCCACGTGTAGTAGTGTAACAAGAGTGAACACTAGGGGGCAGCCACGTGTTGTAGTATACAAGGGTGAACACTAGGGGGCAGCCACGTGTAGTAGTGTAACAAGGGTGAAAACTAGGGGACAGCCACGTGTTGTAGTGTAACAAGGGTGAACACTAGGGGACAGCCACGTGTTGTAGTGTAACAAGGGGGGTGAACACTAGGAGGCAGCCACGTGTTGTAGTGTACAAGAGTGAACACTAGGGGGCAGTCACATGTTGTAGTGTAACAAGAGTGAACACTAGGGGCAGCCACGTGTTGTAGTGTAACAAGGGTGAACACTAGGAGGCAGACACGTGTTGTAGTGTACAAGAGTGAACACTGGGGGCAGCCACGTGTAGTAGTGTAACAAGGGTGAACACTACGGGGTAAGCCACGTGTTGTAGTGTAACAAGGGTGAACACTGGGGGCAGCCACGTGCTGTAGTGTACAAGGGTGAACACTAGGGGGCAGCCACGTGTAGTAGTGTAACAAGGGTGAACACTAGGGGGCAAGCCACGTGTAGTAGTGTAACAAGGGTGAACACTAGGGGGCAAGCCACGTGTTGTAGTGTAACAAGAGTGAACACTAGGGAGCAACCACGTGTTGTAGTGTAACAAGGGTGAACACTAGGAGGCATCTTCTTTGGTTCTTTCGGTAAAGTCACGTAGAATGAGACTAAAATAATAAATTGATAAAATAAAATAACACAATAATATTCTCACGACGTTTCGGCCACAACACAAGCGGCCTTCATCAGGTGAAGGGGCGAGACTGTCTGGTAGGACAGCGCTGGAGTGAAAGAGCCACGTTCAGATCACGGCCTTTAAGCTGTGTGAGAGGAACAAAGCGCCTTGACAAAGGAATTAGCATATAATTTAGCATTGAAATGGCTGAATGATTAGCTTGTGACTGGTCACAGAAATAGCTATGTTAAAAGTTAAAGCATACACATCCGCAGAGGCACCCATTGTTAAAGGAATTAGCATAGAATCTAGCATTGAAATAGCTAAGTTAAGGCATACACATCCGCAGAGGCACCCCTTGACAATGGAATTAGCATAGAATTTAGCATTGAAATAGCTGAGTGATTAGCTTGTAACTGCTACAGAAATAGCTACGTTAAAGTCAGAGCATACACATTCACCGAGGCACTTAGTACAAATCAAACAGGAGAATTTAGCATTGAAATAACTAGGCGAATTTAGCATTGAAATAACTGAGTGATTAGCTAGTGACTGGTCACAGAAATGACTACACATCTGAGCTATTCACAGTACTATATAGTGAACCAATAAAAGCTAAAATATAAATTACCTTCATGTTATCAATAAACTCAATATTCTCCAATCAGCTAAGCTACCAACAATAAGTCGTTATATATCACAATGCTATATGGCGAAAAAATGGGTGGATTCTTACCCTCACGTTTAGTTGTGTACAAGGGGGCAGCCACGTGTAGTAGTATATAAAGGGTGAACACTAGGGGCAGTCACGTGTAGTAGTGTACAAAAGTGAACACTAGGGGCAGCCACGTGTTGTAGTGTAACAAGGGTGAACACGAGGAGGCAGACACGTGTTGTAGTGTACAAGAGTGAACACTAGGGGCAGCCACGTGCAGTCCTATATTGTTCTAGGGTGGACACGAGACCACCAGGGATAGTCACGTATAATATTGGTTCTGTTCTAAAGCCAGTTCGATATTCTGTTGCATTGGCATAACGCTCTTGAATCTTGATAGTTGATGTTTACTGAATTGAGCAGTGCCAAGAGAGAAACAGAAATAGAAGTGATTTTACCTGCAGTGTGATTTGTTGAACACAGCATGGATGGGGAAAACAGTAATTCTGTAGACCCAGCTCTCAGCACGGGTGGAGGAATCAATGGGTGAAGTTCATCGGAAATGTGCCATGAAAGTCGCGAAAGAAGAGTGATAAGGAGGCGACGTGACCGCCGTACGTTTGTAACAGGAGTGAATCAATGAGTGCTACATCATTCATCAGAAATCGACCTGCCAGCATCTGTAGAGAAGGCGCAGACATTGGCAGCTCCGGCCAACGCCTCCCCCCAAGTTGCCTGCTCTGTTGAGACTCTTTCCCCAGTGACGGAATCCTTAGAACAGCAGCAGTAGTTTCAGACATAACGTACTGGAACTTTAATGGTGTTTTGTTTTTTTGTTTGTTGTGGTTGCACCCGATTCAAGAGCCGAATGGCTCACAGGGATATACCAAAATAAACTGAACTGAACTGCTGCAGTAAACGGGCCATATCCAGGCCATTCTGCATGTTGATGCAAGTCAGAATGTGCTGCTGCTGCAGATGATGGAGGGTTTAACGCTGCAGACGCATGCTCTTTAAAGGTTCTGGTTCAGGGCAAAGCGTTGTGGTTGCATTTGTCAATCATATCAGATTGACGTGACACGATTAAAAGAAAGGGCTTTACAAGCATATCTAAAATATATATTGTTAAGTTCGATTTTAGGGGCCGTCCATAAATGACGTCACACGATTTTGGACGATTTTTGACCCCCCCCAAAATAAAACATGCTTCAAATCGCTTTAAACTATTGTTATTGTAGCGCGTATTTAATGTGGCGCTGCACTCTGATGTTGTAAGAGAAAACATTTATTGAAAAGTCTATTTAATTAAGTAGAACGTGTTGTCTATATTTATTTAAAGTTGCGCATTTTGATGTGACGTCACATTTCTCAATCCCCCCCCCTCGTCACACATCGTCACAAATGTCTTACCCCCCCCCCCTCTAGGTGCGTGACGTCATTTATGGACGGTCCCTTACATATTAGTTTACAGATCGTATTACGAAATGATTCCCGATTAGCTGATCACAACTCTTGAATTAATCATTAGTCAATTGGGACTACAGTATACATAGCATGTTCCACTACTGGCAGACCACAGAGCTTGGGGAAGTGTTGGCGCGGCTTTCTGGTTATATTCCAGCTTGCTTGTGATTTACCTACCCGAACGAGCTCGTAGCCGGTGTGATTTTCTTTCGTGAAGTGAAAGCACTTTGAAATTCCGATGCATTTAAGCACCATATAAATGCAAGGATCATTGTTATTAGTATCATCAAAGCCAAGGCATGCCCTAATGATAAAGGTGAACTTTAAGCTGGTACTCTAAGTGAGTTGGCCAGTGTAAATTATACATATAGTTTTGGTGATGTGCCTAACGCCTGATACTGTACGCTGTGTGTAATGATGGGGAGGCTTCGTGGATTTTCATGCCATTTTAAATGATTTTGTTTTTCATAAAAGGCTTATTAAAATTGTAATTAAGTATTACTTTATTACAAGAATAATACATTTTCTCCAAAAAATATACACCAAATTTGACATGTAGAGCATTCATAAATTCATTCAATATTTTTTTAATGAAGCCATCATATGATGGGCAATTACACGAGTTTACAATACAATATTTTTGGTCTAGCTTCCATTCTGCATTGGTCTAGCTTCCATTCTGTATGAATGTCAATTGTGAATATCAATAGGACCGTTTTCACTGTCATAATGTAAAATTACGCTGTCTTGACTAAATACCGTAATGTTATTCCAGGAAGACTTTACCATATTTTTTCGTAGACATTAGTTCCGTTTTCAAATCGTTTAAGATGTCCTTTATATGTGCATTATTTTACAATCACTGAGAGTACACTGCGCGTTTCGTTCATTTAATTACGACATTGAGAAGCAAACAGCAGCATATGCTTGGCATTGTGATTCAGACCTCTTAAATAATTTCGTAATTGTCAGTACAGTCGCTCTATTCCAGACATGGACATAGTACGGCACCCAGGCCGTATACGGCCAGTTGGGCTTTTTGAACTTGTCCAAATATTATTATTTAATTCAATTTTACCTTTCTCCTGTAATGCCCCCATTTCCCCATTAGATGGCGCACTTTGACCCGGAGTTACGACATGTTTTTGTATTGTTCATGTTCGTGCAATTTGTTAAATTGCCTTGCAAATAAATGCTTTGCTACCTGTTAAAGGCAAAAATCCTTTCATGTAATGATTTTTACACGTCACTTATATTAGTTCACACAAACACTCCATCCATCTGTTCCTGGCCCGGCCCCTCTGTCAAATTTTAGAACCCATTGTGGCCCGCGAGTCAAAAAATTTGCCCACCCCTGCTCAATTCGCTCGGTGTTATTTTATAAAATCTTTGGAAAAAAACATTGAAAACCGAACTGCGTTACTTTTAGATGCAATAGTCGAACATTGCTAACACAAAACGAGGGGGACAGTTAATATAAGTAAACGGATGACTACTGCAATTATATATGCAGTATATACCTCTTCATGGACACCATTCTTATTTCCCAGTTTGTGTTCGTTCTACAGGACAGAGTACAGAGTACGTACATCAAAACAATAATTGGCTTTGTTGTGGAGAATATAAGTTGCAAGGTAATAAGTAGACAACAATAATCCCTTCTTCCCACATCTATCCTTCCGCATAACATGGGAACAGACATAGCAAGGAGTATTATGTATTTTTCTAAGTGTATAAAAATGTGTTGGGTTATTGTAATGTTTTATTACCCCCCTCGGCAGTAAAACCAAGTCAACCTTTTTCGTATTTGCTGTAAAAATAAATCAGTGACAAATCGCACGGCGCACACTCGCTGCGGTCCGTTAATGATTAATGCGTCTCTAGTCAATTAAATTTGTTTTCTTTGTTGAATCTAACGGGTTTCACTGTGACGACCGACCGCCACAGTGTTTGTGTTAGCACAAGTACGTTTTACACACTGCTGTGTAGTACAGCTAGTAGTAGACAACACATCTTTTGTCACCGTGAAGCGGTTGTGTGTGGCGTTCGGAGTTTAGAATATATTGAAACTGAGCAAGCCAGGACTTTATTTCTCCTTGGACGCTGGAAAACGGACATTACCGGGGACTTAAACCGTTCAGAGTGTGTTTAAGATCAGCACTGATGTCGAAGCTCAGACGTGGCCCTGTTGTACTTGAGCAAAAGCACAGCAAGGTATAGTATAAATTAAAACTAAAAATAGACTTATACATATTCTTTGGATCTTTGGGTAAAGTCACGTAGATAGGTTCAAAGAAAATTACAAAAAATTACAAAAAAACTAGACGTACAATACGTCACTCTGCATGTTTGTGGATGGTAAAGTCTCGTGTTGAATTTACGAGTTAAATGTAATTTCTAATAACTTGGTGGACAAGATCAAATACTTTTAACTGTGGTTATTTTTCATGACGAGTCGTTAAATGGAAAAAATAACAGCCTTCCCGGCACAATATTTGTTGTTAACGTTGATATATTTTGTGCATATGTTTGATTTTCCGCAATATATTTAATAATATCCTCATTTATCCGCAACATTAAGTAACGTGTTTAATGTTGTTGATAATGTTAAATGGATTCGTTACATACACAGTATTGCCAAAAAGTAAACAACTAATCAAACACAGCGATGCTTCTTTTGAATTAAGTTAGGTTTTCCAGTTGATGACATTCATTTGTTTCACACAATATGTTCGTTTTCCATTCCATTCGGATGTGATCGATAGATAGCCACTCACGCTGCAACAGTAGAAATGACTACAATAATTATTATAAATTCACCAGCAATTGTTGCACATTATAGTATTGTCCTTTATTGAATGTTTTCAGATATATTTTTTTGCGGGATAGCTGCTACATTAGTGAATGCTTATTTGCAATCAATAAAATGCTGAATGAAGGCCTTCCCATGCCATGAGAGTTGTTTGACCATACTTCACCAATCTGGTCATCGTGGGTTGGTGTGGAACGGGATCGAGGGCCGGTTCAGACATCACTCGCCACTGATGTTAACCGTGGCTGGGAATCGGACACAACCCAGTGAACGTTGGTGTGGTGATAACGTTGCTGCGGTGTTTTTGTGTGTGTGTGTGCGTCAGCGGGCAACGCAGCTATGGAAGGTGGCACGCCAGGTGTGTGTGCTGTCACAGGTGTGCCGCATCTTCCGCAGCAGCAATAGTGCCTTGCTCACGTACGAGGCGGTGGATGCGTCGTGTGCGGGAAAGCCATCCGCCTACAAAATAAACAAGGTACACACTGATCTCTACGGGGAGGTATACGGTATTTCTGAGTATCACTACGTGACGAAACTCAAAGCAGTTGGAGCGAAACGTCCTATGCGTTAGGTTAAGATCAGTCCTGAAAAGTCTTAAGCCACTGGCGAGGAGCTTTATTGGTCAGAATCTGAACAATACATTTGCACGAATAAGTAATATCTTTGAGAATGTGACCATCTTGCAAGGATTAATAACACTAATGATGGCATAAAACTACCATGTGGCCTAATATAAAAAAATGGATAAATGGATACACAGTGCCAAAACTTACACAAGAGCACTTGTGATGCGTGGAAGATTTTCATAGTTGCATGAACAATTGTGCAAAGAGCTCTTAAAGGTGTAATTCATTTATTCATATTGAGACACCAAATTTAGCTAGGTGGATGAAACTATACAAACACTGGGTGGAATACGGATTTATCATACGAGATTGATTGTTCACACCATCTTAACCTCCGCATGTCTGTGCTGGCAAGACTCTTCGTATTGAGATTTCAGAGAATCCCAGGTGTTCAACAATGCACGTCTTAGGTGTGATTGTTTCGAATGCTTCTGTTATGTGCTGTTGCATCAATTTCTGGAAGTGCCTCTGTGCTCGTTGCATATAGGTCTATTCACAATTACTTAACAAAGGGTAACAAATGTATGGCCACCCTATATATTAAATAATAACAAACAGTTCGGGTAGATTGTGTTATTAATGATTTTACGATATCTCTCCCCCATGGCTCGTGTGGGCTCTCCAGACACCTGAAGAGCAAGATGTGTCTGGAGATGATTTGCTGTTTGATCCAAACAATTTCAAAAGTCTCTATGAGGTTTGTAAGATATATGTTGCAGTGCTTAACAAAGGTTTTCATCTACAGTATTACCTTTAAACGTTTTCTCATATTAGCCTCACATATGGGGAAAAATATGTCCCATAATGAATAGCTACCAGTGACACATGAGTGTGATACTGCATGCACCTAGATTATGAAAAAGTATGCATCAACCTAATGTTAAGTATTATTGGAAAGGTCACTGTTAAACGTCTCTAATTGAATATTTACATTGACAATCATGGTAACAATGTTTAAAAGTACAGTTTTATACAATATCACTCTAATTCACACTGATGTGGGGGACCAATACTGAAAATTGATTCAACTTATCCATAGGAAAACATTTGCGGATAATATGAAGTATAGGGCCATCGATAATGAAGTCTTGCAGACCCTACAGCTCCCCACAGATAATAGGAGTCGCAGATAAGGATTCTCCTGTACCTTGTTTTTTTTTAACTCGCTGAAGCTTTTTTTTCGTCGTTCTGGATTGCTTCGTATTTGTCTCGTATTTCAGTTCACACTCCCAGAGAAGGCGGTACGCGCGGCCCTTAAGCCACCCAGCGAGCGCTCGGACACGGAAGTTATCTTCTTGCGAGGGCTTCTGCGTGGCCTGAGCAGCTTCCGCCGATACACTGCGCACCTGCAGCTCATGCTGGCCGGTGTCGTTCGCTACGAAAAGTAAGCGGCCTTGCCAGGGCTGCACAACACCTGCATCGCCAGCAGGAGCCTTCGGACCTAATAAAATGAGCTGAATTAATTATGCTTTCAATCAAATAAATAATTTATGCATTTACTATTGAGTATCAATTCTTTGGTGAAATGTTGCACAATCGGCAAGTAATCTCTTGTTCAGGCGGGAGTTTAAAAACTTTTGGTTACTTAAGGGTTGTGGCCAAACAACGCGATTAGTTGACGTTGGTTACGAATAGGGCATCATTTCAGCAAAAGCTCTCCAGGTTGGAAACCGGGAAAATATTTCCACCACTGGCACATCACATCCAGTATACCTCTCGTTATGACTGTGGTTACTTGTCACATGCCTACTTTAGTCTACCAACTACCCTGAAAATGGTCCGTGGGAAAATAGGCCCTGGTTATGAACAGTTTGCTAAGAACATAAAAGTATTTGTTTCATCACTTTCTAAATATCGTACAATATATACTCTTATTTCATTCTATCAGGTTTGGCAAGAGGCGCGCTATTGTGACACACTGAAGGTTGTTCGTAACTAAACGTTTTATTAGCATCCGAATAGCATAAAACAATTCTCCAATTTGCATGATGAGTTAATAAAGCAAATGTGCAAACCTGGATTTAAGCTTCTTTATCACACCCTGTGTTCTAACCTCACAACACTACTATGCAGGTTTGGAAGGCGGCGCGTGATCGTCAAAAAGGGCCACTACGGGCGGCGCTTTTACTTCGTGTTTTCGGGGCTCGTGGCCGTGACCAAAGACAACGATGGCAGCAGCGCGTTCATCGACCCCGAGCCAATTCTTCTGCGCAAGGGGGCTGGCTTTGGGGTTCGTCGCGTCTGCCCGTCCGACTGCTCACATTGTCCCACCGGTTAGAAAAAGACTGTCCATGAGGAAGATTGTAATCAGCGGGCCATGTGCATCAATCGTCAGCGATGAGGATGATGCGAGATAGACATTCACCGTGGGAGGCATGCAACACAAATCCGCTCTGGATTGTGGGAACGTGCAGTAAGCAACTTGAAACATGCAGCCAAGGTCTGGCATGGCACACATGTGTACCAGAAATTGCTTAGGATATATAATGCCAACATGCAGCATTTCATTTTTAAATAATTGTATAGTCCACAGCTGTTTGTCCATTATTTACTGGACAGACTCCCCTAGCTGTATCAGTCATGGAGGCTGTTTTGCCATACTTCACACTGGTGAAGGGTGTGTCCAGGATCAGTGCAGATATTACTTGCCACTGATATTATCCATCAAATTCAGGTCACAGGGTTCATAGCACAGAGCAGGGTCAACTGCACCACCACCACCCCATAATTGAATAACAAAGGTCAATGCAAGGAATTATTCGGTGCACTACCTGAATTTAGTCCTCACTCTCCTGTGCTGACAAAGCATCCTGTGTCACGACAACACAGGAGATCGCCCTTCTGAAGGACCTGAGCAGGAACGCCACCATCGTGTGCATGGAGGAGACCGAGCTGCTGGTCGTCGATAAGGAAGATTTCTTCGCGTATAAGTTGGACCAGGAGCTCAGAAAGGAGTTTCAGTATCGGTACAATTATTTTAGGTAATTTGTTTACATTTTATGTAAGATTTTCTTAAAATGCATCCCTTGCTACACGTCGCTGATGGGGGAGCTGCTGTACGGATACCGTGCCATCATTTGTTGTGACAAAACTTACTAATACACAACATGAAACAAATCGTTTTCTAACTCTGCAATGGTTGGGGGGGGCGGGGTGTGGCACAAGGACCAGTGATCTGGATGATGGGGGGGGGGGGGGGGGGGTGGTGGCTACCATACCAAAACGGTTCAAGACCATTGCATTAGTGTATTCATGATATTTGGTCAATTATATGGATTGTGTTTCAAATTCAGCGTAAGTAAGTAGGCTGCATTTCGGTCTCGTCATGTACAGATCGTTGGAGCTCTTCTCCACGTGGTCGGACGAATCACTGGAAACGATGGCCGACCACTGCAAGATCGAGGAGTTCAACCATGGACAAGTGGTGACTGGCGACACCAGCGAAACAAAGAACATCATCTTTGTAATCAAGGTAGTGTTGTTTATGGTTGGGCAAATTTTAATTGGCAGTGAAAAAAATTGGGAATAATTTTCTGAGCATAAGTTACTTAATTTGTAATATAATCTTGTACAACATCACTTTTATGTACAGCCATATACCTTATTTACATTATTACATAAATGTACATGGTATTAATGTAAAAGTGAGCATAAAAAACCCCTAACGTGGGCAGTTTTAATATTATTTATTAACACTGCGCTATGAACCTGATGAGTTGAGTTCGTTTCCTGGCTACAGCTGACATTGGCAAATGAAAACCTAAACAGACTTTGGGTCCCCCTTTATCAACCCACACTGACCTAGAAATGTTGTCTAAACATTCCCATTACTAACACGGCATGGATAAGCCTTCATCAAGCAGTGAATTGACAAAGGGCTGCACATTATTATTCATGTGATTTTATCAACTTATATCAGTGTACATACCCAGTCAAATTTGAATTATGCTATTGTGCCTCAGCGCCCCTGCAACCCTTCTCATCTGTTTCTTCAGGGCTGCTGCGATGTCTTGCGTTTAGTTGACCTGAGTGGATGTCCCAGCTACCACGACTGGCTACAGCAACAGGTCAAAATACAGGAGAAGAAGATCGCTGGTACGCATTTTAATGTTTACTTAGATGATGCATCTCTTTTTAAAGTCAGATAAAATAAAATAAAAATAGTAAAAAAAAAGTCTTGCTCACTTAACTGTAAAACTTATTTCCCATGTTTATCTATACGTCCACAGATATCTATATGGATCCCAGGTCAATGCTGAGGGATGGAAACCGAATGGAGCATAAGGAGCCTGGTTCTGGAGATGAAGATGAGTCAGTCTTTTAATAAGATATTCCTGTCTAGATTTACCAATCTCTTCAGTGTAATGCCACGTTGTTTTGAGTGATGAAATCCAGTGACACGTAAACGCCACGTAAATGCCGCCGGCGATATTTAATTGTAATGTATCAAAAGGAGTGAAAGCTTAAAAATAAATATATTTAAACTTCCTTCACCCTCCTCTCCCCAAGCAAACATTACTGGAGAATAAAGGGACCATTCACAAACTCCACCAGGACAAGACAAAGTAGTGGCAGTGATGAGAATTTAAAGTACAGTGTTATCACTGAAAAGTTACAGGTCATTGAACAGACAAGTAAAACAGTGAACGCAAGCACCATTAATACGAAGCCAACATTAAACCTGTCAGGTGCAGATGCTCAAAAAACTTAAATGGCCTTCTGTTTATTTTTTTGCAGACCCAGAAGGTTGTCTCTAAAGAGTGTTGGCTATGGTCCCAGCAGCCCCCAGCCGCCCGCTACATTATTGGATGACTACAAAGCAGCTGTTTACATCAGAGTGGATGCAATTCGGCCTGGGCAGTACTTTGTAAGCACGGAAACCTGAGTTAATTTGTCGCATTCGCTACTTGGTGCACGTGTAACGCAAGTGTTTATCTTGGGCGAACGCAATGTTTCCCCATTCATTTTGTTAGCACATTGATATTTGCACCTGACATTTGTTTTGGGGGGAAAACAAATACCCCTTTTCCCACACACATTAGGTCTGTTTCATATTATTACTGTACATTAATCCTGTCAAACTTTACAGAAAGGCGTCAACATGAACGTACTTGAAGGCATCCTGGAGAAAGACGGAAAGCTCGTGAAAGAGACGGTAGGGATGGCAGATGTTCATTTCCACCACGCGTTAACATTCTGTTTAACTTTTGATTTTACACGAAAAAAGAGACAATTACCGTAGTTTGTACTGCAAAGTGAGGAAAGAATCCTGCATTGAGTACCTAAGAAATCACTTCAATCAATAGTTTTTCCACAGGCAATGCCTGAACAGTTATGCTTTAGTATTTTAAGAACATGTATACTAGGTACTTCCAAGGCCATAATTAACTCCCAGGCAGACTTACGATTGTATTTACAATAACAACACATGGTTGAGGCACAATCTTTACTATACAGGCCTAAGCCTCTTCCTCCATACACAAAACACTCGCGTGGATAATCAACTCAGGAATAAAAAAAGAAATTAATTTCAGAGCTCAACAATGCCCACCACACTGGACAAGGCAATGTAATAATAAAGACCTACGGTGCATTATTCGAGGACATCAATTTGCCAAAATGACACTTGGGCAGGAATGAGGCGGAGGTCTGTAAATGCCGCATGTACGGAGAGCGTCGTCTTTGTCTGGCAGGGCTTGAAGCAGTTCCTCGTTCCGGAGTTCCACAGAGACGGCCGGCCGATGGTGATCACCAGCCAGGGGGCAAAAGTCCTGCGTGTTAGGCTGGACAAGTTCGGCGAGCTCATGAACGACGCCACCTTAAAGGAGTTAAAAAAGCAAAGCGAACCATACCCCAAGTAAGACGCCACATTGTGCATAGGGTTGTCACCTGTCCTGGCTTTCCCAAGATTATATTCTTCAATCTTGATTTGAAGCTTTCGTGACTGCAGGAATCCATACGTACTCTTTGGTTCTTTCGGTAAAGTAAAGAGGGAGAGTCCAGAATGCAACAGCGGCAGGCCACGCTTTCCCACCTGATGACGGGACGCTTGTGTTGTGCCCGAAACGTCGTGATATATTTTATTTTATACCTACGTGACTTTACCGAAAGAACCAAAGAGTATTATATTCTTTAAGGTAGTTGTAAAAGTGTCAGTTTTTGTTCGTTGCACAGTTATATAACACTCAAGACAATGTATGTTATGTCCTGATTTGTTTGTACATTAGAGATGGCAACCTTGCAGTGTGACCAACCCAAAGATATACATTGGTGCTGTGTGTTAATGGTTTGAGGAAATACAAATTAAAGTTTGTTGCTAAAACACTATCACTAACAAATAGGATTGGCAGTAACAGAGGGCCTGTCTGCCTGTGTGCTGTGTACCTAGGGATGATGCTCTTTGTCAGATATTCTTAGAGCAGAATCAATGGAAGCTTTACAAGCGTGAGCTTGCGTTGGCAGCTGCCAAGGGAGGTAAAAGTGACTGGAGGTTGAGGGCCAGCAAGCAAGAGGATGCTCGTCACAAAGATCTGTATTCGTAAGTGCCCTTATTTGCATTTCCTACACTTCATGCTTATTCAAGGTCACAATAAATTATGGTAGCATGACTACTGGCTGCAGGGGTGCGTGCACCACTTACAACTTATTTTAAAAAACACATTCATTCTTTACACACGTGATTAAATGTGTGTTTTGTGAGCTTAAAAATGTTTATATGCCTGACAGCCAGAATTTTACGAAGCAATTTTTTTTAATATTAAGACTTGATTGAAAATCCCATGTTAACATAACTCTTTTATATTCAGTGCATGAAGGTCAAATTACTGGCAACCTGGGCACCCAGCCCATTAAGGGAGCCTCCAGTTTGCTTGTGAATATGGCTGTGCAAAACAGTCAGCAGTTGTTCATAGGTTTTGCTATAAGCCAGATCTTTTTTAGATTTTTTTTTATTATCAAGTGATTCTTAGTAGTACAGAATGAAAAAAGCACAGCAGACATACATGCATCGACTTATGCAAGTTTCAATCGCTGAAGTCGAAACTACTGATTTGATTAAACATCCACCAATGGCTGCCTTACAAAATGGGTGCAGTAATTTTGATTTAAAGCTTTCGTGACTGCAGTAATTCATATTCTTAGCTCTTTCGGTAAAGTCACGTTGAAGGGAAACAATAAAATAAAAAAAATATATATGATGACCATTTGCGTTATGGTCGAAACGTCGTGAAAATTATTATTGTTTTATATATATTTTATTGTTTCCCTTCAACGTGACTTTACCAAAAGAGCTAAGAATAGGTGCAGTAATACTGAATTTAATGTATCTGAGCACCATGGTGGCGAGATGTTAAATACTTCACCTGGTATACAGATCACAGGTTCTCTCCCGACCCTGACAACTGTATAATTGGAGTTTACATGTTCTCCCCGTGGCGGTTTGAATTTTACTCCGGGTCTTCGTTTTTTTCCACATTTAGAAACATGCGTTTATAGTATTTGGCTGCAATACATTTACACATAAGCCACTTCGTTGAGCTATCATTTGTGGCCAGATCGCTTCTGAAAGAGAGCTGTATAGCCAAGTGGGCCTTACCTGATGAAATTCCAATTGTTTTATAGTTTAGTAGCATTTTATTTTAACTACTAATATCTCTTGTGTACCAATTTACAAAAAAAAATGTGTATTAAAAACAGATTCAAAACACTATTTTAAAATGTTTCTTAAAAGCAGAAAAATCATTCAGAAATATTATGCGTGCAGCGAGTGGGATGCAGAGAGTGCTGGAATAATGGAGCTTGGCTCGCCACTCGGCAGTGGAAAGAGAGTGTGGATGGCTCGGTCCACTGCCGGCGACATCCTGTCCGCTCAGGCTGGGGGCAGAAGAGAAATTCGACTGGAAACAGCTGAAGAGGTTCCAGATGCCGGGCCAAAACGACACGGTCCCAGGCTCATTCACAGCATACTCGTCAAAGGCCCCAACTATAGATAGAGTATACTACTGTTAATATATGAATCTTACATGAATGTACTGCTCACCAAGTATTGCCATATGGACAACTATACAGCAACGGTATTACAGCAAGGGTCACGGGATCCTGATAATTACATTTACATGTTTCAGAGTTGTATCTTCTGTATCTAACACCGACATTGTTCTTGTGATTTACTTAGTGGAATTGGCCATTTATGAAATTCTTCATCGGTATTGGTCAATCCACTGCTAGATAAATGCCTCCCCAAAATGCCACTCACTAAAGACCCTGCAATGCAATAATCCATCAAGCACGTGGCCACTATAAATTAACTGTTTCGTTACATCTTCTTTCGTGTATTATGGTCTTCATTTACATGTATGACTCTACATTCATTTGGCGTTGCTATAGTTTTAGTGAACTACATACTAGTTAATATACAACTAAAAATACACAGATCATTAACCAGTTACTGAAGGACCATTTGGGATTCCACATCAACAACGTTGTATACTGTAACACATTCAACCCATAAAAGACTAACTTTTTTTAATTGTACATTTTATTTCACAAGAATTCAAGAATCGCATGATACCACATTTCCATTTACCAAGTTATAGAGAATACACTTCAATCAATTCGGAATGCACTTTAATTTATGTGAATACATTTTTTTAAGAAGAGAGTGCTTGTTGCCACATACATTATTTAGATAATTTGAACTTGCAACTCAACTCTAAACAGTTACAAATCTGCTGAAACTACACAGGATGTTCAGTCATTATTTTTGCTTTCTCTGGCATATGTACGTTTTATTGTGCTCGTGTCCAAAATCAGTATTTATGGTTTTCTAAACATTGATTTGTGAGTTATTAAACATGAATTTAAGTCTAAAAGATGTATGTCATATGTAAATGTCAAGGATGTAAAAACTATAATTGCACGTTGTTTCAGTGTATTTTTTTGAATATTACACCACGTAATAACAACAATCTCATTTTGGTGCAAACTGCTGGACAGCAATAATAGTATTAGTTTTAAAATAACGTATTGAAAAAAAATGTAATTATAGTGTTTAGCAATGAACATTCCTTAAACTACTAAAATATAGCAATTCAAGATTAGTTGATGAATTTTATTTCAAAATAAATGATAACACCATTAGCATAAACAACCAAGAAACTACACAAGTGGCAACTGCAGCCTACTTCAATTGTATCTTACGGCATAGATGAGTTGATACTGACTATGCATAGTGTGGCACTGGTTGGATTGTTCCTGTCGGATAACTGATGTAGAGTTATGAAAGCAGTGATGTCTTCAGAGAAGGGAGGCAGTGCTCATTCATGGGCCAGCAGGAAGCTGAAGTCTGTGCCAACATCGTGCTCTGTGGGTTCCTTCGATCTGGATTCAAGAAAAAAATGCGAGTAATTATATTTAATAAAATAACGAGTCAATTGTCTATTGTAATACATTTGGCACATGTTTCACTTGCATACTGCTCGATAGAAGTGACTGCTGGGGAATGCTTTCGTTACTTGGGGCCAAATAGAACGGTTTAACACGTAGGCTTTCGCGACCAATATTATTCATAATAAAGGTTTTTGGGTTAGATCGCGTTATTTATAAATGTGTCGCAACCCTCCACCACCCGACATGGCCAATCAGCAAAAAAGTGTCACGTTGACAAAAGACGAATAATTCACTACTTTAGCCCACCGGTGTGTTGAAGAGTGAATCCACAACATTAACAATTTTTGAGTACGACGTTTCGCTGGTAATTACATCCAGCATCATCGGGCTGGATGTAATTACCAGCGAAACGTCACTCAAACTGTAAATGTTGTGGATTTACTCTTCAACACACCGGTGGGCTAAAGTAGTGAATTATTTGTCTTTTGTCAACGTGACACTTTTTTACTGATTGGCCGTGTCGGGTGGTGGAGGGTTGCGACACATTTATAAATAACGCGATCTAACCCAAAAACCTCCAAATAGAACTTTCAAATACCTTTGGCAGGCTACACATTAACAAACACCTGAGTCACCTCTGTCACTGCAAGAGGCCCTTAAAGTAATATGTGACTGAGCATACTAAAATTATAAAAACAAGTGTTGCCAGATTGAAAAGTCACCCTCTCATACCAGTTTAGTTTGGTCAAGATGCTTGTAGTGATGGGATACATAGCTTTTTCAGGCTGTTTTGAGGTAATCAGCCGCATGTTGCTAAAGGCCATATGAAATTAAGCCACAAGCCAAATTTGGCCTGTGGGTTGTAGGATTTCCCACTCATGCCCTACAGGACCCTGTCCTAATACATCACCTTAAAAAAAGTCGTGCTTTGGTACAGCCGAGCAGTGTGGCTTTGTCACCCTCCACGAGCAACATGCAACCTTCACGCAAAGCCTGTGATAAGACATAACAAATGTTAATCATTCTGCGATTGTCACCAATTCAATAATCATCAATGTAACAGCTATACAAATGTGTTTAATCACTGTAATTTGTAATGGTGCACGCCTATTATTCCGGTGTGGATGTATGAATGTAGGACTAACCAGTACAGGTGGGGTGTTAGGCTCCTCATGATATTGCACAATCCTCTGCTGTCGCGTTTCCTTTGGGTGAAAAGAAAAAAAAACATCAATTGATGGTAAACAATTAAAATGTGACAATGTATATTTGCTGGAATTGAAGAAATACAATTTTTGAGATCCCTCAAATACAACTTTTTACTTGCACGTTCCGCAAAGGCTCCGTTTAGTGCTGAAGGTGCGTGTTCAATAAGTAATGGTCAGGATAACCACCACGGCAAGTGAAGGCCCTCATCCCGCATTGGATCGATAAGAGGGCTGTACATGTACATACCCCCATGTGCTTGCTGTTGAGGTCAGTGTCCAGGTAGTGTGGGTTGATGTTGAAGGGTACCAAATCGAGAGCATTGAGTGAAGGAGGGTACACGATGGGCATGTCATTGGTGGTGTTGATGCTGACTGTTGCAACGTTTGTACCAGCGCTGGAGCCAATGTAGGGAATTCCATCCTGCAGAGGACAACATTGCAACTCGACTAAGGGGGTGCGCAGCAAACGTTCAAATGTTATGGTTTTAAAGGTCTCAAATATCAGAAGGAAAAATACGAGTATTATTTAACATAATTCTCTTTAATCTGACAAAAAAAGAAATACTCGATGTTATAAGTATTGCACGTGTAGTTGGTTTGTTGCACAACAACACAGATGCAAAGTGAATCGGGTCGATACGGTACCTCAAGGACACGTTTCCTAATCTCGGCAACGAGTCTTTTGTCGTATAGCATTTTCAAAAGGCGGAAAGTGTTTCCTCCACCTGCAGTAGATAAAACAAGCTTTCAAGAAATGAATCGTGTTGAGAGTTATATATTTTTTCTCCCCAGTGCTTTGACAGTGCACTGAGTGATGGCACGCAACTGATGAGATCAACCAAACTTGGCTCGCTAAGGCTGTGCAAGTCCCAATTATGTTAACAGAGAAAGTCAATCTGCACGTGGCGTCCTCACCTATAAATATGCCTTGGGCATTTTTCACTGCTTCCACCGGATCCTCTGCTTTGTGAATGCCGTCGATTTCGTAACCTGAAAAACAAATTTAACTCATGCAGCAGCATACGGTACGATAAGAGGTTGATGACAACTGCAATTGACACTGGTTACGTTTGAAACATACATTTAACAACGTGTAAACGTTGCCCTCTGATCATTGCACCTTGATAAGCTGCTGTAATAATCATAAAAAAGTACTGTACACATTTTCTATCCGACTCGATATTCAAATAATTCAATGATACCGCCAGATGGTGGTAAAGAATGGCATTCTTGAATTTGTGCAGAGTTCCAGTGCACCATTGTTATGTTATGCATGGTGGGTATTTTTTTCCGGACCTGGTCAAACGACTCTAAGCAGGATCATCCCTCCTGAAAAAGTACTGCAACTTGGTGAGAACCTTTTCCTGGGTACTTAAAATGGTGTTACAGTACGAATCTCAATAACTAATCTGCCAACTACTGGCTCATTTGACATTTTAAAAATGTTAAATGTACAATAGTGGAAATTGCACCTCGACACACAAACATCTTGCATGATCGCCATTAAGTGGAAATTGAAGTTCAAAGCACAAGCGGGTAAAATACTGACCCAAACTTTGAAATTTGGTCCTGGCCGCGGTGGTGTAGGCATCGTGATCCTGCAGGGCGTACGGAATGAAGAGCACCCTGCTTACAGCGCTGTGTTCGGAAAGAGACAAAAGCCAGAGCCTTGAACAAACTGTTGGCGGGAAGTGCTGTTAGCGAGGACCAATTCACGTCTCCGCGACACAGAGGGAGATGGCGTAGCCAGCACCACGCCCGGCCACCTTTGTCTCCCCAGTGATGCTGTTTACACACCGCACCAGGTGCAGCACTCATTTAAGGTTGAGTCGACCGAGGCAAGACCCAGAATCGGATTGGTCGTAAATGGGGAATCGAACTCAGGTCACCGGATTCCTCGTGCAGTGTCCTAACCACTGCACAACCGCTCCCCATAAAAAGAGAACACAGGCCAGACAGAGCACGTATCTGTGAAAGTCAACTTTTTGGTGAAACACGTCAATGTCATGGCAAAAGTTAAGATTGTCATGAGAATGTCGCGATGGAATTAGTTCATGTGCAGGAGAAGAGAGATGAATAATAACAGCAACTTGTCTGCCTATTCAATGTGTGACTTGTATTCTCTGCAACGACCTTTATGACTATTTTGTGTTACTTCCCCGAGCAACTTACAATGTGCAATTCAAAAAAAATCTAATTGGGCCCCACGATGTAAAGTGCAGTCTCCAACGCATATAAAAAATATCCCTCTGGCACTCTCTAGTTATGTGCTATGGTGAGAAAGGGCCGTTGCCCGAAACAATGCACTTGTATATGTTTCCTTCAAGGCCACACAGTGGTATTATTGACGAATACGTTCGAGTGTTTTTGTTCCAAGATCATCGTCATCATCACCCGGAGATCCTATTCCATACCTGTCAACCCCCTTATCAGTGCCCTACCTTATTATAGAACAATTCAGACCTTATTGGTCACCCAGTGACCTTCTAAATCTCAACGTTCATCCTACAAAGTCCCATCCATAAGGCGGAAACACAAACAGACAAAATGTTTTCGGTCCGTATTGAAACGGCTGTATGCCGAATGGACCTGAAAACTCAATTACCCTGTACAAGAATACGGGGTATAAACTGAATGGCTATGACAATGCCAATGTTATTTTCCCCCCTGGTGATTCTGGCCAGGAAGTGACATTTTTGGGGGTCTTGAGAGGCGTTACAAGAATGAGTTGGTACAATCGTGGAGGTGGCGGGTGCCCATATTCAACATTTAGCTCAAGCCAAGTCCATTTCGCCCACTCGACGCTCACCCTTTTACCTTTAACGTGCCAAAGAATAAGTAATATTTAACAAAAAAAACTTTTTTAAAAACACGCTTTAATGAAATGTACCGTACTAGTAATGGCAGAACTCCACGACTCCAGGAAGTGGCCCCGAAGCTTGCCACAACGTAAGGGGACCGTGGCCGATTTACAGTCAACGTCAGTTGAGCGTGGACAATTAGACCCAAGCCGAAACATCTAACCTATAAAAGGCATTTTTTGTCTGTCTGTCTGCGTACGCTCGCTTGCGGGGGATTTGGCTCTCGGACCGTGGGGTTCGCGTAGAAAAAAAATTGCCGGGCGACACGCCCCGGGCCCCGTGGTGGGAATAGGCTATTTCATTTTCCCATCCCTTATCTTTAAAGTGGTTAAAATCGCGTTTTGGTGCGATTGATCGTCATTTATTTATTTACTTTTGCCGACAGGCTCGCTGCTGCGCATGCGCGAAACGCCGACACGAGTTGCCCCTGGCAACGCACAGACACGAGTTGCCCCTGGCAACGCACTCACGCCGTCGCTGTAGGGTGGACGCCATTTCTCATTCAAAATGCAAAAAAATTACACGCAACGCTGAGGTAAATTCATCAAAGTGTCACGTCCTCTTCTCTCCCCCTCCACCCCAATGTGTGCACTTACTATTATAGGGTCGGTAGATACTAAAATTACAGCGATTAAATAGTATTATTGTAGCGCGTGGGGGGGGGGGGGTAGCGGCCCAGGCCCCAGCCTCGGCCGGCCGGGCAATCTAGGCGAGGCTGGAGGCTCTGCACGGGACTCGTCAGTATGCACTGGTCGAAGGAACGTAGGTCCCACCAAAAGTAGGTATGCACTGCTGTAGTCATAGCAGGTACCACCACAATATGCACTGCTGTAATCATAGCAGGTAACCACAGTCAGTATGCACTGCTGTAATCATAGCAGGTCCCACCAGTCAGTATGCGCTGCTGTAATCATAGCAGGTACCACCACAGTCAGTATGCACTGGTCGAAGGAAAGCAGGTCCCACCAAAAGTAGGTATGCATTGCTGTAGTCATAGCAGGTACCACCACAATATGCACTGCTGTAATCATAGCAGGTACCACCACAATATGCACTGCTGTAATCATAGCAGGTAACCACAGTCAGTATGCATTGCTGTAATCATAGCACGTACCACCACAGTCAGTATGCACTGCTGTAATCATAGCAGGTACCACCACAGCAGTTTCCACTGCTGCCATCATAGCAGGTACCACCACAGGAGTTTCCACTGCTGTAATCATAGCAGGTACCACCACAATCAGTATGCACTGCTGTAATCAAAGCAGGTACCACCATGGCAGTATGGACTGCTGTAGTGATAGCAGGTACCACCACAGTCAGTATGCACTGGTCTAGGGAAAGCAGGTCCCACCAAAAGTAGGTATGCACTGCTGTAGTCATAGCAGGTAACCACAGTCAGTATGCACTGCTGTAATCACAGCAGGTACCACCATGGCAGTATGCACTGCTGTAATAGCAGGTCCCACCGCAGTCAGCATGCACTGCTGTAATCATAGCAGGTACCACCACAATATGCACTGCTGTAATCATAGCAGGTCCCACCACAGTCAGTATGCACTGCTGTAGTCATAGTAGATACTGCTATCCAGTTGGTAGATCATGCTATATAGAGTTAGTAGATACTAATACAGTCAGTATATACCACTACGGTCAGTAAATACTGCTATAGAGTCAGTAGATACTACTATAGAGTAGATACTGCTATAGAGGTAGTAGTTACTACTATGGTCAGTGGCTACTACCATAGAGTCAGCATATACTACTATAGAGTTAGTTGTTACTACTATAGAGTCGGTACATACTACTGTAGGGTCAGTAGATACTACAGTCAGTAAATACTACTACACAGTCAGTAGATACAACTACAGAGTCAAGAGATACTACTTACTCTGTTGTATGTAGGGTGTGTAATTGTAGATACCTACGTGGGACTAAAGATATTTTTAGGAGGGGGTCGACAATTTTCGGAAACCTTTTAGATCAACTATTTACCCCACACTTTCTATTACTTTTTTGACTTTTGCAAGCCTCTTATAATTTTGTTGGTGGAGAAATGGACAAAAATAATGGCCCACCGGGTTTTCACAATACCTTAGTATCTGTGTATGTATATGTTAGGGTTTTAAGAGAAGTTTTGAAATATATTTTTTACCCGGGCAACGCCGGGTACTTACCGCTAGTAACATATAAAAATGTATTTTATTTTTTATGATAGAATATAGCATTGTCATCACTTGGTATACTTATGACATGAGACTTATGACATAAGTATACCAAGTTTGCAGTCGATACCACATTGGGAAGTAGGTAAACATTAAGTTACAAGATTTGAGGATACAACGACAACAGACGCACGAAATCGGCGCTTCTCGTCATCCAACCTCATCATCATCCATCCTCATCATCATCCATCCTCATCATCATCCATCCTCATCATCATCCATCCTCATCATCCATCCTCCTCATCATCATCCATCTTCCTCATCATCATCATCCATCCTCATCCTCATCATCATCCATCCTCATCATCCTCCTCATCATCATCATCCATCCTCCTCGTCGCCCCAACTCCTCCCTTCTCACCTCCCCAAGAAGTCTCGCAGCTGCTGCTCACAGTGGTCCAGGTAACCGCCGCCGTGCAGCGTCGAGTTCGAGACCAGCAAGAGGCGCCGCATGTTTCACCGTCAAATACGCGGCGAGGGAGCAGCGGGTGGCAAGAGGAGGCCGTGCGCCCGTGGGGGCAGGGGGGGTCCAACCAACGACCCCGGGGTAGGGGTCCAACCAACGACCCCGGGGGGGTGGGAGGGGGTTGAGAAGTCCCAAAAGTTCAACCGCCGTGGCCCGGGCCCGTGGCGCAGGACGCGAGGGCCGAGAAGGCCGCGTAGAGCAGCAGCAGCAGCGCCGCGTTCACCAGCCCGTAGCGGCAGGCGCCGTCAAGGATGGCCACCAAGTCCGTGCGGCGCGGTCCCTGCGATGCCCTCGTCCAGCAGCGGATCGAGAATGAGCCGCGCATCGCACGGGAAGCATGGGGGGGTGGGGGGGGTGACTTTGAAACTTGGACGGATGTAAACTTCCTCCGCGAGTCGATTCGATGCGAAGGGGTGGTGCGATTCCGATTTGCTGGCAATCGGAATGTGAACGTTTATCCTGGAGGAATCCGATGAGCTGTGAAGCTCTTCTCCCCCCCCCCCCCCGTAGATGTCCAGTGGCGATCAATGTGGCGAGCATGGGGGGGGAATGTTCGCCGCAGTTTCTGCTGCTCAGCGTGCGACGATTCGGCCGCGTGGGATTCTATTGTCGCGATTATATACGTCAACAAAAAGAGAAAATCGGATTCGGTTTCCTTTTAAAAATAAATCGTTAACGAAGTTTCCCACCCGAGCGATTTCGCGATCCAGAAATCGGTCCTCGTCTCGTTCACGTCTCGTTATTCGCGGCACGACGTGCAAAATGTACGGTATTTCGTTCACACCATGAGCAGAAACGTGCAATTATTTAGCATATCCCTGGTGCACAACCACAATGAATTTGAACGGGGACGACCCTGTGTACTTATCCGAATGTGACAATTTAATTCGATGAACGAACGCATTAAATGCCGGGTCTACTCATTTACAAATTTGAATGAATATGCGGCTAACGATTGAAAGAGATCGTGCATGTTAGCTCTTTCTGTCTGCATACCCGTCAAGCCCTACCAACTCAGACCTTCTTGGTCACCCCGTGCCCTTATAAATATCAACGTGCATTCTACAAAGTCCCATCACAAGGGAGAAACACAAATACACATGTTTTTATTTGCCCGTCTTGAAACGGCTGTATGTCGTATGGAACTGACAACTCAATTTCCCTGTATAAAAATACGGATAAACCGTATTGGTTGACACGGTATGTGTCTATAATATTGGGTCTCCAAAACTCCCATAAAGATGAATATTTATCTTGACCCCCATGTCACAGACAGATGGAAAGAGTGAATGCAGTGCTATACATTCATGTTTGTATTATAAGGCTGATGCTATCCGGTACTCCTACGGTACTATACAAAACGCCAGTCAATAACACTGCCTTAAACGGGACAAATATAAGTGACGTTTTGGGCAATGACCTTTCATAGCACATAAAATAAACGTGTTGGAGTTTTTATTTGTGTGGGTGTGTGATTGTGCATCATTGCCAAAGCGGCACCACCAAATAAATGAATATAAAACCAGCCATTTTGATCAAAAGGTTATCCAATACTTTGTATAAAAGACCTAAAAACAATGAATAAGCCTTTTCGACAAAGGCGATGTCACACGGCATGCTACATTATTATTTTTAAACACCGTTGCCGAGCACGGGCCTAATGGGTCACGCAATAAACTGCACTGTCCAAATTCTTACGTATAACAGTTCGAAATCAGAATATTTATACTGGAGGAATCTGATGAGCTATAAAGCTAATTTTCACAGATGTCCAATAGGGACGGGTAATAACGTTACAATACAAAAAACACGACAGCAGTGCAAAGTACAAGCTAAACAAATCACCGAAAAACATACAAATAAAACTAAACCATCCCCATCCTACCTGGTAAAGCCCACAGGTATTAACTTATATTTCAGAAGCGACCTGGCCACAAATAAAAGCTCAAAGTAACTAATCATAGCTTTGGAAATTACAAAGTCGAGCAGTGCAAGGGGAAAATCTGAAAGACAAGTGTTGTGACCTGCAGTGTGAAGGTTGAACATGGTGGATGAGATGAAACAGTCCGGTAGACCAGAGTCCCCAACATGGGTGGAGAAATCCATCAAAAGTTCAAAGAAAATAGTAACCAGAGTAGTCGTGACAAAAGAGTAATGACGCATCTGACCGCAAGAGACAAGCATCACTGCAAGTGATTGTAGTGAGTGATGGATTATCAACCTTCACTGCTACATTTAATTATATTAGTTAGGCAGGAACCGGGTGCTTCATCCCAGAAGACAATATTCTAACTTCAGCTGATTTTATACATTGTATTCGAGCAATAATTGTTCAGAATTAGAAAAATGCTTTGGCACAGGAAATAAAACCAAGCTTCTTGAATGCCTCCTTGGTCAGATTATTCACAGGCCATATAAAATGCATGTGCCAAGCAGATTAATGGTTCAACGATGGATAACGTCATTCTAAAATAATACGAGGGACTGTGGAATTGTCAGTCATACTTGACCAAGCTTTTCTTTAGTTGAATGCAACAAAGATTTTTGTCGCCCATATGAAGAATTGTATCAGTATTGGTGATGGATATTTCACAGCTTTGTCTCTCCCGAGTTGTCAGCATCCCCTCAATGTAATAAATGAGCACGAGGCAATGAATAGTAATGGCAGTCCTCTTGAGGCAGTGGCTAATTTAGGGATTGAGATTTTCATTTGGCACAAATGTCTTGCAACACAATTAAAATACGGAACACCAATGAAATAAAATATGGGAACAAGATGAAAAATAGCAAATGTATTTTGAATTACGTATAAAGTTAAAATGAACCCCCCCCCGCAAAGCAGACCAAAAGGCACCAAAGTTAATCACCGATGACATTTCTGAAAAAAATAGCCATTTGGGATAAAAGGCCAGTCCAGTATGCTATCAGGTTGCCCATCCACATCAGCCACCAAATTCAATAAAAACACGGCTCATATGCCTCTCTTCCTGTGTCCAGCCCCAAGAACTGTTCCAACAGAGGCACAATGCAGCACAAGCTGATTCCAAGCAGACCACATGCCACCACAAATATTGCGCAGGCCTCAGGGTCAACACTGCACCACAATGACACAGCTCAGGCCCTGTACTACTAACATTTAGTTCGCGCAGGCTCTGAAGAGACCTTGTGCTACCACACCGAAGCACGGGAAAGGCAGGAAACAGCCAGGAACTAGAGAAAACAAGCCCCAATGCAAAATAACCAGATATATTTTAAATTTGTATCAATTCAAACGGGGGGGGGGAAATTCAGGGACAAGTAGCTGTGTATGTATACATAACCTTGCTCAAATCAATAAATCAATTAATACCTGTTACGAATTTGAGTGCTGTTTGACGTTTTGGGCTTTTGGGCCCTTGCTCAGCAATTGTATATTTTTTATTTTAACCCAATGTGATATGGAAAAGACCCAAAAAGAAGCAGACAACAGGTATACCAACACGGCGGCAATCTTCCTAGTCTGACATGCAAAGAACATGACAGCAAAAGGCCGAATCAGGTGTTATAATCAAGAACATACGTTTAACACAACAACCAGTTCTGCTTTCTCAAATAGTGCAGCCTCACCTATTCTCCTGACCAGAAAGTCCACGCATGACCTTGTGATTGAGCTATTTTGCCAAAGGATAATGCGTATCCACACTTTGCCTATTTAGCAACATGAGAACCCAGTGAAATGAAATTCACATTTCCATGTTTAACTGTATAGGATAGTTGAATAAGTTTCCTTAACATGGGCAAAAAAACATAGGATAATTCCATTTGTCAAGTTTATTTACAAAAACATATAGCCAATACCTAAAATCTACTGTGAAGACGTGACAATATTTACTGTAAATTGACAGGGATTTCAGTAAAAATGAGGCTCAATACAAATGCGTCAAGACAGAAATTAGTAGAAAGTGAAGATGCAGAATTTGTTATTCATTATGAGAATGCTGTGGTGCAGACTTTTCATCTTCATCGGAATTCCCCTTCATATTCTGCTTTATCTTCTCCATCTTAGCAATCAGTTCTGAGGTGACAAATTAAACACATCAGACAATATTGTTAAATCAACTGCAATCACATTATTTTATAATGAACGATGAGGCCACCATAATGCTATTTGTTTTAAATGAAACGAATTACAACACGACCAAGTGGCAATGTTTAAAATAACGTGTTAATTCAAACCAAAGTGCTTTTAATTAGCATAACAATATTTTAGGTAGTGTTAAATAAATATCATTGAGAACCTTTAGCTGGGTTGAACACCCCCATTGTTTGTTGTCCACATACAAAACACCTCTTGGACTTTTTGTAATGCTGAAGGGCACATTTTTCACAAAAGTAATGCTTGCACCTGTGAAGTACAAACAATTGAGTAGAATTACACTGGTTAGGAATTAAATGGATGAAGTGCTCTTCACAATGAAAATTCACATAATTTATGTATTTTTAAATGTCACGTAATCATATACAGCATAACCATTAGGTTCTTGAAGGCAATGTAAATGTCAGCTTACTTTGTGATAACTGGGTGTTGGAATGACTCCCTGCAGATAAAACACTTGAAAGGAAGATCCTCATCCCCACTGCTGACTTCATAATTTTCTTCCGCTTTTGAGAAACACAGGATTAATGTCACAATTGCTGGTAGAAGTGATATTGCTCAATTTAAACGAATGTAATGCAATTATGACCAAAAATTGAAAGCTTTCCTCAAGGTTTTAATTTTAAACATAACCTGATCCTTTGGGGAAAATACAGAACAATTACTCATAAGATAAATATAATATTAAAATTAGTGCATTTCCCTCTTTAAAAAATGCATTTGAAATGGACTAAAATCTAAAAGACGAGATAAAGAAGCAGTCAAGAGCAAGTTGGAGTGCCTTTGGAGAGCTGACATTGATAATGAAAAGAAACAAACCAATATGCCTAAAAGAACATGTTTAATCACTGTGTACAACCTGGTATGACAAAAGGTCAAAAGCATTATTAATGGAAAATAAACATTGATTAGAGAACATATACAGGGTTAATTAAATCATCCAAACCATTGAGAAAAGTGAGTTTGGGCAGAATGTATTGCTATAAGGGATGATAGATGGTGAAGAATAATAACGGATGGCAACAAATGTATGGAACGTGCCTCAGAGAATGTTCAAGAAGATGGGGCAATTAAATCAGTTCCTGTGAAGGTTCTGGATGAACAGTTGCATCGCAAGATTGTGAGTGGTGGTTGCGGCTTGGGGAGACAATCACCTAGCAGTGGATTGACCATGACTGATGATGACATACAGTATGTATTATTCAGTGTAAATAACAAGACATTTGTCAAACACATTGGCTACAATGTGAATATTTTCACCAACCTGTAGCCCCATAGCGGCCTTCCTCCAGCTCCCGCTCGATTTGCCAGCCATGCTTATAGTCTGAGCGATCGTGCAGAAACTTGCAACTATCTGTATAATGAGAGAATGACAAAGCAAGTGATCAATGAAGCTTAGCCATTTGAGTGTGTATTTAATGGACAGGACAACCACTGCCAAAAATATCAAATAACACAGATCAGCAAATCACAGCAGCTGATGATGGGAACAAGCTTTGCAAAACTGCACAATCACACGCAATTTCCTCCACGAAATTTTCTGTATATTATTGATGAATGTGTCACGTAAAAACTTGGCCGCATCTTACCACCAAAGCCACAGAATCCAGTTTCCTTATAATCTTTACAGATGTCAGGTTGGTAGTCCCACCGTACTGTAGCTCGTAAGTGCTCAGGAGCCCGGATAGGCCCTTTTCTGCAAGTAATGAAAAGAAAAACATTTACAGATAGAGGGTGTGTAATAAACAACATTCTATTTTAATACAAAATAACAAATGTCTACTGCATACATAGGTCTCTCTCAACATGAAAAGAATAAAAGTATTTCTTACACAACCCATCAAGCTTCACGGTCTTCCGGGAGTGTATAATTCCAGCTGCATTGATTAAAGACAAGCAAACTCTGGACCAGTTTCAACATAGTGTCTCATCAGCAGTCAGCCTTGCTTCAAAAAATGCTGGTGAACTGCAGATCTTACAGGCAAGGACCCTCCTTTCTGCTATAGGTCCTAGTTCGATGCAACATTCGAGAATACGCAACTCAACATAATCATTAGTATCGTTATGGAGAAAAAAAAATACACAATAAATAAGCTTGTCTTTGAAAGATCAGTCAAATATGAACCTGCTGGTCTTTTCAGACCTTGCAGCTAAACAAAAATAAATACAAGAACATGTTTTGGTTGCAGCTCAAATGTTGGCAAAGGGCTATTTCAGTCTGGTGGAGCAAATGTAATAAACCAATGCCAAAAAGGACCACTATCAGGATTAAATGGTCTTGTGCTAACATTTAACAAGCCCATTATATTTGCAGTCAGTGTTGAATTGTCACCGACTCCAAAGTTGGTAGTAAATGACCACTAGTTGTTACTTGGTTTGGAAACCAGCACTACAATCTAAGATTTGGGTATTACTGCACTCTGCTGTGAAACTATTGTATCCTTTCAAATACACTGCTGAAGGAAATCACTCTTGTTTTTTATATTCACCTGACCATGCCAGACGATGCATTTCCCATTGCTGTTTCCTTCGGTTTGATGAATTTTGTGTAGTTATGTATTCCACGGTAGACTTTGTCATCTTCTTTTCCTTTTATCTCCTGAAAAATACATTCTGCAATGAATCCTTGAACCTATATTGTATGTAATGTTTAAATCAAAAGAACTAAAGCTGCACTCACACATTAGGTGTAATTGCATAAAAGTTGCCCAAATTTACTCCAATAGTATATGCAATCACACTATTATCAGCCGTCTTCTCGGGCTAGTCTGGCTATAGACATACCTCTTGTATCTGTTGACTTCTCTCAAATATGGCCTGTGCATCGTTGACCTTCTCTGTATCCAGCTCATATGTGGCAGTGGCACCCATGTCATCTGGTCCCAGTGGTTTCTGAAAAGCAAATCACAGACAAGTACCACAACATTAACATTATTGCAGCACTTGGGTTTCTAATCGTGTAAAAGGATTTAGACATACTGGCTTGTTAAGAGCAGTTTTCCAGATAAAAAAATAAAAGTCTAAATAAAAATAACTTACTGCTGAGCGTGAAGACTTGTAGGCCACAGTTATTCCTCGATCCTCCTCGCTCTCACTGCTGCTGTACTTTTGCTTTTCACGGGTTACTCGCTTGGTCTGTAATGATTCAGAGTATATACAAATACAGGTAAGCAATTATATACAGTAAAACCTTGGATTGCGAGCATAATTCATTCCGGAAACGTGTTTGTAATCCAAAGCACTCGTATATCAGAGCACTCGTATATCAGTTGTGATCACGTGATGCTCGGCAGACAAAGCGTCTATACGTACTAATCGTATTGCAAGACCTCGCTCCTTTATCAAATTAATATTTAATTAAAAACTTTGCTCGTCTTGAAAAACACTCGCAGACCAAGTTACTCGCAATCCAAGGTTTTACTGTACTGTGTTTGTATGCACAAACACGCAAACACTGACCTGAGGAACTGAGATTTATTCAATATATGCATATGAACCTTATGGCGGTACTCTGGGGTCCCATAGTAACCCGGCTCTCACATAATGTCCGCGATGCGGTCATTTTTAGTCTGTTGATGGTCAGCAATGTGCTAATCGACTCATCTCGACGAGCTGTACACGATGCACTACGGTGCGTGCGAGCGTTCAGGGTTTCAGGGCAATCGTCCTCGCTGCGTTTCGACATCGCGGAGTAGCATTGATTTCGGATTGATTGGTACCCCAGTCGCGGAGTTGGGTACACCCCTGGAAAAAAGTGTCCCAGAAATAAAATATTTAATTGTCTCGGCCATTTTGTATTACTGGGTACCCCGGGGTACTGCCATCAGGATCATATGTCCACAGTGAATTCAGCTAATGTGCCCACTTTACAAGCAGGAACAAAACAAATTCGCGACAGCTATTCACCAAAGTTCCTTTGGAATGTGTTTCAATGTTCTCTTTCATAACATACTTAATAAAAGGGTACACAAAACGCAAAATGGGAACATTCACATTGTTTTCAATTTCATGACCAAAACCATCAATACATCAGATCTTCTAAGCAGGTTTGACACAGGATATAATTTGGATGGAAGCTTGTCTGGGAATATCAATACCAAGCATTGTAGGCTTAGGCTACAAGGTGACCAGGTTATGGTAGAAGAGCTATGGGATCATGAGTCTATTTTTGCAGGGCTATATATGTACCCCTTCTTATGAGTTGGTTTTATCCAAGTATGTCCTCCCACATGTCAATTTCCTCCCACATGTCAATTTCCTCCCACATGTCAATTTCCTCCCACATGTCTCCACATATTAATGGAAGTGGCTGGACATTCCAATGCAGGACCGCACGTAAAAACAGTATTTTGAGAGTCAGTGAGGCTTCCCTGGGTAAATAAAGAGTTATTTTTATAAAATTACATTTACAAATTATAGATTTTATCTTCAACCAAAATATGCTACCTTAAAAAATATATATAAAAGTTGTTCGATGTTTTCATAGTATAAATTTTTTGTAATATCTTAGAATTACCTCCCTGTAATATACAATACTTATGTCAGAACACACGGATGGCAGGCTACTTTTTTGAAAAACTAAGTTTTAATTTAAAGAGTGCCTACTTTAACAAAACATTTTTTTTTCATATGCACAGGCGTGCAAATTACTACTTTTCAACGAATGTTGAAAACATTTCGGCATTAGCTCTTTCCATGAGAGAGAGGAAGGGGTGGGGGGGTCACTACAACTCTCAAAGACGAAGGAACAACGTTGTACCAAGTCTGTGTTTATATAAAGGGACTTCCAATAATTAAAACTGGGAAACATTAACCATAGAGTTGCCTAAACATAGGAGATACAAACTACTCCAAAGCATTTTTTCCCAACAGCTAAACGTTGGTTTAGATACTGATAATTAAAACCTGTACGTCCGAAGACAAAAATGAAGGTTGTAAAGTGTTAAATAATATAATCATTACCATTCGCGTTTTTACCCTAATTTGTTTTTAATTGTAAATTGTCCTGAGATGAAAATATTTAACAAAGCTAAGTCAATATATGGGGGTCCATGTGTATGTAACATACTGTGTATGTAAACCACTGTACAGTGAGAGGAAAAAAGTATTTGATCACCTGCTGATTTTGTACGTTTGCCCATTGACAAAGAAATGATCAGTCTATAATTTTAATGATAGGTTTATTTGAACAGTGAGAGACAGAATAACAACAAAAAAATCCAGTAAAACGCATGTCAAAAATGTTATAAATTGATTTGCATTTTGATGAGGGAAATAAGTATTTGACCCCCTCTCAATCAGAAAGATTTCTGGCTCCCAGGTGTCTTTTATACAGGTAACAAGCTGAGATTAGGAGCACTCCCTTTAAGAGTGTGCTCCTAATCTCACCTCGTTACCTGTATAAAAGACACCTGTCCACAAAAGCAATCAATCAATCAGATTCCAAACTCCCCACCATGGCCAAGACCAAAGAGCTCTCCAAGGATGTCAGGGACAAGATTGTAGGCCTACACAAGGCTGGAATGGGCTACAAGACCATTGCCAAGCAGCTTGGCGAGAAGGTGACAACAGTTGGTGCGATTATTCGCAAATGGAAGAAACACAAAAGAACTGTCAATCTCCCTCGGCCTGGGGCTCCATGCAAGATCTCACCTCGTTGAGTTGCAATGATCATGAGAACGGTGAGGAATCAGCCCAGAACTACAAGGGAGGATCTTGTCAATGATCTCAAGGCAGCTGAGACCATAGTCACCAAGAAACAATTGGTAACACTACGCCGTGAAGGACTGAAATCCTGCAGCGCCCGCAAGGTCCCCCTGCTCAAGAAAGCACATATTCATGCCCGTCTGAAGTTTGCCCATGACCATCTGAATGATTGAGAGGGCAACTGGGTGAAAGTGTTGTGGTCAGATGAGACCAAAATGGAGCTCTTTGGCATCAACTCAACTCGCCGTGTTTGGAGGAGGAGGAATGCTGCCTATGACCCCAAGAACACCATCCCCACCGTCAAACATGGAGGTGGAAACATTATGCTTTGTGGATGTTTTTCTGCTAAGGGGACAGGACAACGTCACCGCATCAAAGGGACGATGGACGGGGCCATGTACCGTCAAATCTTGGGTGAGAACCTCCTTCCCTCAACCAGGGCATTGAAAATGGGTTGTGGATGGGTATTCCAGCATGACAATGACCCAAAACACACGGCCAAGGCAACAAAGAAGTGGCTCAAGAAGAAGCACATGAAGGTCCTGGAGTAGCCCAGCCAGTCTCCAGACCTTAATCCCATAGAAAATCTGTGGAGGGAGCTGAAGGTTCGAGTTGCCAAACGTCAGCCTCGAAACCTTAATGACTTGGAGAAGATCTGCAAAGAGGAGTGGGACAAAATCCCTCCTGAGATATGTGCAAACCTGGTGGCCAACTACAAGAAATGTCTGACCTCTGTAATTGCCAACAAGGGTTTTGCCACCAAGTACTAAGTCATGTTTTGCAGAGGGGTCAAATACTTATTTCTCTCATTAAAATGCAAATCAATTTATAACATTTTTGACATGCGTTTTTCTGGACTTTTTTGTTGTTATTCTCTCTCACTGTTCAAATAAACCTACCATTAAAATTATAGACTGATCATTTCTTTGTCAGTGGGCAAATGTACAAAATCAGCAGGGGATCAAATACTTTCTTCCCTCACTGTAAATGTTGAGTCTATGCTGGCAGACGCATTGTGTATAAGAACAAACGATTTATTCGTTGTATATAAAATTTATATAAAATATATATTTCGGGAAAAAATGGAATCGATTTTTTTTATTATTGGAGCAAAAACTCGCATTAAAATCTAATTATATTCTCACGTATGACAATCTGCCTTAAGAGGAAAAATATAGAATAGGCAATGGCCCTTCTTAAAAGCACACACAAGCCAGAGGAGTGAATAGCACTTGGGAAACTGCACCATAAACCATGGGGCTCTGATGAATTTTATTTTATTTATAAACATTGTAGATATCCATTTCCCTTTTAAGGTAGTATTATTTGACGGACAAGTTGACTGTTATTTGTGCTTGTGCACCACTGCCAAAGTAGAATCACCAATGTTTGTACGATTAATAACAATTATCTGACATACAAGCATAATTGGCAAATGTTCACTTTCATTAATTATCTACTGCAACATATAAAATCTGCACAGCATTATGCACAATGTAGTATGGACACAATACAAAAAAAATTGTGATTTTAAGATGAATCGGCAATGAACATCTGCTGTTAATTTCCAAATAATAAACGAATGAATACTGCCCTATATACATTTATATATGCACAACACAACAAATACTACGTATAGCATACAATATAAACTGCACTGTAGCAACCAGCAGTGACATCATGCAATGAAATTAGGATTCTCTGCACATAGATTTCAATTCGTGGAAGTAAACAACGCAGTCGCGGAGAAAACAAAAACCCACGTGTAAAATGCAGAACCTCTCCGTGGATTATGTCCAGCCGAAAATATGCAAAACCTTTCAATGGCAACATCGTATCGTAAAATATAAAACACACGACGTGAAGAAGCAGCATACAAATGTTCAGATAAATCAAGTCTGCATACGATTAAGCACTGCTGCGCACGGATATGATGGAGGGGGGAAAAAAAAGACTTACGCCTTGAACCATGGGGTTTGCAGCCTGCTGCTTTCGCTCAGGCCTGAACACTGCTGCGCCATCCTCATCGCTGCTCTCTGGTTCGGGAAGAATGCAGAAAATGTCCGAGAATGAAAAATCCATTGCCTACTGGCCCTATAGCAAGGCTTCAAAACAAGCAGACAAGGTCAGTGGCGCACACCACGACGAAAGTGAGGTCCTCCCCCCACGCGGCACAGCAGCAGATGCCAAACAGAGGCATTGTGCGGTTGTCTTTTTCCCCCCCTCTATATTTTTTCCCCTCTTTGCTCTCCACCCCCGAGGAGCATTATTCATTTAGACAAATGCAGTCTCTAAATCAATTATCAATTTCTTATACCGCGCGACATTAGTGCGGGTTATTTATTTATTTTGTATTTCACAAGCATACTGGGGCAATGCAGCCAGCTGTGATTAACAATGATCTTTTTACAAGAATTTACACCAATAAATTTCTTTATTTTAAAATGCAAAGCGGATAATACATCCTTTAGTAACACTTTTGTACATTTTGAATCACATTTGACAAAACCAACAATGTGCAATAAAATAATCCGAATATTCCTACATTTAGGGTAGGCTTGTTGAATACCAATAACGAATCGTTATATTCTATAACCGTTATTATGCAGATCACCACATTTTTAACAATTATAAAAATCGTTTGACCAAAATAAAAAAAAATGTTTATCCTCAGTGTATGAACGTTATTACAATCAATCAAGCCAATAGGCTCATCAAGCGAATTATTTGGCATTTGTGCTAGCTGAGGGGGCCTGTGTTTTTGTCATGCGACATGAGAAACATCCCGATTTTAAACGATGCAGTCTCATTCCTATGACATCACTACATGCAGACCCGGATGAGCCCAAGCCTGTGACTTTTGACCATACCTGTCAACCCATACGGTTTACCCGTATTCTTATGCAGGGAAATTAAGTTCAGGTCCATACAGCATAGAGGCATTTCAATACGGGCTTTTTAGAATTAACTTTGAGATTTCTAAGGGCACGGGTTGACCAATAAGGTCCGAATTGGTCTGTAATAAGGTAGACACTGATAAGGGGTTAACAGGTACGCTTTTGGAAAGTTACCCCACAAGCTTTATACTGTATAACATATTACTAATTGTGGTATCCACAAAAAAATATATATTAAAAAAATGTGTTTATCATAACGTAATGGAACATTAAGTTTCATGCCACAAGATGACACCGGAATCAATAAAGAGTTTTTTTTAAATATATACAGTGACTTATCATGTCAATCGGAGGTTGGTACTGAAATATCGAAAACTATACAGTGCAGCCACAATCACCCACATTTAAAACTATATATCCACAGGTACAACAGATCAGGCTGCAATAGCTACTCCTATAACTATTCAATATATAGTGTACTTTATATACCATACATTTATGTCAACATGTAAACATTGTGGTTAATGTGGTGGCGCCTATTGGCTACAAGGGGTGATGTGAAAGCATTACACACAATCCACATGAATACAAAAACATCGATTCATATACAGTACGTCTGATTTCACGGATATTTTAATAGCTTAGAATAAAGATTCACTGATAAATGAATCGTTACACCCCTACTTGGAACGCGTATGGCAACGAATGAGGGGACCTGTTGTGCACCATATTACATGTCCAAGCTCCACCGTCGTTATGAACATTTTTTTCACATATATAAATGAGGGCATGTTCATGGCAGAGCTAATTCTGTTGCCCCACTCTATTTTAGATACCACAACATCTGAACGCAGATTCAGCTCAACTCCATTTGTATCTCTTAGATTATATCCTCTGTCAGTGAGTCATCGTGTTTTTACCTGCTATGTAACACGATAAAATATTCAAAGCAGTGATTATTTCCATGAACTATGCAATCTGTTAGTTTGCTCACTGGTTATTCATAATCATGTAGCACGAACCTCGTATTATAAAGTACACATGTACAGGTACTGTACTTTAAAAGAGGTCAAATACAATACTGTTATTGTATTTAACTAACTTATACCATAATTCTGTCTCATTTTAAAGTAGACCGAACCATAATCCTGTTTTGTTGAATACTAATTATATTTAACCCTGATCCATTTAACCATGATCAATTTAGCCATGAGCCATTTAACTTAACCTTGTCTTATATAACCATAAACAATATAGCTTTAACAAAGACCCACTTTATCACTGAGCTGTAACCCATTTAACCATTACACATCTATTGCCATTACCCCATTTAACTCTAAGTGCCCTAACACAATCCTTTTATCCTTATTCATCTCACTTAATCCCAACACAACCACAATCAGATAAATTTCATCCCAACCCTGACCCATTTAAACCACAGCTCAACCACTGTGGCTGATCACTTTAACTCCAACACAAAACCTAACCAATATAACCAAAAACACAATCTAAATCCTTAACCAATTTCATCCCTCCCTGTACATTTTAAACATTACCGCAACCCTAACCACTACCCCATCTAATTCTACCCGAATATCCATGAACACATGTACATTAACTCGAACTAAAGTCTTCACCCTCAAAAGCTACCGTAATATTTCACCTTGTGCAAAAAAAAATTCACCGAATCTTATGAATATTTTTCAGAAACGTCCGATTCAATTTATGCATGTTGGTAAAATAAAGCCATAGTACCCAGAGAAACCTCATGAATAAAAAGGGATAACATTGAAAGATCTATACTCATTGGCTTTTTTCGGTAAAGTCACGTATGTAGAAAATTAATATAATTTTCTACATACGTGACTTTATATTAATTTTCTACATACGGGACTTTACCGAAAAAAACAATGAGTATAGTAATTTATGCAGTCACGAAAGCTTCAATTCTATATTGAAAGATCTGTACATATGGATTCAATCCTTTAATGTACTGACATCTCCTGGCTATTTCTAAAAACACAACTACAATTAAACCACGCCGTGTCAAAATGAATCCGAACCCATTTAATTCTAACACAATATCAGCCCAGGACATCTTTAACCATAACTCATATAATCCTAACACCATTAATTTCGGCCCTAACAAAAGACTAGGCCCTAACACTGACTACATTTTAACCCTGACCCTAAAGCAACCATAATCACTTACCACTTTCCAACCCTGACCCAATTCATATGACCACTTTGACAGAACCCTTTAACTGCAACGCAATACCAATAACTGACCCAAACTTTAATCACATTATCATTGGCTACTTTCGCTCTAATCACGTCCTAAATAACCACGGACGCTACAATACGAGCATCCATTCCCAATCAGAATATTTATTTATACTGAAGGAATCCAATGAACTATACATCTATTTTTCACAGACGTCCAGTAGGGGCGGGGGGTCAGAACGTTACAACAAATACAAAAACATGATAGGCTTGCAAATTATAGGCAAGGTAAACAAATGGCTTAAAAATATATACAAACAAACAAAACGAGTCACTATCACCAATAAATAAATCAGCAACACTACCGTTACCACCAGTTTCATAAATTACTACCACCACAGCGACTATCACATGGCGAATACCACACCGCCATCAACAACAGCCGACATTCGCCACTAAGTGCAGGTGACGTCCTCACGGTGCTTGTGCCAGGCTAGGTGCACTCCGAAGCCACAAAAAGTGTCGAAGGTTCGTTGACTGTATGGCACGAAAACACCATGTGCTATAGGTGCCCCATACTGTGCCAACTTGCTACATTTTATCCGCCCGGCGCTCTGTTCCGTTGTTATGAGCGTCGCTCCTCTCGCAACTCCGCTGTTGTTGGGAAGGCGACTGCTACCAACTGCACAGGAGCGTCCTTCACGAGCCTCCTCCGTCACCGCCACAGCCAACAACAACCACATAACCACATCACAATCACCGCCGCCTCCTACACCATTACAAGGCACCATCGAAAGGTCACCCGTGTAGCCTCAACAGACTGTAGGGGCAAGCGCTGTTAGCGAGCACCTACGAAGGCCGGCACGGCGCACGAGGGGAGGGCCCAGGACCGGTTCAGGTAAACGTCGCTGGTGTTGTTGACCGCGAGCCCGAATGGAACCCGCATGGCCGTGTTGCACACACCCCTGCAAACTACACTACAGCTCTCCCCACCACACAAGGCACCACCACGAACACGCCTCAACCACTACACCACTGCACTGCCACCGATATGAGATCACGATCGCAATCAAACTTCTACACCATTACAGCTCCCATCGTCGAACGTCACCAACCACCGCTTCCACGTGCGCGGTTTAAAGCCGGTGTGGCAGGCAACACGCGCTTCGCTTCGCGCCGCAGCCGCCGCGTCTTTCCCCGATTCAACTTTTAATCACTTGTGTGTGTGTCCAACGCCAACACCTCCCCGGTCGCGCACCCGTGCGGTCGCCGCTGGCTGGCCGCTTCCTCGGGTTGAACCTCCTTCTCCTGGCGCTGCTACCGCCGGCGGCTCCTCCACTCCCGCCGCCGTCGCCGCCACCGCCGACGTCCTTCTTGAAGCCGCGCTCCGCCATGAGCGACTTCCCCCTCCCCCCACGAAGCTCCACCCCCTCTCCACCGCTGTCACACTCACACGAAGTCCGTGACGCTAGCCAATCACCGATTGGTTTGACGGGCGCGTCACGACCCCGTCAGCCAATCGGCACGTAGATACGAGAACATTAACATGATCACGGACGTCATTAACATAATCGCGAGTTCTAATTAGCATAAATGTGAACGCACCCTTCATCCTGTAACAAAAAACAACCGGCAGCCGCCATTCGCCACTGTGACGTCACGGCCCCATGTGCCAGGCCACGTGCACTTTGAGCCAGCCAGGTGAAGTGTCGAAGTCTCGCTGCTGGCAGGAGGTCACGGGACAGCAGACCCAGCAGGTGCCATGGGTTGCCCGATTGAGATGACTGGCAGATGCACCAGCTGTGCCCCCTCCTACAATGCCAACTTTACTTCAATAATATTTTAATAGTACTTTAATAATAATGTATATGCACGCACCGACCAGCCTGGTGAAGTATCGGCGAATAAACCTCGCCACGACCCGCACGGCTTGTGGAGGAGGTCTTTATCCAGCAGTGCATTGACAGGAAGGCTGCGCCATATGTTGCAACAATCTAACACCTGCACGCAAGCTGATTTAATCGCTCCATCTCATTGTTGGACGTGCCTCTCGGAACAGTTCCATTCCATGGCTGCCACTCCGTTATTATTCTTGACCAGCATCACACTTATTGTGTGGTTATATGATTATGCAATGCTGTATTTATTTAACGTGTACATCATTAGCTCCCCCCCCCGCCCCGCAACAGAATTCTAGTAATATCGAGTACAATAATACAAGTACTTATGGATAAGCCGACCTTGTACCCTACTTGGCAGTGCCTTACGCCGATAATTCACACTCCTAGCCACATGCCCCTTATCAGTGCCTGCCTTATTACATACCAATTCAGACCTTCTTGGTCACTCCGTGCCCTTATTCATCCCACAAAGTCCCATCACAAGCGAGAAACAAATATACAAACAAAAAAGTGCCCTATTGAAACGGCTGTACGCCGCAATGGACCTGAAAACTAAATTTCCCTGTACATGAATACGGGGTAAGCCGTATGTCTTGACTGGTTTTGGACTGGAACATTTAAAGTGATAAATTAAGCCCTGAGTTATCATCATGCACTGATTGAAAAACTTTCCTCGCTGGATGGAGTGCCGCTTTTTTGCATTGCATTGGTCTGGTACATACTTAACATAATCTCGAAGACCCCCCCCCACCTCATTAACATGTGCGTGTTCTCGCGAGACTTGCCTGCAGTTGGCGACGCGCGGGTCCCGTAGCTTCGCGAGACGTTCTCCGAAACTCCGCCTCACGCTGCCTCAGATTTAATTGTAAATAAACAGTTAACGAGTCGCATCAATCGGTTTCTCATCCGACACCTCTACCGCCTGAAGTAGGACGCGAGGTAAGAATAAAACAAACTTCCCGCGCGTTTCATCCCTTTATTTAGCACGACGCACTGAGATGGAGCCTTGCCTTGCCTGGGTCTCCTGCCGTGGAAGCCAGCCCGAGGCCCGCACGAACGCTAAGTCTAGATTCGAGGGCCCTAAGCAACAAAGGCCTCCGAGTTTAGAAGACGCGTGTGCACTTGGCTAATATTGTTCGTATTATTAAAACATTGTTTAATAATAAAAAAAAACAGTTCAACGAATTTCAACCAGTGGGGAGTGTTCCATTGAACTAGGGGAAGCCTTTGAGGGGAGAGCGCGTGGGTAGTTGCACGGATACTGTAGAATTCGCGCTGCGAACGGAAGCGTAACTTTTAGTATTCGTGCGTAAAAACGCACTAATGCACAACGTGAACAATTGCGTTACAGCGCGTTGACCAGAGGAGTGTATGTGTCATTTATCTCGTTATCGTGTCCTTAGTAAACGGGGGGTGGGGGGGGGTCGCGAGGGCCAGTGTTCTTCATTGGGGGGGCCGCCATACCAAAAATGTTGAAAACCATTGCGTTCAATTGTCGTGCACGGCTCATTTGTCAATCCATTGCTGATTGGGGGCCTCCCCACGCCGAACGGGTCTTGGAAGGGGTGTTTTGATCACCCGCCACGCTGATCAGTAATGCTTGGTGAACACGGAGATCACTGTTAAGCACAGATCAACAATGCACTTTGCTGAGCTGTCTACATAGCGTTTCAGACGCCCATTAGAACCAGGCGTGCGTGGTGGTCTTCTATTCAAGCACTATTCCGGCTCATCACTGCTTAGCTTTCAAGATCTGGCGTATTGTGTATGCATGTGCAATTGTTGAATACTGTTTATCGGCCGCGTGCTGATGTGGTTTGAATGTGCCCAATCAGTACAGTGGTTTCGAGTTCAAATCCTTACAATCATCCCATCAGATACTCGCTTTGTGAGAAGGAAACTGGCTGTGCAATGGATGGACTTTTCCCCACTTGGATATTAGAGTTTCCATCATTGTCTAATCGTTAACAGGACAAGTACTATGCTACCTTAGTTGGCACGGGAAGCTCACACTTGTAAATGCGTCACGAAGTAAGTTTTTGTTGTTGTTTCAAACTCGGTAGCATTATCCAAGAGCTGAAGATTTGCTTTTTGGAGACGTACCTTCAAGTGACAACCTTCGAGCACACTGCCTGCATCTTAAACCAAGGAGGAGAAAATATTTTATTTGGTTTTCTATTTTATAGAATCACTTGTAAGTAAATGTCACTGACAGGCACTGCTAATATTACGACACTTGGCTTTTAATGTACACTTTGGAGCTGTTTCACTTTGTGTTGTTACCAGAACAATAACTGTATTGTTTCACATTTCAGTACAACCGTGAGGATGAATTGGAATAAAGGAGGCCCTGGCCAAAAGAGGGGATTTGGGTTTGGAGGCTTTGCCATGGGCGGCGCGAAGAAGGAAGAGCCAAAACAACTTCCAAACGACTTGCATACGTCGTTTGTATCGTCTTCCTCTTCTGGAGGTTATGGAAACCCTCAGACTGCACCAAACACATCATTCTTCAAAATAGGGTCCAAGCGGCCAACATTTGACGACGAAAGCTCGTAAGACTTGTTTAATACATTTTTTCTGTTATTTTGGCAGAATATTTAGAAATAATTTTTTGCATTTTTATGAATGTGATAAATTTGTACTTTAAATGTTGGTTGGTATGCATTATTATTGCAGGTACTTTGAAGAGGATGAGGATGAAGATTCTTCATCAAAGTATTCTGGCCTGCCTTACATCCCTGCAGAGAACTCTCCCTCCCGCAAGCAGCTTAACTCTGACAGTGATGATGACCCACTGGATGCATTCATGGCCCAAGTGGAGGTACAATTATGTCTTGCAATGTAAAATGCCAGGCAGGGTGTTTGAATTTGCCCTTAATAAAGTTGAAGACAAGTTAAAAGAAGTCTTACTGATTTACATTTTAGTATAAAATGATTAGTTGTACCTGTATCTTTACAGACATTGTATTTTATATCAAATATTTACAATACTTGTGCTATATAAATACAAGCTGGTGTGTTTTACTGACATTTTAGTGTGACGGTATATACGAATGCATTCTTTATATTTTCAAGAATCAAGCTGCAAGAGACATGAGAGCTTTGGAGGAAAAAGAAGTCGCCAAGAAAGATGACAAGTGAGAACCTTATTTTTTGTTGGAATGTCCCATTTTATCATATGGGCACTGCACAGGCTAGGGATTGAAAGTGTGCAACTTCTAAAAGCTGAATAGTTATATTTGGAATCATGAATGGAATCATTAATTGGCAAAGTTCAAATCAAACAGCTGATGTGCTCTGAATTGCCGTGCTATCTAGGAGCTCAATCACAAAACTAAAAGCACAATTACATAACGCAATGCGCATCATAACCTAAACACTGAAATCAACATCAATCCCCTGGTTCACTGATCTGGTGAACAGTCTGCCACCAAATATCTGCAGAGACATACAAACTGCAAGGAGGTTTACACATTTTCTTGCCAACGACAAGCTACCCATCAACCAATACTTAAACTTTGTACCTTACCGCCAACTCAAGACTCGATCCCCTTTCTGGGATCACGCTGTCACCACCCTAGATAGATTCTCACCCAAATTTCGATGAATGCTGGCAAACAGTGAAACATCTAGAGTAAACACATTATTCGAGACCAAAACTTTGCACATTCTACCTTTGTTATTCCTCAAACTATGGTGTACCATCAATCACAACATCAACAGGCCCATGGGTAAAGCTTCATAAATGGAGAATTGAAGGCAAGCTACAGTGCTATTATGGCTATGCAACCCAAACTATGGATCATGGAGTAAACCACGAGTCCTATCGTAGCTAAAAGACCTCGACATTGGCATTTAGCTCCTGAACATATTTCTATATGCAAGAATATAATTGGCAGATGCTTTAGATCAGTGGTTCTCAACTCGTCTCTCTCGTGGTCTGCAAGGTCGTGGGATGTGATCCGTGGAACTTGGAGATACACATTTTTGACAAAACACCATATTTATTCCTGCATCTTGGTTCACAAAAATATTCTAGGCATTTCTTTGAGTGGTTTGCGGTTAAAGAAAGGTTGCGAATCACTGATTTAGATGATAGTCTAAACCATTCAGTTCGATATTGCGAAAGCAGATAGCCTTTCTACTGCTTCCGCCAGGTCTCCACAAGATGGTGGTTGTAATAGTGCAGACTCTGTAGCTGTAATATAAGGGTCTCTTTGAACAGACGCAGGGAAGTTTTGTGTTTTTCCTTTGTGTTTCTACAGGGGTGTAAGAGATGACATTGAAGAGGAGGATGGACAAGTGAGTGTGTTACCTTTGCAACCCTTGGCTCTCTTATATTTATAATCTTCTCTTTTTATTATGGTATAGTTCTTCCAGTTATGGTCAGTGGAAAGTGCCAGCAGTGAGCACTTGTCATTGTTATATGAGCCACTGAGAGGCTCTTCAATAACACTTTGCTCTATCTGTATATTGATTTTTAATGGTGATAAGTTGTAGTTAACCTGTCCACTCGACATTACAGAGGTATTCACAGTGCCATCATTTATTTCTTGGTATTTTCGAGTAATCAGGACTATATTTGATTATTTTATAGACCTCAATTCCGTTTCTCTTGATAGGAGGAGTTATTCATCACTTGCATGAAAAGGGTAGCCACAAACTGGCAGATATGATGTGTTAAAGTGTTTCAATAAAAACTTTGTAATTTTGATTTAAAGCTTTCGTGACTGCAGTAATTCATATTCTTAGTTTTTTCGGTAAAGTCACGTTGAAGAGAAACAACAGAATAACAAAATATATATAAAACAATAAAAAAATTCTCACGACGTTTCGACCATAACTCAAACGGTCATCATCAGGTGTGTCGGTTTGCATACATTTATTTTGAAAACGGCATATTTATTTATTTATATATAAAAAAATAACGTTTGCGTCACGCGCAGCGATTGGCAGTTTGCCCAGGACTAGTCCATCTATTTTTTGAAAAGAGGAGGGGGGAGACGAAATTTGTTTTTATGTATGCTGTCTGAAAGCCACTGTAAGCGTGAACAATCAATCAAGAACTGAAATTATTTATCAAATCTTTCCAATGATTGCTAAGATAGAATCCATCTTCTCGGTTGAAATTGTCTCTGTGCTTGTATATGTGGATAGCCTCATGAACGAATCTCTCATGGAAGCCAGATGGCTTACAAAGAACCTCCGTCTTGGAAAAGTCAATGGCATGTGAGCCTACTGAATTAGAACAATGATCTGCTACGGCCGAGGTGTTGGTCCTACCGTGTTTAAGGTCTGCTTTATGTTCACGAATGCGGTCCGAGATATGGCGTTTGGTTTCTCCAATTTCAGTTCTTGATTGATTGTTCACGCTTACAGTGGCTTTCAGACAGCATACATAAAAACAAATTTCGTCTCCCCCCTCCTCTTTTCAAAAAATAGATGGACTAGTCCTGGGCAAACTGCCAATCGCTGCGCGTGACGCAAACGTTATTTTTTTTATAAATAAATAAATATGCCGTTTTCAAAATAAATTTATGCAAACCGACACACCTGATGATGACCGTTTGAGTTATGGTCGAAACGTCGTGAGAATTTTTTATTGTTTTATATATATTTTGTTATTCTGTTGTTTCTCTTCAACGTGACTTTACCGAAAAAACTAAGAATATAACTTTGTAATTGTTAATGTACTAAACTACCTTTCACATTTAAAATATATTTTTAAAAGGATGAGCGTGATAGTGTGTAAAATATCTACGAGGAATTGTGTTTTTTATGCATGCTGCCATAAGTAGTGATGAGGTTGTGTATTCTTTGTTAAAACATACCTGATGGAAGAGTGAATGTTCATATACACTCAATTCAAGATAACAGATGTGAATTACATATGACTTTGCTCTAATGGGCTGATTAGGTCATTGATATCCATTTGATTTTAAAGCAAAAAAATACTTATTGTACTCTTAAATTTGACTCGATTTGCTGTGCAAATCACATCTATCCTTAAGATTATTTATAGCTTCAGCCCATGGGACTGAGGTGAACACATAAAAAATATGAAGCTAATTTACATATTTTAATTCCAGTGTAATATTTTTGTGGATTGTTCGCATACTGTCCACAGCATGGTTTTGTAAGCTTGCGCCACTTCATATTGGACTGCAAGTGGCCATGGCGTCTTGCTGGTTAACTGGTGATGGACCATTACTGTGCCGTGTGTTGTGCAGGAAGCCTACTTCCGCTACATGGAGGAGAACCCCACTGCTGGACTGCTGCCTGTTGACGAGGAAGACCCCATGGACTATGACAGTGATGGGAACCCAATTCCTCCAGAAAAGAACAAAGTCATTGATCCTCTGCCTTCCATTGATCACTCAGAGGTGGTGGACAGACTTTTAAACAAATGTTTTCTTTAAAATATTTCTTTAATACTTGAATCACAAGAATTGTATTTTAATATTTACCAACCACTTTATTTAATAGTTTCTTAAATATATTTAACTTTTTGTCAGTCTGCAATTGTGTTTAAACATGTTTTGTTCAGTATTCAGGGAATTGTGTACACCAGTCGCTGATTTTTTTTTATTTAATCTGCAGATCGAGTACGAACCATTTGATAAGAACTTTTATGTAGAGCATGAAGAAATTTCATCACTTGGTGCATCAGAGGCTCACGAACTGAGGAACAAGCTCAACTTAAAGGTATTATGCTATTTTAGATTTCTTTAAGCATTGAATAAACAGCCAAATGTTTGGACATAAACAGACAAATGTTTGGACATTGTCTTGTTTGGACATTGTGTTGTTTGGACATTGTCTTACCTTTGGTGGTGTTTTTGCCCTGCACAGGTGTCTGGTGCTGCTCCTCCCAAGCCTTGCTCAAGTTTTGGTCACTTTGGCTTTGATGAACAGCTCCTTAATCTGATTCGCAAATCAGAGTTCACTCAACCCACACCTATCCAGTGCCAGGTGGGGATCTTTAGATATGCACAATAATTGATTATGTACTACAGGAAGCTCAGAACTTCACAGTGACATGCCTGTTTGCATATTGTTGGCATAGTGTTACATCGTCAAACCAATGTGCGTGGTAATTTTGTAAATATACTGTATTTTAATTTCAAAATACAGGAAATCTATATTGACATCGTATATCATTCTCATTAGGTGTTTGTGTTACCATAAAGAGATGGAGTACATCTGCAATATAATAATATGTATCTGTAAGTTTCTGCTTGATTTAATTTGAGTGACATGCTTTTTCTGGCATAGGGCATCCCCATAGCGCTGAGCGGCCGAGACATAATCGGTATCGCAAAAACCGGCAGCGGAAAAACAGCCTCGTTCATTTGGCCAATGCTGGTACACATCATGGCACAGAAAGAACTGAAGCCAGGAGACGGTCCCATTGGTCTTATCTGCGTGCCCACCCGGGAGCTCTGTCAGCAGGTAATGTGTGCGACCACGTGTGCGAATATTTTTGTCGTTTATGATCTGCCTCTAAACCTTAGATATTATTACTCTTTGTTTGATAGCCTTTTGCAATATGTACAAAAATGTGTGTATAAACATTAGACTTGTGTGAAGTAACTTTCACGATCAAATAATAGCTGTTGCATGCATACGCGATAAAATATACTGGAGTATAACGTTTACAGTTTATTACAAAAATGCACCAACCAGGAAGTTTTAACTGCTTTTTGCAGTTACTTAAGCATATTGTAGCTGATTTGTATTTCTAGAGACATGTCCGGCATGAGTGATGCTGTATTTTAAAATGAAGCTGCATTCTATAGCAGCTCAATACATTCCATTGATGTGAACTCTGCAGATCAATGTGGAGTGCAAACGGTTCGGAAAGGCATACAACCTGCACTCTGTTGCTGTGTACGGTGGTGGCAGCATGTGGGAGCAGGCAAAGGCGCTGCAGGAGGGTGCTGAGATCGTGGTGTGCACGCCCGTGAGTCCAAACCACAAGACACACAATGCCACTGTGGTATGGAAGATGTGCCCTTTCCATCAAACCCTGCCTCCCTTCCCCAAATGCTTGTTTTCCATTCAGTATATATTTGTCAATGTGGTGACTACTGTCTTTTAATTGGTAAGTGTGCCTAGCCATGTCAATCTAGAAACATTGAAACATTGTTGCGTGATATATTTCTCGTATAAACGTCTATCATTGGTGGCATATTGTAATGCCACTGAGATTCACACCTTTAAAAAAACACTTCTGTAGTATTCCATAATATCGTGCCTTGTTTTTACTGGTTTCTCTGTCCAGCAGTGGTATAAGCAATGTTAGCATTTGTGTAACTAGAATACCTTCCACAGGGCCGTTTGATTGACCATGTCAAAAAGAAGGCGACAAATCTTCAACGGGTTACCTACTTGGTGTTTGATGAAGCCGACCGCATGTTTGACATGGGATTTGGTATGTGCTTTGTCCATCAACATTAGTGTTTGTAGTTTTCTAAACATTATTAAAGAGTAAGCCTTTTATTTGCCATCTTACGTGGAAGTTTATTTTTCTGTGCAAAACGCTTTTAATGTATTTTGCAGAATATCAAGTCCGTTCAATTGCCAACCATGTCCGCCCAGACAGACAAAGTAAGTCGTGGATGTACATTTGCCAATGGTTATGCAGATTGGAAGTACATTTCATTCAGTGAATGAAGTTCTATTTTTATAGTAATTATAATACACTTTAAAGGGATTGACTAGTTTTGGGACCATAGTATACAATGTCTGTAAAAACACACAGTTTATATGTATTTTGTTGTCTACTGTCTATACTCATTAGCATTATATTATCTTAAAGCTATATTTTTGTTACAGCGCGTCTTACTTTCTGAACATGTTTTGAACACCGTTTTGATACCATGTGACATGTCTGCATTTACAGCCTACAAAGAGAAATTGTTCTGCATTGACTCGCGCTTACGGAGTATGTAATTGAGGGACATTTTTGCAACTCTTGATTTGCAGCAATGCTCTACAGTGCCACGTTCAGGATGAGGGTTGAAAAGTTGGCTCGGGATATTTTGATTGACCCCATTCGAGTGGTGCAAGGAGACATCGGAGAGGTGAATGTCTTTTTCAGTCCTGTGCCCTTGGTGTTTTATAAAGATTCACTTCAACTATGAATATAGTTATCTTCACTTTGAATAAAGATCTACTTTTAGGTAATACACTAAAAACATGTTTACAGTTGTACTGAATTACATATTGAACTAAATTATATCGAGCATTTGGTTGGATGAGCTGCAACCTGCATTGCAACTCATTTCTTCAAAATTGCTTTTTGTCTTTAGTTTGTTGTCCTGCCTCCGCACCTGTGATTATCGCGATTGGCTACGTACGATGTGAAAGAAGTTCAAAATACATACCTAGCCACTTCTTAAATGGCTCAAAATACTTCATTTAAAATGGTCCAGATTTAGAAGTGTACTGCCTTTTAATTACCCAACAGGCCAACGAAGATGTTACGCAGAGGGTAGAGATCTTTTCCAATGGAGCAGCAAAGTGGAACTGGCTATGCAGTCATCTGGTGGAGTTCACTTCCAGTGGAAGCGTGCTCATATTTGTCACACGGAAGGACAACTCTGAGGAACTGTCAAACGACTTGGAGCAGGAGGGCTTCCAGGTTGGGCTGCTACACGGAGACATGGACCAGAGTGAGAGAAACAAGGTCATCTCTGACTTCAAGAAGAAGGTCATACCAATCATGGTTGCCACAGATGTTGCTGGTAAGTTATTGTTGCAGATATTAAAATGGTATTTAGAACTGATAAAATTGTGTATTATTTAACCTATGAATCATTGTTAATCCTTTACAAGCCACTGATACAATCTGATCGATCATTGTCACCCATGTCAATGTCAGTTCCCCCACTTCCAATGTAGTTTTACTCATGATCCCAGTTTCCTTCTTTAAATGTTGTTTGGTTTGCCCTCCTTTGGATTTCCCTTATTGCATGCCGAGAAGAGCATGGTCTAACTCTATCTTAGTAATATCAGAAACGTCTCTGCATCAGCTAAACATGCATTGTGTTGAATGTTTACATGCTTTTTATAGTATTGCTGATCATAAGTAATATAAAAAGTGTGCTGTGGTGCAGGATTCTTAATTAAAAGCATTGACCCGTAACTTGATTATATTGAATGTGTTTCTTGTATCGCAGCCCGTGGGTTGGACATTCCTTCAATCAAGACTGTGGTGAATTACGATGTGGCAAGAGATATTGATACACACACGCACAGAGTCGGAAGGACAGGCAGAGCAGGTGAGGGTACACGCGTGCCTTTTTTTGGGCACCTATAATGGATAATATCTAATTCTAAAGCAAAAGTAAAGTAACTGTATTACTAGTCAGGGATGCATCTTTACACGTGGATATGTAATGTGAACAATGTACAGCTTCGTGACGATTCTAAAGATGGTCAGATATTTAATTTAATTCATCCTGGTTTTTTTTTATCCATAGGCGAAAAGGGAACGGCGTTCACACTAATGACGCACAAAGACATGAACTTTGCCGGGGATCTGGTGAGAAACCTGGAAGGTGCCAACCAGCATGTCCACAAGGAGCTAATGGACCTAGCCATGCAAGTATGTATTGTGAACGCATGTCATGTTTTCCATGTAAGAAGTCCGCCACAGCTCATTAGGCCCATCTCTTCGTGTACAGTCTCCACATTTAATTGTACTCTCAAAAATAGTTGTCCCTTTTATCTCATGCACCATTAATAAGAGACAATTTACTTGGTTTTAATATTTTTTAACTTGGTTCTGACAGCACAAGGTATTGTATGAATAAACAACTCGAGGAAAAACGACACTTGCTTTTGAACACTGGCGTGCACCACCTTGTATACCTGTACACTTACCTTAACATGCACTCACATTTACCATACGAAAATACTTAACCAATTTCATGATGGCGAACCAAAAGTGTTTGGTCATGGTAAGTGATCGTGTGTTATTAAGATATGTTTGTGTTATCATTTATTATGCAATTTTATACTTAAAACGTGAAAATTATACCAAGTTGCAATAAATGTAACATTCACATTTGGTGCTCCATAGAATTGTTACTTTTATTTGGGCTTTTTTAATGGAATTGTATGTATTAAGAGGACCCATGAAGATTTGACCCTTTCCTACAGAATCCTTGGTTTAGGAAAACGCGCTTCAAGGGTGGCCGCGGTCGGAAGCTCAACGTGGGTGGAGGTGGCCTGGGCTACAGGGAGAGGCCTGGCCTTGGCTCAGAGTCTTCAGTGAGTGCTATGTTTTAACTTTATTTTTCCGATCAAAGTAGCTCATGCATGGCTGTTGTGCGTGTTCACAATGATCAGTCACTAGTTTTTTTACAACTGAAATAAAATAGACGAACAAAAAATGATCAATAACTCTGCTTTGTAATGTAAATGTATACAGTGGTTTTCCTATTGAGAGGATGGCCCCAATCACGGTGAATTCAAAATGATCACCAATAGCTCAAGATTACCATCAAGGATGAGCACCAATTAATACTATTTTTACTTGTCTGCCAAAATTATTAATCCGCATCAGCCATCGTCAATCCACTAGTTGAAAATGTTTCAAATATATGTAACATACTTTTGTAAAAAAAAAATCTGAAAATATGGTGGTAACCAGTTAAAGAAAATTTAAGTACATTAGCATTGTTTGTTTTTCAGGGTTCAGGTGGCAGCATGAAAAGCATCACAAGTCTGCCACAAAGTTTTGAACCTATAAAGCCACCCACAGGAGCCATGGGTGACAGGCTGTCTTCCATGAGAGAAGCCTTCAAGGTACTGAATGCGTCATCTCAAAATTGCATAGTCTTGGTAAAAGATCCTTCATTACTCTAAGTCAGTGCAAGAAGATAGTATTTAATGGAAAACATTTATAATTTCCGTCAGGGAAAATGTACTTTTATTCTTTATGGATGTTTGGTAAAAAAGAGACATGGAATCTATGTTGTATCTTTTGTATTAATTGCTTTCCTTTTGTCTCCCAGGCTCAATACAAGTCACAGTTTGTGGCAGCGAGTCCTGGGGTGTCTACAAAAGCCCAGAGTAGCAGCAGTGAGAGTGCAAGTGGAGGTGGCAGCTCTGCCAGTGGGGGGTTGAGTGGCTGGAAGAGCGCCGGCAGCCTACAGAGTGTCCCTTCTGGCACTCATCCTGCCGAGGTGTGCGACAAAAGCAACTCACCCCCTAAAAGCTTTGCGGTCCCTGCTGATCCGCCAAGGCGTAAAAAGACTAGATGGGATAAGTAAACTAGAACTTTGGAAGACAAGAACCTCTTACCAGCAGATTGCGTGAGACTGCTTCCAAAACATCGAGAGGTTTTAAGTTTCATTGAGGGATACAATGTTAAAGTGGGTGATTGTATGTGTTCAGGTTATACGTATAATGTATTGTACTAGTGACTTCTTCATCAATCCTGGGTTTAGTGCTGTTGAAGATGCTTAAATATTTGTGTAAAACGTGCAGTCATACAGTTTTGGAACGAATATTGTTTGTGCGCTGAAAAAGCGCATCATCAGAGTGAATTGACTCACTGACAAGTACTTTCAGTATGAATTTATATTTTGAATTAAACTGGTTTCAAGGCTTATTGTACACGTGCACATATCTGTTACTTAATGTACACTTTTTAAATGAACATAATTGTGGTCAATACTGTCTCCATTTGTTTTTGTTGTATTGCTTTCAAGTCCATTCAAATAGAAGTTGTGAAAAAGCGATATTGTCAAACGCCACCTCATTGAACAAGGTTGTGCATATTTAGTCAATTAAATAATCGTTTAGACATGTTGGAATGAATATATCTTACACAAATGTGTACCCGTTTTCCAGGATAAAATTTTGATTGTTAGCTAGTTTAGGTTCATGGTTATCCTTGGTGTTACGTTATTGACAAGGATGTATATTGAGCCACTTTTTTCACTGGCAAAACAGTTTTCTCCAAAGTTTGTTTAAATGTACATCATGAAATAAATGACTGATTTGTCAGTTGGGATAACAGTCCAGTCGTAGTATATGTTAATAGGATATGCCAACATGTCCACAATTTTCTTGTCTGGTCAGTGACCTGAAATGTCTGATAAAAGAATTACAATATTAAGAAATGCAGATTGCAATGACAGACTCGGCCATACAATTGTGATACAAAATATAGTGACGTTTACATTGCGCAAGTTACAACTTGTGCTTTTAAAAAAAAAAGGTGCCTTTTTGTAAAATGATTAATGGCTCCAAGCATAGCTTCTCGATAGTGAAAATCAGTATCTCCATGCTTAATGAATTATCGATGTCGGCACCTCTGAGCCAGTGAATACAATTATACATGGCTCTGAAGTGCTTTCAGGTTGCAACTCATTTGTTTACGTGGCTGTTAACTTTTATCAATGTGACACATTGTATTGATCTTGGAGAGATGTTGGGCTAACCCTGATTGGGATTTCAAATTGCAACTTTCCAATTGTCACTGCCATTGCCAACTGACTGTCAAAACCTCGTCCTTGTCACCTGCTCAAGAACTCCAACAGATAAACTACTCACACTACCAACCTGACCTGATAATACATTTCTATATTGAAAAAAAAAAGCTATGCAGCATCATTTATATATGTATAGACAACTTGATAGTATCGTCAGCCCCCCTCCCCTGTCACATTCTGTAGTTCAATATATAGTTAAACCAAAGGGGTGCGACATCATTTCTAGATTTGAAGCTTTCGTGACTGCAAGGATCCATACTCTTTGGTTCTATTCGGTAAAGTCACGTAGGTAAAAAATAAAACAAAAATCACGACGTTTCGGCCACAACACAAGCGGCCTTCATCAAGTGAAGGGACCAGAGGTGCCTCGACAAACGAATTAGCATAAAAAAATTAGCATTTGATTGGCGGACTTAGCATGATGAAAGGTGTAGCACACGGCAATGCACTTTTAAGCTGTGTGTGAGAGGGATTAAGGTGCCTTGAAGGAATTAGCGTAAAAATTAGCATTTGATTGGCGGACTTATGATGAAAGGTGTAGCACAGTGATCGGCACCGATAGTGCACCCGCCTGTGCTGTAAAAGTTTGGGGTACCACTACTTGAAAAAATACTGTACCAATGAAAATTAGTTTGGTTCGATTTAGAACATCTTTCCAATGGTTGCTTAATTTGAAACCATCTCGGTTGAAATTGTGTGTGTTTGTAGATCTGAATTGCCTCGTGAACAAAATTAAAACATGTACACCTGGCCCTCAAAAGGAATGGATACTCTGACCAATCAAATGCTATTTTTTACGCTAATTCCTTTGTCAAGGCACCTTAATCCCTCTCACACAGCTTAAAGGTGCACTGCCGTGTGCTACACCTTTCATCATGCTAAGTCCACCAATCAAATGCTAATTTTTTATGCTAATTCGTTTGTCGAGGCACCTTAATCCCTCTCACACAGCTTAAAGGTCGTAGTCTGAGCTTGGCTCTGTTTTACTCCAGCGCAGTCTTCGAGACAGGCTGGTCCCTTCACCTGATGAAGGCCGCTTGTGTTGTGGCCGAAACGTCGTGATTTTTGTTTTATTTTTTTTACCTACGTGACTTTACCGAATAGAACCAAAGAGTATGTGACATCATTGTCGACCGATCTGTACTTATGTTTGCGTAACTAAGTAGAAATTACTTTACGCACCTTAAAAAATGGAGAATCTAAACCATAAAAATGAAAAGCAGAAATGTTGAGCCCGTGTGATAATGGATGAAGCATTTGCCTTGGCACTCTCCCTAAATGACTTCCAAGTGAGGCAGTGTGGTGATTCCAAAGTGTAAAGTTTATCAGAACTTTTTGTGGTGAGGCATGGTGGCACAGGGGTTTACAGCAGGAATGGCCTGGGTTTGACTTCACTCAGGAGCCACTGGGTTTCATGTTATCCACCTGTTCTGCATGAATTTCCTCCGGGTTCTCCAGATTCCTACCATAGATAAATATATATGTAACTGGTATCGGCCAAACATTTCGTTGCTGAACGTTTACTTTGAATTGAATTGGGTTTACGCGGGAAAACATTGCATGACGTTCCTGACAAGTTGATTCAGTTAGGCTTTCCCGAATACAGAAGCGGAGTGATTAGTCACGGTGACAAGAGGGTCGAGTTTGTAAATCGATGCTTTCATGTACTCCACGTTGCATTTAAACATAACTAGCAATGCCACCAGCGATTGCCACTCGATGTAGGTCTTGATAACCATCAGTTATATTACAGTACTGATAAAAACGACTTTGCCCTGTACGTGCTCTCCATAGCTCGCAATGTCTGGCATCTCAGGATTTTCAATTGCACTTAACATTGAGGTGAATTTTAAGTGTCCTGCACAGTAACACGTATACATACGCAAGCAATTATTACATTCCAATACTGTTGTAAAACGGGTACACAGACTAACCAAAGGACGAGAGGTGACCTCCAACCACCATTTTTTTTGCACCTTGATCAGGCAGCAGTCCTTGAATACTTTTTGATGTCTGCCAGGCAGAAGGCTACACAAACCCACGTCTGTGTTTTGCTGTGAAATTTACCTTGCCAAGAGATGAACACAAGGACTTTACTTATTGTTCCTGGGACACGACCCCAACAGATGCCTTCACAAAATGTTTCCTGAAGCTGAGCAAAATGCAAGAATGACTAAACGAGCATGCCAATCAGGACCAGAGTACCCTGCAGCTCCGTTTAAAAAAAAAGGTATTGCTGAGCACAGACTCAAAACGCCAAACAGCCAGCAATAGTAGAATTTCTAAAGTTCTTCACCAAAAGCAAATATCGCAAGATTCTATAGGACTTGATTATCAGAGCCATCACAGGATAGCTTCCAAGAAGCCCCTTTGCTCCTGTTTTATCAGGCTGCTCTTGCCACACCAATACTTGTGCATGAGCACAAGGAAAACAAAGGTTCACAATGGCCCTGACATGCATAAAGATCATAGGAAGTCAAGTGACAAAAGCTCTTGAGCATGAACCAAGCAGAGCATGAGGGTCATAAGATGGTACGCGAGTTCTGCACCAAGGTCACCCTGTACTTCAGGACGACTCGTCCACGCTAAACGATGAGACCCCCCCCCCCCCCCCCACTGCTGAGCTCGCCTAGATTGCGCAGGGGGATGAGCCTGCAAGGTGCTCGGACTTTAAAACTCAGACAAGATAGGCCTGTTTCACTAGAGTTGTTTTGGAAAGTTACCATTCGGTGAACTGGAAGTGCTCTAAGGTAATTAGACCTCGGAGGATTTACTTGAGAGCATTGTGCTGCAGCCTGCTGACAGCAATTCTCATTTTTCTGGTGAGAGCTCCAAGCAGGTTCATCATGGGAAAGGCAGTTTTTTTTTGCACTCAAATAACTTCCTCTCCATGTCACCACCACCCTCGTCGCTCCCATCTTGGAATAATGCCAAGCAGACTTTACTTGCAGTATTTGTGTCTACCCTGGTGCACATACTCGAGACAGCCAGAACCACCCTGTGCTGCGGTGATGTGTTAAAAGTAGTGGTATAACAATGAAAAATAACAATTCACATTCATCAACAGCACTGCCTCAAAGGAAAATATATAAGACGTTTATGGGCAACGGGTCATGCGCTATGAATTGAAGTGCCAAATTCTCATTTGAGACGGCTTGGCTATACAAAAATCTCACTGGACTGCAGCAGTCAATACCATAATATAGATCATTTGATGCGTGCATCTAACTATGCACTTCAACATTTCTATTTTGAAAATACTGAGATTTGTCTTTTAGTGAAAGAATATCAGTTATGGTTGGCATGAGTGGCGGTAGCAGGGATAAATCTATAAAATTCCAATTATTAATAGGCATCTGTGGATGAAGCCACAATAAAGACACTTCCAACGGGAGGATGCATCTTGTCCATAATTCGGTGAAAATACACCGCACGGTGCTTCATGTAACTTCTGTAGCTGCAAAATTAAGTGTGGTGGAAACTCATTTTCCACTGTGCATCAAGAACACTGGAATGGAATTTAATTTTTCCATTGCGGGGAAAAAAACCCCACGATTAGGCAGCTGTCAAGATGCCTAAATGACATTGCAAGAAAATGGAGATGCAGTGACTAATGTTGATCATGATGGATGAAGGGTGTAGATTAAGTGATTACCATTGGAAACAATAACTGGCTGCAGATTAAAACGATCATTATCAGTCACCTATAATAATTATCTTGACCTGTATTCGAGCCATGAATGTTTTAATTATTGACATACAAAATTACAAGCATAAACAGGACCCCTAAAAGTCAAGCAAACATTTATTAATGCGTGCATCATTACAGCAAACTCAAATGTAATAGAACACGATTAACCACATACTGAATGTACTAAACGAAATGTCAAGCAGTTTAATACATCAGTTTTTACATCTGACGTTTAACAAAATATTCAATGTACCAAAAACAATGAAATTTAAACATTTGTAAATAACTAATGCTTGGTATCAAATATCTGACAACTTCAAATCAACAAGTATGTTTTAACTTTACAGACGGGGAAAAATATTTAAAGTCTATGGCAACTACTTTATATATAATCAAGCAGGCAAGGACCTCACACTATATCAATGGCTGACAAACTCACTAAGGCTATGAGGTACCAGAATATGAAAGGTTATATACATCACTGAATCAAGGTAAGCAACCAACGTGGAACCGTAGAAATCTGGGCTTTAATGGCCTGTGTGTTATAAAGCACCCAGTTTACATAATCTTGAAGGAATTGTGGGTAATGTGTAGACCAAGCTAAAAAAGACAACATCCAACCCACAACAGCTATAATTAGCCAGTAACTCTAGAGGGAGGGGGGAGCTTGTGATGTCACTGCGGTGCTGCTGCCATTGCAGCAGCTGGTGGAGTAGCCACATCCTCACTTGGAGCTGGATTTCCTTGCTCTACTGAAAACAAAAAGAATTACCTGTAATGTCTTCATCATATTTTGCGCAACAATCCACACGTCACAAACCCGTAGACCAACATGACAGACTACACCGCATCATCAGAACTATAAACTTATTACAAACATGGTATAAATATTTGTATTAAAATAGAGGGATGTATGCCATGTGGGGTGAGGGCAAACTGTTGTGGTTCCACCAATGGTAGCTGGAGTACCAGCAGCTCCTGGCTGACGGGCAAATATTCCACATGGAGCAGTTCAAGTAAGCGGAGATCTAGTAATAGGTTTTACCCTTTTAACTGGCACAAAAAACTGACACCTTTATTCAAGGCATCATGTTTGCAATAACCACAACACAAGCAGTCAAAATGCAAACAAAGAGACAACTCTGATAATAATATGAACTGTCCTTGAATTTGATTGGTCCACACCCGAGACGGCTTTTCTTAGAGCCTAGTCTCCACTGGTGTTGGACCAGAAGATGCCAAAAGGCCTTTTGGCATCTTCAGACTAGGCTCTAAGAAAAGCCGTCTCGGGTGTGGACCAATCAAATTCAAGGACAGTGCATATTATTATCAGAGTTGTCTCTTTGTTTGCATTTTGACTGCTTGTGTTGTGGTTATTGCAAACATGATGCCTTGAATATAGGTGTCAATTTTTGTGCCAGTTAAAAGGGTAAAACCTATTACTATATCTTGTTACTGGCAAAGGAGGTATCATAATGTAAGCGGAGATCACCAACATCATGATAAATATCATGACAATTAGCAACCGAGTGCAATTATACATAAATTAATGAGATGGATCATAATATGAACTGTAACAGTTTATCCCCGGTATAAACCAAAACATATCTACACCAGGGCATTATTGATTATCCCATTCGAACAAAATATTTGGCCAGCTCATGGCTGGATTGAATTGAACCATAGCCAAAATAGACACAAGTAATGTGCAAACATACACATATACAGTGAGGGGAAAAAAGTATTTGATCCCCTGCTGATTTTGAACGTTTGCCCACTGACAAAGAAATGATCAGTCTATAATATTAATGGTAGGTTTATTTGAACAGTGAGACAGAATAACAAGAAAATCCAGAAAAACGCATGTCAAAAATGTTATAAATTTCTTTGAATTTTAATGAGGGAAATAAGTATTTGACCCCCTCTCAATCAGAAAGATTTCTGGCTCCCAGGTGTCTTTATATACAGGTAACGAGCTGAGATTAGGAGCACTCTAATCTAAGCTTGTTACCTGTATAAGACACCTGTCCACAGAAGCAATCAATCAAGATTCCAAACTTTCCACCATGGTCAAGACCAAAGAGCTCTCCAAGGGTGTCAGGGACAAGATTGTAGACCTACACAAGGCTGGAATGGGCTACAAGACCATTGCCAAGCAGCTTGGTGAGAAGGTGACAACAGTTGGTGCGATTATTCGCAAACGGAACAAACACAAAAGAACTGTCAATCTCCCTCGGCCTGGGGCTCCATGCAAGATCTCACCTCGTCGAGTTGCAATGATCATGAGAACGGTGAGAAATCAGCCCAGAACTACACGGGAGGATCTTGTCAATGATCTCAAGGCAGCTGGGACCATAGTCACCAAGAAAACAATTGGTAACACATTACGCCGTGAAGGACTGAAATCCTGCAGTGCCCGCAAGGTCCCCCTGCTCAAGAAAGCACATATACATGCCCGTCTGAAGTTTGCCAATGAACATCTGAATGATTCAGAGGACACCTGGGTGAAAGTGTTGTGGTCAGATGAGACCAAAATGGAGCTCTTTGGCATGAACTCAACTCGCCGTGTTTGGAGGAGGAATGCTGCCTATGACCCCAAGAACACCATCCCCACCGTCAAACATGGAGGTGGAAACATTATGCTTTGGGGGTGTTTTTCTGCTAAGGGGACAGGACAACTTCACCGCATCAAAGGGACGATGGACGGGGCCATGTATCGTCAAATCTTGGGTGAGAACCTCCTTCCCTCAGCCAGGGCATTGAAAATGGGTCGTGGATGGGTATTCCAGCATGACAATGACCCAAAACACACGGCCAAGGCAACAAAGGATTGGCTCAAGAAGAAGCACATTAAGGTCCTGAAGTGGCCTAGCCAGTCTCCAAACCTTAATCCCATAGAAAATTTGTGGAGGGAGCTGAAAGTTCGAGTTGCCAAATGTCAGCCTCGAAACCTTAATGACTTGGAGAAGATCTGCAAAGAGGAGTGGGACAAAATCCCTCCTGAGATGTGTGCAAACCTGGTGGCCAACTACAAGAAACGTCTGACCTCTGATTGCCAACAAGGGTTTTGCCACCAAGTACTAAGTCATGTTTTGCAGAGGGGTCAAATACTTATTTCCCTCATTAAAATGCAAATCAATTTATAACATTTTTGACATGCGTTTTTCTGGATTTTTTTGTTGTTATTCTGTCTCTCACTGTTCAAATAAACCTACCATTAAAATTATAGACTGATCATTTCTTTGTCAGTGGGCAAACGTACAAAATCAACAGATCAAATACTTTTTTTCCCTCACTGTACACACTCGTACACAAAAGGCATATCCATCTATATATTTATACATATCACACATACCCACAAACTCACACTAAAGCACATACGCATGCGCTCAAGAACAAAAAGATTCACGACCATCACTCTCCGCGACAAGCCTTGGTACCTGCAGTGACGACAACTGACCAATGTAGGTGTGTACCTGGTGCTGGGCTGCTCTCCGTAGGGGTGCCATCTTGAGCAGAGGGGCCCATGGCTGGATTCTGGGTCCTGGTGGACACAGCTCCATTGGACGGTGATCCTGCACCACTGGAGCTGGCTGCTCCTGCCGATGACTGCTGCTCTCCTGCAGCAGCTGTGAATGAAAGTGGCGCGATCAGTTCTGTCTGCGCCAAAGCCTCACAGGGAACCTTTCTTTAAACTTGTAGGTCCAGAGACTTGCACAATACAGTCACGAATACAATTTAAAAAAACCACTACAGCACAATATTTTGAAAGTAATGGCAATACTCGCATTCTACCCAACCACACGCCATATGCTCATTGAATGTGTACCCATTTATAATGCGAGATGGACAAGGTGGGGCACGATTTAGTAAACTTGCCTATTGTTTCAACTGTCGTGCCGGGAGGTTGAATCAATGACCACTGGATTGTAAGTCCAGTGTGATAACCATTACAAGATGGGCAGCATTCGCATGGATGTTTGGCAACTCAATGCACGCAAGTAGAACATAGCCGATAAATATTTACCTTGTGCAGGTGTTGACGACTGGGCTATTGCAGACTGTGGCAGATTTTGCTGCTGAGCTCCTGAAGGCTGCGGCTGGCCATCAAGGACCCCAGTCCCACTCGGTGCCGCTGGCACGGGTCCGGCAGCGTTGGCAGGCTGCACGGTCGGGCTCGGCTGTGCACTGGACGTGCTGGGAGGGTTGCTCAGTGAAGGCTGCTGCACGTGGGGCGGGTGGATGGGTTGCGGTGGGGCGGCGGCTACAGGGCCTGGAGGAGGGAGGTGGTGCTGATGCTGCATCTGCTGGAAGTGATGCTGCCGGGCCCTCATCTCCGCATACTTGAGCTGCTCCATGTGGAAGGCCTGCCTGTCGGCCAGGAGCTGCTGCCGCTGGTACTCCAGCTGCCATCGGTGGAATAACGTGTTTTTAGCAGATTCTCGTCAACAGAGGTGTTACGGATACTCGTGCAGATCGCGTCGATTCGAACACCTTTTGTTCACATTTGTCAATCAAGAGGCTAATAATGTGTGTAGCCATACACTTTAATTACTTGGTGAACTTCTGTCAACTGCAGACAACTATCCTAATATCCCAGTTGACTTAAAATGTTTTTTCAAGTTAAGTTTATTTTGTTTAACCAGCTGAGAATTGACGAGTGATCTGGCTCACCAAAAGGATAAATACAAAGTACAACAAAGAAGCAAACAGAACAGAGCAAAAATAATCGAATAGAAATTAAAAGCAAAAACAGTAAAATACGAATTTAAATCTGCACAAAAATGTACATCAAAATGTAGTCAAATACATACCCAGTAACGAACACAACAAATTCTAGAATAAAATGGAATTAGGGTGATTCTTGCACAAGTATGTAAACAGACAAAGATGTTTGTCAAATACAATTGCAAGTAAAGTTTTTTAGATTTGACAGCATGGGTATCAAATAATGATTTAGATACTAGAGTTAACCAAGGCCATTTTTGAGGTAATGGATTTCCAGGTGTGTGAGGCATTAACAGAGAATTAATAATAACCATGTGATTTCTTTGTTCTAGGTACAATGCACTATAGATTGAGGGTTTCGTTCCTGTATAAACATACTTTAAAGAGACCAAGTTATATGTATGCATTAAAGCTGCACTTGGCCCATTGCGTCTTCCTCTCGAGTTGAAAGTGCGTGATAACCGGTCATCAAGTTCAGATTACAGTGATGAGTGAAATAGTTTGTAAGAAAGTGCAAGATGGATTGAAAGATAGGATTTTGCACATCCAAAGCAGATTTAGAAGGTTAATTTGTATATGTCAGCAGTCTAGGAGAGGCATAAGCGTAATAGATATCAAATACTTCTGTGTAGATCATAAACATAAATTTAAAAAATACTATTGAACTGCTTTTTATGTATTTCATAGACTAGAGATTCCTCCTACAAAATTTACAGGGCAATTCGAAATCAATGTGCTTAAAATGTTAATGTTGTAGTAAGGGAGTTCCAATGGTGTTTCAAGCAGACCAAAAAAAGATAGCTTGTGTTTTACTCACCGCTTCTCTCTCGCGATCCATAATGCTTTCAAGCTCTTCAAAGTGCCTCAGCTTGATTTCAAGTTTCTTCATCTGCGTCTCCACCAGCAGAGCCACCAGCGACTTTATCTTCCGCTCTTCCACAGCCGCTAGATGCTGCAAATAAACAAACATGCATGAGCACCGAGCTGAGAGGCGCGGACAGCATGGAGGTATACGTTTATGCCAATAGAATCATAGAAGTGTAAACAATTAAACCGTGCCTTGGCTTTAACAGCAGCCGATGCGAGGGCAGAAGCAGCAGCAGTGGCAAGGTTTCCTTCCCCGATATCGCGCTCCATTTTCTTCTTTTCTCCATTCTCAGCTTTCTCCTTCTCAATGGCAGTCTCATTCTCTTTCTCTTCTGCATCCTTTTCACTTTCTGTGGAGCAATTGCATGAGTAGTGACACTTGTCCCGCGACAGGTATAGGGACAAAACTGGCCAATCTGGAAAAACCCCAGAACTACCGCGCTCTCTCTCTCTCACCTTTGCTCTTGTCCTCCTTGCTCTGGTTTTCCCACTCCATGACACCATCCTCCGCTTTCTTCTCCCCCTCCGCTGCCTTTTCCTTAGGACCTTCCTCAGCGCCCTCTGCTGCCTTTTCCTCCTGTACAGGAGATGACATTCAAAAAGGTGACATTTATCCAGCATTTTAAACACTTAAATGTTTTTGTCAGTGGGTATAATGATAACGTAATTTGGTGCACTCCCAGCCCGCTTAAACCCAAAGGGATGTGGTAATACGGATTATTTTACAATTTTAAATTAACCTTACATATACTCAGCTTTTGACAATTTGCAATAATATTAACTAAAAATATGGAAAGTTCAGAAGTAAAAAAATCATGAAATATGCATGCTGCTCAATTAAACCATAAACTTCTCGGGACCAGTTCACTTTCTTTTTAACTTAAAACTTTCGTGACTACAGGAATTCATATTCTTTGTTTGTTTTCAGTAAAGTCACATAGATAGAAAATAAAAATTCAAAATAAAAACAAAAAACCCACGACTATCGACGTGACTTTACTGAAAGAACCAAAGATTACAGTTCACTTTCTGTTTAAAGTTACAATAAATTTTGACCTATAAAGTGCTGCAATTATAGCATTTACGTTTAACACTCTAATATGAACTGAAAGGCCAATTCTATAGCTATCAGAACGAAATAAGGTCAATAATAAAATGCTATATTTTATGTCACTTTAACTTGGTGTCAAACATTCTACACCTTGTCTCACATTACAACGCTGGATTGCACCACCAACCAGCATGATTAAAAGATGAGTTTAATCGACATCCCAATCTCACCTTATCATCTTTCTTTTCATCACTTATCTGGCTGTCAGCTTTAGGCTCCTCGGTGGGCTCCTCTGCACGCACGCAACGGGGAATAATAAGTCTCTGACCTTCACACACGACAACCAAATGTCTATCTCATACCATGAGGACTACAAAACAGAGAGGTAAAAAAACAAAGACATCCTTTACAAATGCCATACGATCAATCGTGTGAAATGCATAAGTTAAAGTTAAAAACCCCGTTTGGCTTCCTCCAGCACGCACGCAGTAACACGCGTACCAATCTTCTCCTGCTGCTCGGGTGCCGTGCCCGCTATGCCACTGCTCTCCAACCCGAACGAGGGGTCGGCCTTGCCGGACGACTTGGCTGCCTCCTCCACTTTCTTCACGTGCGTCTCCACCAGGGCCGAGGGCACCTCTTCCTTCATCTTCTGGAACTCATCTGCAACGCACCCAATCAAGTGCACCGGGTAAGCCAAGCGTTCCCCTTCGTGCACACTTGCCGTGACGCTCACGCTGGGCAATCAAGTGACATAAGCGCCACAGTAAGTACATTTATAAACGCCAAACTCTTATAAACCTAGGTTATCACGAGTGCGCAATATTCATATTGAAAGCACTATTAAACAGTTCTCTCTTGTACTTTCTACTGAACTCATTAAATGTCTGGAAAGAGTCTCGAACACGGAGCGGCAGTGAGTTCCAGGCCATTGGACCATTGACCGCAAAGCTGCGTGGTCCAAATCTCAATTCATCCAGCATCTCAGCAGCGCAATAAGTGTTTTTCCAGGAATTATCCCATGGGGGGGGGGGGGGGGAAATACTTAAAAGGAGATGGCATTTCCACAGCATTAATGTAATTACTTGTTTTGGCTAGTGATATAACAAAATGTAAAAAAATAGACACATCCAAACATTTAACACAACAGTTTCTATTTAAATATTTTTAATAACCGTTTTTGCACAAACTTAGCTATGTCCCACGCTCCAGTAGACTATAAAAAATGTGCCCGTTGACTTGATCTTCCACAACACTTCTCACCCCAGTAGTTCTACCTTTCCATATACAACAGCCTTCTACACTGCGGCACGGATAAACCTGTACAGAAATACCTCTGATATCAACAACAAAAAAGCTGTATTTATATTTTCCAAGTTTCTGTCCAAATGCCAAACATTTAAGTCCCCCCCCCCCTTCTGTGACCCAGCCTTCCCAGCAGAACCAACTTACCCAGGGCGGCCTTCGCTGCGGCGGTGGCGACGCGTGGGTCCACGACGGACGCGAGGAACGCCACGGTGCTCATGACGGGGTTGCCAACCTGGCTGAACGGGACGGGCTGGTAAGCGAGTGGTCCTAATGAGCTCAGAGAGCCCACACCCTCCTCCAGGTAGGGGTCCTCGATGGGCAGCCGCAGGAAGTGCAGAATGCACTCGTCCTGCGTGCGGCTGCCCACGTGCTCCGACACTTTGTTCCAGTCATCCTTGAACATTTCCAGGCCCTGCCGCAGAAACACGCCGAAAAATGCCAATGATTAAAGGCCCCAAAGCAAATGCAGCTCCAATATGGCTTTATGTTATTGTAAAAAGGACGAGCAAATGAGGCATTCTTTATGCAGTTATACATTTTAAGTACAACACAACTTTTGGACACATTTTACTCACTTCAAGTAACAATAGAGTTTCCTGGTCAGTCCAGTCTCTGGCACCAGAACCAGCTATCTTTGACTGCCAAAAATGTAAACACAAAACACAACAGTTAGAAACAATTGAAACTGTTCAAATTAACTGTACCTTACAAGCGTACAAGTATTTGTTTTAGGCTAAGTTAGCAGTCGTACATTTACAACATTTTCTTATTATCCAATATTGTAGCAATATCTTCTAGTTCCCTGGTTAAATAGGTAGCCCAGAATCAGTTTCACAATACCCTGGTGGCAGCTGTAAAACAGCCAACCCTTGTGCTTGTTACCTTAGCAGATGTGCCATCCTTTTTGGCATACATGTCTGACCGCAGTCCAAAGTTTTGGAGTTCTCCCGTCTTCTCCTTCGCTTTGTCCGAGTTGTTTGGGGTGGGTTGCACGGACGCCACCTAACAACCCACCAGACACTTATACCAGTGAGTATAGCACCATCTGAAGTATTCAAGTAGAGTAAGTTAAGAAATGCTACCCTCGAGAGAGACAGGTGAGCATATGTTTTAAGTGAACTCTGTTCGAATCCCAATAGATATTATTACACAATTCAGACATTAAAATTTCCAATAATGCATTCCAATGATGGATTTACTATAAAGCTTAGTATCATTATGACAATAAGCTGTAAAAATGAGAAGCAATGCTTCATGTGAAACCACAAAGCAGTCATTCATCCACTGCCTTTGCAAAGGAATGGATGGAATTTAAATTTGTAAAAATTACATTTTTAAAGTAGAACAGAATGAACATGTGTAATTAGAAGCACGTTGTTTCACCATTTGGAGCTGAAAAATGGGGGCAACAGCAATTTATTAATCCACTACTGGATGACGGCCTCCCACCACCATGTCGGTCATGGGGGCTGTTTTAAAATACTTCACCACGCTGGTCAGTGAGGTGGGGGGAGGGGACAGGACCGGTTCAGATACCACTCGCCACTTGATATACTGGCTGTGGCTGGGAATCGAACTCAGGTAGCAGTGTGTGTGGCGTTTCGCTCTACTCCCTACACAGTGCGTACCGGAGTGGTTTTTGGTTGGAGGGGCACCAGGCCGGAGGGGGTGTCCACCAGCACGTGGAAGTGAGAAGTCGGTGGCGGTCCCATGGCTGCTGGTCGGCTATCAGTATCCACCTGGTAGTTTATGAGGCCCCATTGCTCGAGGAATGCATGGGCTCTGCAATTTAAACCCCACAAAATAAGAATATACATTCAACATTAAACCATACGGGAACCTTTACGTGATTCTACAAAGGTTATTTAAATTTCTAACTAATGAGCATAATTTAGGTTGAAAATCGATATGTGATCACTTGTGATACTCACCTCATGATAGCACACACATCCCCAGCAAGGTTGCGACGGCAGGCGGTGCTGGTCAAGTACTCTTGGGGATTCAGCCGATACGTGTCGATCATGAAGTTACGGTATGCCAGGTACCTGTCCACACACCACAAGTAAAGTCATTCAATAAGGGACCTCCACTTGACTCGCTCGTACATATCAAAGTTTCATCCAATGAATGTAAAAAATAAATAAGCACATTTACATCATGCGTAAAACAATTTGTGAATTGCCGCTTACACTTCTGGGGTTTTGGACTTGTTCTTCCCATTGAAGAACTCGGGTAGGGCACGTCGTTCGATAGCATGAATGCTGAAGGAACATGAAAAACAGAGCCATGTAATGACATACATTTGCAATCAACATCTGTACTAGGGGGCATATAAATGGCACGTAATGGGCAAGCTACATTTGTGCAACTGCGTTTCATGCCCCACATTATAAGGTTTGCGTCGCAGTTTCGCTGGATCACCTGTTGTAGTCGAACCAGGCAGCGTAGCTGGGCACGACGATGTGGTGCATCTGGTCAGTTACGTTGTCCTCCAACTGGTCGGGGTTCTTTGCCTGATCAGGCTTGGGTCCCACAACAGTCTCGCCCTCCTTCACACAACCATTACAGCCACAACATCAGAAATAGTTTTATAAATGTTTAGATTGTTGATACAGAGATTAGACAAATATTACACATTGTAATGAAAATGGCCCTGGCTATTTACAAATTAACCATTGCGAAAGTATAGTTAAATTAAAGTGTACACCTTACCTTGGTTATAGACTCCACTGTTTTATCAGTCTGCTCTTCTGCAAACAAAAACAAGAAATACATGTAGCCAATTACGGTTCACAAAAGGGAAATTAATGCTATTTGTGCACGTAATAAATACCAGAAAGCCATTTCTTCACTTAAAGCAGGATATGTTGCTCTCTAAACATGCTCTTCAGAGTGATCTCTGACCAGTCTTGGGAGGCTTGTTCTCTTCCACACTTGGTGCCTGCGACGAGTTGTCTCCATCACGACTGGAGTCCTCTTGGTCTTCCTCCCGCTGACCCCTCTTCTTACCTGACGGAGTAGCCGGCCTATACGACAGCGAAAAAAAACGCAAAACAAGCAAAGCAACATCAAACAAGAAAAATCATGAATTGCATAGATTATTTAATGCTCTAAAACATGCATTTATCCTCAGAATCCTTTAACGAGCAATAAGAACATTATCTTCCACGCTGCACAAGATGCCGTCGCATGTAATGACATGAACTGGAAGGGAGGCGTGGCCAATGCCGTGTGATGTCATTGCCTTGGCTGAAGAGGATGAACCATTTTGCACTGTTCTTTAATTGCAAAGTTTTGGGCAACCCTGTGATCTATTCGCCTTTTTCTAAAGGCTAAGTCCTTAGCAGCAATACAACTGTATTATATTTATATCAGATCTTTACAAGATTATTGTGAGCATGATACGGGGTAGATAGATAGATACAGCTGATACATGAAGAGCTTTCAATCCATATTGGAAAGCTTCAATTATTCCGATTTTATCAGCAGAAATGTATGCAACTTTAAAATATTGCACAGCACCAAGAATATGAAAGATGAAAAGCATGCTGGTTAGACACAAACCCTTTCTTGATGTTCTTTTTCTTGGTGTCTACGGGTGGTGGAGATGGCGAGCGTTTGCGCTTTTTCATGCTGCTGCCTCTTCTCTCCCTCCGGTCCGACTCGGGGCTGTTGGCCTGAGAGGCAAACACAAGACAACCGTTATTCTCTATTGAATTAATCCAAAGGGGAAAAATAGTCCTAAAAATATTATTAAATATTATGCACGTTTTAACAATATCACCATAAAAGATGCACAATTTTAGATGTATTGGTAGGTTTCTTCTTATAATACTATGTTATTGTCATCTAGGCCTCACCTCATCACCAAGAGTCTTGGCAGAAATTTTTTTCCTGGTACTGACGGTATTCCGAGAGTCATCCACTTCGTAATCCTCCTCATTCATCCACTCATTAAACGTGTCTGTGTCCAAGATCCATTTGACGTGCACCTGGAAGTTAGCAACACAAAGCAGCGTTAGTAACCATCTCAAAGAAAACGTTAAAAAAATAATGTATTTAGGAACCATTGCACCTAACAGAGAACATTTTCCCACCTTCCAGGGTCCATTCCGTGGGGGCATGTCCTCTACTTCAGCGTCAACCTCATTAGCCATCAGCCATGTGTCATAGCTGTGAAAAAAATATACATGTGCAGGTTAGCTCTCGATTTTTGGACGTTCAGTTTACAAAATTTCACGTGAACACAACTGACAAACTATGGACATGTTTCGATTAACCAAATCGAATTTCCGGGTTCACGAAATTTCACATGGCACCGCACCATGACATCAAACAAGAACCACCTAGGAGGCAACGTCATCTATCCGCAACAGCGTCACGGTATCCCGACATGCAGATCTTTTTGTGAGTTCCCTGAAAAGGTGACTTTTGTTTTAAGTAAATTATTATTCAATAGTTTTAATATTTGTTCTTTATTATTTTGTATTGTGAAAAGTGATGCGTGTATATTTTTAGGTTAGGAGGTGGAATGACTGTCCGAAACGCTTCCATAATGTTTTGCCCTTCAACTAATGGAAAAAGCCATTCCGATTTACAAAATATGTGTACTTAAAGTGCAGAGATATTTAATTTTACATTGGACTAAAACAAATAATTTATTTATATCGACTACTTGATACATTTCTGCTTCCATTTTAAGGAATATTTTGCGTTTGGGAGGAAACCATTGCAGATGGATTAAAAGATCCGCATACTGTACTGCCATCCTGTGGCCTGGTATTCCCGCAGGTTTGAAAATTTCACAAATCAATATGATCTACCCTGTACTTCATCCAGAGCAATGGTAGGTGGATGAAACGCATGCATTACCATGCTTTATGTTTCAGCATTTCAGCAAAGTCATGCACTCTTAACATTTTAATGAATGGGTATGAAACTGCAAGCACCTGTGTACAAATGTAAAAACAGTCTGAATTACCTGTCAGGATAGAAGCCCCAGTGCAGGAGCATTTGGCGATCCTTTTTCATTACAGGCCGCACCCACTCATCTGCAAGATCAAGGCATTCAAATGATCATAATGCTTTTGATAAGATGTACCAGATATTTCCCACCGTGAAGGGAATAACATGCACAAGTGAAACTATGAAAATAAACATGCTTTTGCAAATTCCATAGTTGTATACCTTCATCGTGGTTAGCTGGAAGAGGAAAGACCACGTGAGAAGCATTTGATTTGTCATCCGTTAGCGATCCCTGTGGCAAGGTACATATTGACACCCGACTTTAGCAACTTACTCAAACAAAAGTTGTGCATCATCTATCATCTACAAAAAACTACAATTTACTTTTTAAATATTTCGACGATAAAAAGTCAACATCTAAATGAATTTTAAGGATGATATATACATCAAACATACCTGATGTCGTTTCACTATATCCTTGAGTTTGCTTGCCAACTTGTGATCAATATCAGGATGAAGGTAGATATTTGGCCTAGACAAGCAATTATTCTGTAAGGGATGAACAAAAACATATCAACCACAAATGAGAAACAGATATGATAAGTGTTCAAACTTTGTTGTGAAAACAGTTGGGTAAAAAACACAAACCTGTACAAGCAGTTTTTCGATGGTCATGAACATCTCTACATTGCGGTCCATGCGAGATGGATTTTGGAAATCAAACCGCCTCCTACACAAAAACGTAAACAAATTTGCAAATTAATGTACCACGAGACCAAACTTTCATAACTTAAGCAATTCCTTATCAAATGTATCCAGACCAACCCAACCATGAGGTCCCTTACTGTAATTTGCAAATATATCAATTGTACTTACCATCCCTGGTCACTTTTAAATTTGTACACAGCGGCCAAGATTTGACACAGAGACCCTCCAGCTTTGAAATCCATGAAACACTTCATCTGCAAGAAAAAGCACAAACCAATATCTTCAAAACTACTCAAAATGTAAAGTTTGTAAATAGCGGTGGTGTTACGGTCAGCATACTGCTGTGACCGGAGTTTGATCCTAGCCGAGCTAACATTATTGGCAAACTGATATCTGAATTAGTCTTGGGCTCCCTTTTTATCAACCTACACTGACCCAACATGGTGAAGTATGGTCAATAGCCCCCATGACCACTGTGGCATGGGAAGGCCTTCATCTATCTATTGCAGTAAGATAATGTAATAGGTATCTTATTCATACTACTGCACATTAAACTGCACATTTCACTTGTGAGACAGTAATAGACGCGTTTGATGGAGTTCATGCATGAACATTGTAATGTCTATGCTTAATTTATATTTGACTGTGACTCTGCCAAAGATTCTGGCCAAACTACTTCGTAAGTGGCATCCTTGTATCTTGATAGTAATAGCTTGTTTATTTGTATTTCTCAATAAGTATTAAAGGGCACGGTAAATGCAAGACTCACCGGAATCCGAGTGAGAGGGGGATTGCTGACATGCTTTCCCATAACTTCCTCTTGGAACTGCAGTAGCTGAATCACCAGGCCAGCGAGAGATTTGTTGGTGGGAGGCTCTGCCTGGATGTACTGCACACAGAACCACACACCACCAATCCAGTACAATGTTGTCCCCAAGTGACTGTACAATACCAGTCCCAGAAATCATACAAGTAAAATAAAGTTTGCGTGCATAAACGGACAGTGCAAATCTGGCAATAATTCGGTGATCACATTTAATGGTTGAGCTTCACCAGTCTTTCCCTGAAACAGTTTTTGGATGTTTACATGTCACTTTAGAATCTAATTAGATATAAATAATACTTCCAATATTAATTCCTAAAGCATCTGTATGAAGGTGGTCTCAAAAAGCTCAAACAATATTTGGGAAAATTGATGAGAAGATATCGGAAGACACTTACCCAGCTTGAACTCAAACATGTAACTCCAAACCGTTATGTATAAGGCAAATTAGATAAACTATTTAAAGTCACAGTAAAGTAAGGTTAAAATTAAGCGGCCTGTCATGTGTTTACAAATATATCACTGCCCTGTATATGATATATTACCGCCCTGCGCAATATATACAGTACATGATAAACAGTTTTAAACAGGAATTAAAACACTGGAATATACATTGTTAATACTGCATATACAGAGTAGTGTGTAAGTGAAAGTGTCCACATACTAACAGACGTGGGGACATTTTACGTTCCTATGAATGTTTATCCATAGCACAGCCGATGTTGACGTCATCTTTACCAACTGGTGATTATATTATTATACTCAACCCAGAGATGATTAAAGGGCCGTGTCGACCTCAACTTAGATTTATATAAATGTCCAACAGCAGAAAAGATGTTCTCGTCGCTTAACTTCCACACACATTCGCTTGTTATATTGCAAAACTGCCACAACGCATAAACACCACGACTGCACAATGAAGAGATACTGCATATTTACAACAGATCAATTATTGATAATAATAAAAAACAACGAAATTAAAACAATACATCGAATTAAGCGCGAGCATCCACCGCCGCTATTGTTCCCGACGGACGCAACTTTGACGCAACAGAGACAAAATAACGCGAGCAGAACGTCAAAAACAAAGTTGACCCAACAACAAAATTAACCAAAGCAAATCCTAAAAACACAGCCACAAACGACGAACAAAAGCGGGAACGCGCGACAGCCCGACCAGGCAGACCACAACCACACGACCCCGCGCGCCTTTTCCACCCCCCACAAACACCAGAACCGAGGAGCCCTCAAAGCCGCCGCCTCTCCCCATCCCCACAACGCATCCCGCACGCCGTCACCAAACCCTCTCGCCGTTCGCCTCAAACTCCCCGCCGCACGACTTAAAACGCAACACCGAGCGCGTCAACGACGACCGTGCCAACTAAATGAAACGCCACCCGTCGCGATAGAGAACAATGGGCGGCCTGGTGCAGGCTTCGCTCAGCACCACACTCCCAGCGGCTTGTCGGCGACTGTGTGTGGGGACATCCCCGGCGATCGGATTCATCCACGTCCCGTACCCGTCTCTCGTCCTACACCGCCGCCGCCTCCTCCTCTCTACCCCGCGTCTCACCTTCTTGTAGTGCTTGCCCAGCCACTGTCGCACGTTGTCGAACTGCGCCACGGTGTCCGTCGACTCGAGGAACTTCACGTTGGGACCGCCGTCCTTCTTGCGCGCCGCCATGTTGTCCGCGCGCCTCGCCGCGCCGAGGCCCCGCATAGCTGCCCGCGGCGCTGCCCGCCGCGCCGCCTGCTGCCTGCTGCCCCTAATTATTATTTATTATTACTACTACTACTAGCACCACCACCGCCTTAAATAGGTTTATGTCGCGATTTAATTCGTGGTGGTTGTAGTAGTTGTAGTAATAATATTGATGATGATGATCCTGCGGGGGGGGGGGGGTTATCTACATATGACTCATGGATATCTGTGGGGAGGGGAAGAGCTTTATAGCTCATCGGATTTACATGCCTGTCAAAACCCCTTGTTCAGTGCCCGGCCTGATTACAGACCAATGCAGACTTTATTGGTCACCCCGTGCCCCTCATAACTCTCAACGTTCATCCTACAAAGTCCCATCACAAGGGAGCAACAAACATATATACAATCACCACTACTACACTCACCAACAGTACACTCACCACCACTACACTCACCACCAGTACACTCACCACCAGTACACTCACCACCACTAGACTCACCACTAGTACATTCACCACCAGTACACTCACCACCACTACACTCACCACTAGTACACTCACCAACAGTACACTCACCACCACTACACTCACCACCACTACACTCACCACTAGTACACTCACCACCAGTACACTCACCAACAATACATTCATCACGAGTACACTCACCACCACTACACTCACCACCACTACACTCACCACCGGTACACTCACCAACAGTACACTCACCACCACTACACTCACCACCAGTACACTCACCACTACTACACTCACTCACCACCACTACACTCACCACCACTACACTCACCACCAGTACACTCACCAACAGTACACTCACCAACAGTACACTCACCACCACTACACTCACCACCAGTACACTCACCAACAGTACACTCACCAACAGTACACTCACCACCACTACACTCACCACCAGTACACTCACCAACAGTACACTCACCACCAGTACACTCACCACCAGTACACTCACCAACAGTACACTCACCACCACTACACTCACCACCAGTACACTCACCACTACCACAATCACCACTACTACACTCACTCACCACCACTACACTCACCACCACTACACTCACTCACCACCACTACACTCACCACTACCACACTCACCACTACTACACTCACTCACCACCACTACACTCACCACCACTACACTCACCACCAGTACACTCACCACTAGTACATTCACCACCACTACACTCACCACTACTACACTCACCACCAGTACACTCACCACGAGTACACTCACCACCAGTACACTCACCACCACTACAGTCACCACTACCACACTCACCACTACTACACTCACTCACCACCACTACACTCACCACCACTACACTCACCACCAGTACATTCACCAACAGTACACTCACCACTAGTACATTCACCACCACTACACTCACCAACAGTACACTCACCACCAGTACACTCACCACCAGTACACTCACCACCAGTACACTCACCACCAGTACACTCACCACTACCACACTCACCACTACTACACTCACTCACCACCAGTACACTCACCACCAGTACACTCACCAACAGTACATTCACCACCAGTACACTCACCACCACTACACTCACCACCAGTACACTCACCACCAGTACACTCACCACTACCACACTCACCACTACTACACTCACTCACCACCAGTACACTCACCACCAGTACACTCACCACTAGTACACTCACCAACAGTACACTCACCACCAGTACACTCACCACCAGTACACTCACCACCACTACACTCACCACCAGTACACTCACCACTACATACATGTCAAACCCCTTGTTCAGTGCCCGGCCTGATTACAGACCAATGCAGACCTTATTGGTCACCCCGTGCCCCTTATACATCTCAACGTCCGTCCGAAAAAGCCCCATCACAAGGCAGAAACACAAACAAATAGACAAATATATTTAGTGTGTCCGTATTGAAACGGATGTTCACCGTATGGACCTGAAAACTCAATTTCCCTGTACAAGAATGCCGGTAAACCGCATGGGTTGACACGGTATGGGATTCCTCCAGTATAAATCAATATTCTGATATACTGACGTTGCTCCTAATTACGTTGTTTCTCCGTTACAACGTCGCCAACGAATAACGAAAAGTAATGCGAGTTTTTTTATTCACTCCAACGTCGTTTCGAAACGTTGGGTGATTTACCGGATACGATCGACTCGTTTCGTACGCTATTTATTGTGAGTTTCCATCTGTTTAAACCTCCCCCATACCCCCCCCCCCCCGTTTCAGTTTAGTTTTAGTTTATTTATTAGGCATAGCCCTGTGAGCAATGCGGCTCTTGGGTGCAACCGCAACAAACAAAAACAAGAAAACATCTTAAAGTGGCTACGCGCAACAGAAAAAAAATCCAGGATAAAAAAAAGCAGCAGAACGTGAGTGAAAAGACGACGATAAGTGTTGTTTGTTGCCTCTCCATTGAAGGGGGCTAGGGGAAACAACCTCCCCCTCCAGCTTCCCATTAATTTAGAGGCGATAACGGATGCGTTCACGCGGTTTTGATGCGGGAGAACGCGCCCTGGATACCGACTCTGCACTTGGCCGAGCTGCTGCGAATGTGGGAACAATGCGTGCTGAAGCTCGTACAAAAATCGGAGGAGGTACCCGAAGTGTGACCCCGTTGAGTGCTGCTGGAATATGACGAGGGGCAGCAGACGAGGCGATAGAAAATATGGAGAGTTTGTTGGCGACACAAGAAAACGCCAAATCGATATTTCAGGACTTAAAAAGAGTACGGGAGGGTTCAACTATCTCAGCTTTTTCAGCAAGCCGTGGTTTGTTCCAACGGTTTAAGCGTCCATACTCTTTGGTTCTATTCGGTAAAGTCACGTGGGTAAAAAATAAAACAACAAAAATCACGACGTTTCGGCCACAACGCAAGTGGCCTTCATCAGGTGAGATCCAACGCTGTCCTCTGGACAGTCCGGTCCCTTCACCTGATGAAGGCCACTTGTGTGTTGTGGCCGAAACGTCGTGAATTTTGTTGTTTTATTTTTTACCTACGTGACTTTACCGAATAGAACTAAAGAGTATGGATCCTTGCAGTTACGAAAGCTTCAAATATAGAAAAGGTTTAAGCGTCGTTTCAACCTGCAGAACCTAAAACATGACTGACGAGGAATCCAATTGCTGACTTGGGAGGCGACGGAGCAAAACAGTGGCCGCCACAATTTAAATCTATAATGGCAGAAGGTGGGCTACTCTCACCAGCAAGTTTTCAATGTTGACGAAACCGGTTTACATCTGCAAAGAAGAAAAGACAGCTTCACGGTTAAAAGCTGCTAAATTATCGTCTGACTGTTCTGCTTGGAGGCAACGCTTAGGGGTAGATGCCGACCATGCAGAGAAACCCAAGGGCCCTTCCCGAGCGGCTATTGCAGGAATAATCTCACTGCCATTTGGCGACCAAATAAAACAGCTCGTGTGACGATGGCTGCGTTCCAGGATCGGTTCGCATTGTAGTTTTGCCCTCTTTGTGAAGGATTACCTAACTGTGCCAGAAACAACCTGAACCACAAAGCACTGCAAATCCTAGCTAATGCACCTAGACATCATGTGAACCTAGACGATGTGGCTGAAATGTACGTGTTGGGGTTTTTTTTTGCCACGAATCACGACGTCGTTATTGCACACGACGATGGACCGAGGTGTAATTGCCACGTCCAATGCGTATTATACATCTGACCATGGGCCAGCTGATTACTGAAACTGTGAAAATAAGCCAACAATCATGGAGTTTTGGTGTGACTACAATATCAGGAAGTTCTATCGTTCTATCGATAATATTGGGGTGTCGTGGCAACACACCACTCAGATTTACTTTCACACACTACTCAGTAAACATGAGTGGTGCGTGAAAGTAAATCTGGCCTGAGTGTGTCAACGAGTTGGAGTGGTGGGGGAGGTTTGTAAAGACAGTGCCATAAATTCCACGTGAATTTGTTGGGCTGGCCAAACAAATTGGTTTTGACGAAGCGGAAGAAAATGATTGTGTTGAAATACAGCAAACCCCCCCCCTGAACAATGAAAAGTGAGAGGCGTTCAAATGTTTGTTTAAGTATTTATGGAAATCTCGATGGAGGATAACCCCAACATGAAACGAAGTTCTACATTTAAACGGGGTTTTGAAAGTCGATTTCACTGCTACAAGGAGAAGGGATGTCCAGAGCGACACACACGCTAGATAAGGCCCAGTGGGCGGATAAAGGCATGTAAAGAAATGCACACTATGATTATTCCTCCTACTACAAACATTATGATACATATGCTGTACATGACCATGTGACTATGTGCATTTGTATATGCGTTATGTGGGGAAGTATGGCCACACTACAACAGCCATGTCCCAGAAAGTGTGGGTGCAGCCTTAAGTTTGTCCATCAGTGTATCGATCAAGCCATGTAAAGGAACACGCATTACATACATGATGCATATGCTCGACATGACGACATACACACGTGTGTGTATGTATACATACATCATGTGGTGAAGTATGGTCAAACGACGTGGGGGGGCAACTTTCAACTAGCAGTGGATTATTAAAAGGAATGTATATACTAGATGAACCATTTACATATACCCCACTAAAATACTGTAAAAGAAAATAGAGAAATCAACATTTTAATCAAGCCCCTACATGTCTCCCACAAATCTCAAAACACGTATTAGGTATTTCAGAACTCACCTCCCGCGCTTTAAAAATACAGACGGTATATAGTTTGTTTAAAACCTTCAACGAAGGAAGAGGTCATTATAAATCAGTGGAGTATCGAAAACGGATAATCCTATATACCTTTTATTTCCAAGCCTGTACATGTATCTCACAAATATCAATACACGTATTAAACCTTTGAACTCGATAAAGATATAAAGTCATCGCTTACACAATATTCAATCACCTGTTGAGACCAGTGCCATTCTAAATCAGTGGCATATCTATAAATTATATATGTAGGATGCATATATGCAAATACATTTACACACTGTGTGCATATTCAGAGACACACTGACAGTGCATACAAGATGTACGTGTTAATATTTCAACTTTATTAAACTGTCAACTTTGTCGCCGGTTATAAAAGTCGCTGTCCCGGTCTCCATCGACCACAAAAAGAAAAACGACAGGAATGGGAATGTAAACTGACGGTAAATGTTACGAGTGAGTACAGATTTCACGCCCACAGTTCAGGATAAATTACAAATTGCTTGATGTGGATCATAGACGACTAGGTGGTTTGTATCGCAGCAGGAAACATGCAGCAGCAGTAGAGGGATTGGGCGGCAGCAGATTGCACAGCGGCAGCAATGTTTGATAACATTTACAATCTTGTTACATTCCTATTCCCCAAATTCGTTCTTTGCCATTGTGGCCTTTCGAGACGGCGTGGGTGGACGTCGGCCAACTTAAGCAACAACTGGTGACATAGTCACACACACAGTGATGACACTAGAATGAAGTTGGAATTGTAATCAAGGCTGTAGGAAACCTAAAATCTAAATTGTTTGCACATACGTGTTGTTTACATACCCAGACTGTGCATATAAATATAAACAGACACATATATGTGCACATATCCATTGACGGATAAGGACGTACAAATAATCCCACGCATACACACATCGGCAGGTGAACAAAGACAGCATAGCGGAATAAACTCAGTCAGCGTACACATTCAGACAGTCAAATAAATACATCCAAACGAGATCCTGTCAGATCTCAGTTGAAAAAGAGGCACCCAACAGTGATCAACTATCACTTACCTGGTTATAAAGATTACTCACTGTATTCACGACATAAAGCCAGTCACTAAGCCATGCAACCAGCCGTCCAAATCGTCATTCCCCCCCCACACCCAGGCAGCAACTCAGCGAAGCAGACGGCCGCGCACGTAGCAGCCACTACACACCACCCCCTACCACCACCACCACCCCCTCCAGCCACTTGGCCAGCCAGCTGGTCAGCTGGACACTTACCCAACAGGCACCGCACTGTACAAGGCACCAGCAGCACAAATGGAAATTGGCACCAACAATAATAATAGCGAGCGTTGGAGAGAGAGAGAGATACAAGGTGATAGATGGAGGGGCAGAGAGAGCGGCTGGCTTTTAGCATCACTGCGCTCGGTTCACCAGCAACAACGCCGGCAGCGACAAGAGAGCGAGATATTAAACATCGGCTTTCTGTATCACATCCCGCTGATGTAGGTGGACACTTCATTTTCAGAAGTAGGCACCACCATATCAGCAATAAAACGCAAAAAAAACGTGGCTTCAGGTCCACTCCTGCATTCCGAACCCACCCCAGAGAACAATGGCTTAAAATACACACCGCTGGCTGTCTATTAAGGGCAGTTCACCAACCTCAGCAGCAGCCCTTCAACCACCTTAGCGCCTTCATTATACTACTGGCTTCAGCAAGACTCGCTGTGTCAGCAAGAATCACTGGCTGCAGTAGCATTCGCTTCAGCAGCAGCAACGTGAGCAGGAATAGGACACGCGCAAGCACTGAAGGCTGATGCAGCAGAATTCACAATACACCCACCAGCAAGCCAGGGTGATATCTAGTGGCGTGAGCAAACGAACGAGCGACAAACACAATCCAGCAACAGCACAAGTGGCACAGAAGCAACAGCGACAGTCGATTCTCTCTCAACCCGTGCTCACAGGAATCAGGAGCTTGGCCGACTCCCTGGCCCCTGGCCACACTCCGTGCGCGTCCAGAAGCAGAAGAGGCAATGGGTCAAGCAGCAGCTCCCTCGTGGTGGTTGGCGATTGGAGTGGGAATGTCCGGTAAGGGGTGGGGGTGGTGTGGGGAGGCACACGCCGGGCACGGCGCATATATGCGAAGCTCTCCTTCGTGCGAGGTCAAGCGGGTGCGGGGTTGAACGGGAGAGGAGGGGGGAGGGCAGAGGAGGGGACGGGGACTGGAGGCCGAAGAGGAGGAGGAGGTGGTGGAGGTGGGGAGCTTCGGGTTCCAAGCATTCCAACGGTGGGAGGGGGGGGGGCTTTGCCCTGCGGGATGCTACACTGGCTGAAACTGAAAAAAATAATCTCGTGGTTGTACGCACATGCCAGTGGTGGCGAGGACAATTCAGTTCGTACCGCGCGCGCAGGTTTCTCGTCACGAACAGTGCGCGGAAACGCGTGGCTTGGCCTCTCTATTTGGACTCGTTTGTCATGCGCTCACGCTGTGGTTGTACCGAGATGCTCCGAGCGCCGCTGAATAATTTATAGACTGGATGGGTTTGCGCTCGAAACGCTCAAGGGGTTGCGCACACTGGGGTCTGGTTCGGCAGCTAATCTATAGAGGGCTTTGTTTAAAAAAAAACCTGCTTGCCAGAGCAGCCAAAAGTCAGTCTAGAGGTCAATGTATAGACATCCATTTGTGTTGTCGATATACAGTACTGGAGCACACAGTGATGTTGTGTTCTTTGGTTAAGTTCGAAGGACGAATTAGGACAAAACAAACCCATGGGATTCATATTTTTGGTTCTTTCGGTAAAGTCACGTAGAAGGGAAACAATAAAATAAAAATATAAAACAATTCAATTCTCACGACGTTTCGACTGCAACACAAGCGATCATCATCAGGTGTGAAAACCACAGCAAGAACAAGAACCACAACACAAATTTTTCTTGCTGTGGTTTTCACACCTGATGATGATTGCTTGTGTTGCAGTCGAAACGTGAGAATTTTATTGTTTCATATTTTTATTATTTTATAGTTTCCCCTTCTACGTGACTTTACCGAAAAGAACCAAGAATATGAATCCCTGCAGTCACGAAAGCTTTAAATCAAAACCCATGGGAATTTAGTTTTTAAGTAAGGTTGACAACTTATAAAAAGCTTGTGTTCAAACGTATTGCAAGCACGATGGTACAAGGTATGTTTCACGACTTTAATGTCAGTGGGTGGCGCAATTCTCCCATTTTCCTTTGGAGAGCTGTCCAATGCGGTAAAGTATGGTCAACGGCGTGAAGGCCTTCATCCAAAAGGGGAATGACAAAGATACTCTTTGGTTCTTTCGGTAAAGTCACCTAGGTAGAAAAATATATCCCACCTGAAGACGATTGCTTGTGTGGCGATCGAAATGTCGTGATCTATTATTTTTTCTACCTACGTGACTTTACCGAACGAACCAAAGAGTATGGATTCCTGCAGTCACGAAATCTTCAAATCAAGAATGACAAATATCTTACTATTACTATGACTCATACGCAGTACGGTTTTACTGGTGTCCTTGAGTATTTCATTTGCGATTTGTCGCAGTTTTAAGGACAAGATTCAACCGTGGCACGAGGGAACACCTTATTTTAGTTTAGCTATTGATGGCCCGATTCCTTTTTGACAACTGCCATGAATCCGGACGACCCGCAATTACCAACGTAGTGGAGGATGGTCAAACACGTTAAAAAGCACCGCAGTAAAAAGAAAACCTTGTCACGTGGTACACGCAAAGATCCACAATGCAGTCTGGCACGAGTACACAATAATTAACACCAGGGGGAAGCAGTAGATCTTTTTTCGAAGCGCGAGTTAACTGTTACAATGTAGATTTGAGCCCACTTCAGCAATTATTTCTTGCTGTGGTTGTCCTACCTGATGACAGACGCTTGTGTTGCGTCCGAAATGTCGTGATTTATTTTATACCTACGTGACTTTACCGAATTATCTGAACGGGTTGAGCGTTTTGGTTTGCTCATTGCTGTCTTAGCATTTCAATTTGGTAAGACGCAACTTAACATTTTACTAACTACACATGTGGAAAAGCAAAAATAAATCCTCTGGAACTTTTGAATACTTCGCCACAATTGTAATAACAAAATAACCATGCATCTACATTGGCATGACATTTCAAATGTCTTAACTATAGATCTATCAGTTCAAACGCATAGCGAATGCCATGTTAGCCTAATACCAAATCACTCGGAATACGCCCGATCCCATTAGACCTATAAATCTAAGCAGGCTTGAGCCAAGATTTGCTTTAATGGGCAACCGCTATGCACATATTGTAGGCCGTGGGCAATGCAAACACTAACATCGATTGTTCTATATTCCATCTTCAACCATCAGCACTAACCAAGGTGGTGAAGTATGGTCAAATAACCCGTACGGCGTCAAGCCCTGATCCAGCAATGGATTAACAAACGTGCTTTACATGTACATCTGCATCGCCTCGCACGTGTAAGGCCAGATGTGACGCTGCACACCACACAACAGCGTGAGGTGGAGGAACAGCTTTATTTCAAAACATACGCCACGCTAGTTAAAACAAGTGCAAATAACTGGGATAAAATCACACGGCAAAAGGGGAAAGCCATATAGTCACTGTGCACGCAGATAATCCAATTCACAGTAAGCACTTCGGTTTCTTCACATTTCTTCGGGGTCAGAACCGTCCTCGACTCCAATCGCCGTTTCCCTTAACATACTCGCGTACCGGAAAACTGTTCGCTAAGCAAACTGTACACTCTGTGGTACATGAACTACATTTTTCCACTTTGTATTACTTAACAATCTATTCCACCCTATATTGTCCGTTACTAAAAACATTATGGAATTTATCAAAACCTGTGGCATTTGCTTCGGTGGCAAGATTTGAGAAGTTGCCCGCAGCGTGCTTACTGAAGTGAAAGCATAATCAGGCAAATGCAGTGTTAAATTGACTTTTGCTTGTGTATACGTTATATACTTTGTAAACCTTGCTTCCAGACAATTTTCTTTTTCTCCAGACTGGATGCCTTCATGTGACAAATTATGGTGGAAAAGCCGAGACATTACTATAATCCAAAATCACGCAACCTGCACCCACATCCCATCACCCCTCTTCTTCATCAGAACATGAAATCACGATTGGTGTTTTTAAATATTGTTTGGAAAACTTGGTTGTGCAAATTTTCTGCAATTCATTTCAGCATGTCTAACAGTGGGGTTGTACCATTGTATTTCAGCACAGAATGTGTTTCATACTGCGCTTTCGTAAATCATGCAATGTCCACCGATCGACATGTAAGTTTGCAGTGTACATATTCCATGAATACATTGAACGGAAATAAGAGCTCACAAAATGGCCAAATATGACATTTCAACAAAACAATATACATGATACTATTACCCTCGTCATTCTTCATTTGATTTAAAAAATATGGCAAACGAAAAAAAACTACGTGAATATATGCGTATTCCATCTCGTCGTTTAAAGGACTACAGAACTATGGTTGAGAATGCCTGCAAACCTACACCACAATCAATATAGGCTAATCACGAAGCTGGCACTCAAGATCAGTCAAATAGTATAGTGTTCCATGCTAAACGGCATCATGTTTAGAATGAAGTGATTATGTATGATAACTACAAATAGGATTGTTCAATGTGGCTTGTTACAGTAGGTGCAGTTTTTTGACAGCAAGTTACACAACAGCACCACAAATGACATGACGCACAATGTTAACTCCACTCAGCTACAGCCATACCAATCTAACAGTAAAAGCCACATACTACTACATACATGCAGGACATCAGATTTTTCCTTCATTTAAAGATGGCAACAACAATTTATCAGCTATAAATTCATCACTGTAGACACATGGCTACATTTCGCTCATACTATAATACGTAAAATTGGCAACTACCCTTTTAAAACTCATTTTCATCTGATTTGCTGATGTGTAAGCGTCAACGAAATATTAACATCTACTAACACGGTTCATGTTTGCTTACCTACTGGACAGTATACTGCCTTAGATAATAAGTCAAAAGGTTATTATAAATGAACGTTTTTCCACCGGTAGATAACACTTTTTCGGTGGTATTGTTCTGCACCCAATACAATGCATTCAAATTTCACACGTACTTTAAGCGTATGTCTGCAACCTATAATGTTGCTTTCCCATACCTGTTTCAATTGTCATGATTTAAAACTTATAAAATAGCAGCAATGAAAGGATGCCATTCCACCTCCGAATAAAACATGCTGCACACGTTTTCTACCATAATTGTGTGAATACCCACAGTCCAAGTAATGCATCCCTGTAAGCGATCTGCAGCCAATGGTATGCATGATATTACAATATGCAAACAAAAATGGCATGTAAGTGAACATCAAAGCAATATACTTTGTGATAGTGCGTTAGTGCACAGGGTGTGTCATATCAGAACGGCTCTTAATGCACTTCAATATCATAGGGTAACCATGCCTTCACATAACCATATTGTCATGCTATAAATTAAATGTATACACACAACCTTCTCAACCATGTTATTTGCGAATATCGAAAGACCTGTTTACATGGGCCAGACAGATGCCAGCAAGCATCACACCCTGTGAAGATAAAGCAGCCACATCCAACTACTGTGCTAAGCTGCGTGATTGGTGTTGTCTGCAGCATTGAGAAGAATGTGGCCAATAGGCACAACGCTGCAACCAGTTCATTGTCAATGCGCACATGTAAGCAAGCTGCAAAATGGTGCAAATAAATACACTTACATTGTATACCCATCAGCACTGGAAGTTGTGACGTGTAAATATTTCAACACGCGTTGACTACTTATAGCACTTGCTATTCGGCTCAATACTATTCCCAGACTTCCCTTGCTGTATGGGTTTGCATGAATGTGTGATGGTGTGTGCGTGCATGTGTAAATACTCGAGTGTTGCTGTGGAACAGATCACAGTCCCTGCTTGGCAAGGGCAGCTGTGACGTCGTCAGCCAGTGTCTCCAGCTGTGGCTCCACCATGTTTATACTGCCGGTGGAAGAGGCGTTGGAGTGGCGACGTTGTGGGGAGCCGCCCATTGAGTCGT